CCCAGATGAACTGCCCAGATTCATTAAGCAGTTACGCAAGTACTTACGAACGTGTACATCTTTCCTCAATCTTTGACGGCTTTGGTTATATTTATTAAACACTTTACAAGCATGAAAACTTCCCAATCAACTGTTGTTATTGTTATAAACAGCCTCCTGGTGCTTTAGAGCTCATTAACTGTTTAATAATTGTAAACAAAGCCGCCAAAGATTGAGAAAAGATGTACAGGTTCGTAAGTGCTTGCGTAGCTGCTTCGTGAATCTGGCCCTGTATCACGTTTCAATATATATCACATCAATCTGTATCCCTGTGGCATTTTTGCGTGATGTTTTAGAACGTCTCACACGTGTCAACATCTATTTCGTGTTTCAATGTCACATATGTATCATTATAGAACACCTGTTAGTATGTATCACTTATTTCAGTTTGTCAGGTGTATCAGCATGTATGGCGTGTATCAGTATGTCACATGTATGAATATGTATCACGTGTGTCAGTATCACTGGTATTATGTATCGTGTATCAGTATGCATTACTGTTGTACTATGCATGACATGTGCCATGTGTCACATGTCTCAGTTGTGTGTATATATATATATATATATATATATATATATATATATATATATATATATATATATATATATATTACATTAAACAATGATAACCTAAAATTATACTGAGAGCGTTTCGTACACCCGTTCACAGACAACGCTGATGCTAGAGTTCAATTACGTGCGAAGAAGCATGGAGACTGCTAATAGGTAAATGTAATGTAAGACAATATAGCTCAGAGATAGGCTGAGTCATGGAGGTATGCTTGGTAAGAGAAGCAGGAAGATATAAATGGCGGGACGCCCACCTGACATATTTACGGTGGCCTTGGTCCCCCAAGCGCGCGGGGCAAGCTATAAGAGTTCAAGGTAGCCGAGCCTAGGAAACCAGCACTTTCTCTTCTATAGGCTAGCACTCAAGCGAGTGTTATACTGAAAATCAATTGGGGAAATTTTAGAGGGACCTACTACCCAAGTTTTCACATTTCCGTATAGGAGGGCATTTTCAGATACGGGAAATGTACGCGAGTCATTTTTATAGCATAATCTGCTTGAAAGGTCAGTCTGGAGCATTAGTGGGAAAATTTCAACCTTCATTTAATATAAGGTTGCTTAGCTTTAATTGCGAAGCTTCGACTGTTTTATTTTTTTATCAGCGTCCTGATCCTTGTGAACTGAACTTCCGTGGCGGAGCGCAGTGGAGCTTCCTGGATATAGATCACTTTGAATATTGCACGAGTTATTAACAGATTGTATAATCAACCTAAGAAAATATAATCCAACATAACCCAACAATACTTAACATTAAGTAATATTATGTTAATTACTCTAACATTACTTAATGCAGCCTAACGCTTACCAACCTATCCTAACCACACCTAAATCAAATCTAGCCTAACCTAACAATATTCAAATACAAATGTTTATTCAGGTAAAAGTACACAGAAGATGAGTTACAAACAATGTTGGACTTATAGATAGAGCTAGTATATACAATACCTAAAGCCACTAATACGCAAAGCGTTTCGGGCAATATATGTTCAATATGAAAATCACAGTTTGAAAGGTCTGTGAACCACTTGACCATACCAAAATGTGGCTTACCTCCTGTGAATTTGCTGATGTATGCATAGTATTTTAATTTTTTGGGGGTGGCCATTATCTGTAGAAACTAAGACGGCGTATGTCTTTATCGTAAGTGTTTTTACATGTATTTCTTCACCCTTTTTTTTAACTTAGGGCTGATTTTTCACTTGATAACGATGTACTGGTCATTCAACCCGTCCTCTCGAATAGTACATCGTATCTTGACGTATAAAGCCTCTAGGGGCCAAAATATGTACTAAAAATCGTTGCGGCTCGCAAAATTGACGTAATATTCTGTTTTCTATTCGTGAGCCCTCGGTTAGGTTAGGTTCGGGCAGTTTAGTGCATCAGTTTAGTAACGTCGTGAACTCTGCAGAGATAAGTTGTTAAACACATATGGCAAAATCTTACTGAAGCGACCATACGAGTCATAAATACTCATACTCCGCCCAAATAAAACAGAAACAAGCAATACTTAGTGGGCCAGCCAGAGGCTTAGGGCCCGCGCAGGAATATCCCTCCCAAAAAAATTGTTGGGATTAAGTCCTATCACCCTCTGGAAGGCCATTTAAGGCCACCACTAGTTACTGACCAACCAGCAAGAATACTTTAGTCCTAAACATAGTCCTGGATAGTCTCAGTGTATATACACACCAAGAAGCAGGGTACATCTGTCTGGACAAAAACACAAAAAACCCTATAGTTGTGTAATGCTCTAAGTTGCCAACTCTCGCTTAATAGGGAAACCAATTCAATCTTGTTTAAGTTTGCAGTTTAAAGTATTGACATTCATGTAAACAATGCTATACAATTATAAATTAAAATGGCATTCAGTCTTCAATATAGATAAAATGTTATAACACGGGTAGCTTAATAAAACCTGTTTAGCGAGGCGGGGATGTCCAATGTACGTATGTCAGGGTCAAGGTTACATCCTCAACACTCAGGACCTAAGGAAAAACTGGTTGTACGCTTCCACTTCCTGACCCACACAACATACAGGGTCTATCTTGCAACTCATCCTCCAAAAATTATGTATCTTAAAACTACTTAACATACAAAAATGAACTGCCGTGCAAAATAGTTCATTTTGTACTACTGTATTACCCTAAATGGCGTAACACAAATGTGGAACAGTAACTATATATAACCTAGCTTATGTTAGGCCTAGATCAGCAATCCCAGGCCTAATATACATAATGTAAGGACCAATTTACTACATTTATGGGCTATACTGAACCTAGAAAAGTTTAGGCGTGGTTATTCTCTAAAAAATTAATAGTACAAAATGTGTTTTGTGTTTCTGTTCAAGTCCATTTTTGTACTTTTCACCAATAGTTACTATAAGTACTATCATTTTTGGAAGAGAGGTTGCACTATCTTGAGGTTCTTCTGGAGATCCGTTGCCTGCGGCCCTATCTCTCAGACTGCAGTCTAACCACTCTCATTATTCTCACCAAGAAAATAACAACGGTCAGCAAAAAGTATTCGTTACATGTAATGGGAAAATAACCGTCGGGCGTAATTTACACAGTTGGAGAACAAGTGCCTAAAACCCACGTGTCACGAGCTCTTAAAATTAAGTCTCTCTCCCATGGCGGTCAGCCAACCTAGAAAACACACACACAACCAAACCACAGCGTTATTTTGACTGTTGTTAACTTTACTTCGACATTGTAAAACCGTAATAACGTCAAAAATCCCGTTGTGTGATGGAAACAACCTTGCCACAACCACAAGGAAAAACAAAGGCAATAACCGGCTATTTCCGAAGTTAGTATGTCGGTATTTGACTAGTACCTCTGACACCCGACCGACAGGATCTTGCATACACAAGCGGGAATTCCAGGTTCGAATCCCGGCCGGGACAGAAACGGTTGGGTGCGTTTCCTATCACCTAATGCCCCTACGGTACAGGCTGGAGAGCGGTTTACGGTAAAGGCTGGAGAGCGGTTTACGGTACAGGCTGGAGAGCGGTTTACAGTACAGGCTGGAGAGCGGTTTACAGTACAGGCTGGAGAGCGATTTACAGTACAGACTGGAGAACGATTTACAGTACAGACTGAAGAACGGTTTACAGTACAGACTGAAGAACGATTTACAGTACAGACTGGAGAACGATTTACAGTACAGACTGGAGAACGATTTACAGTACAGACTGGAGAACGGTTTACAGCACAGACTGGAGAACGATTTACACTACAAGCTGGAAGTTCATCACAATTCCAGCCATCAAACGTTCCCGTCAACATAACCTATCATTAACATCCGGATGTCAATAAAAAAAAACCTTCTTACCTCCACCAGTCAAGCAAGAGTCTTCGGAGACTGAGAGGGCAGACTTGAGGCGATCACCTGGCAGATATTAATTTAATTAAGAGCCCTGGTGAAGGGGGGTAGAGCCAGCGTCAACAGGCAGTTTACCACAAGGGAGACGACCCGACACTGGCGAGGCGGCGCCTTAGGTGCAGCATATAGCAAATGGTTCCTTTAAATTTCGTTTAAATTCACCAAGAATTCCTATCATTCTTGTATATTGAAGATGTCTAGAGAAATTGTACTGATATTTTTTTTACATATTTCAAAATAGTACAATATACAGGTCATAAAATATTTACCAAAAACGGTAAATTGTTTGTGTTTTTCGATTGTAAAAGTTCCATAATCTGCGGTGGTACACTAATGCATTTCTGTTACTTATAACGGAATCTAGATAATTCCCACCGTATTTGGTAAGTTTCCATAACAAATGCTGTAATATTAATTAATACTTATTGTGTAGCCTGACTAATAATAAGACAGTTGGCATCAGAGAACCAATTACAAGTGGTAATTGAACCGTTCTGTGCTGAACTATTACACGTATAATGTTTCTATAGCGAGTCGGGCGTAATAGGCTTCTTACTAAATTAATAATTACAGCAAGTTACAATTTAGTTTATATGCGTATTTATTAAATATGTATAAACTTACAATAAGGTTAAACTAAAAACAATACGGGTGTAATTATTTAATTATTTTTTACCAGTTTATTTCCTTATTTCTTTAATATAAATCATCTTTTTTTTCTTTCATGGGACAATTTGATGGTAAATCAAATTATACTTTATTCATATAATCATTTACGTAGCTACTGTTAAACACTTGGGCATAAACCGATAAGCTGTTCAAACACATTCAGGAACTATTAAAAAAAATCCTTTCTTTCTCAACGAGTCGTTATCGACTATATCTTCCCTTTAAAAATATACATATACGTAGCTCTCGATTTATATATATATATATATATATATATATATATATATATATATATATATATATATATATAACTTTTTCTTCTCTCGTTTGATTGCAGGTATTTGACATGGCCGACATCAACTTGCTCCGTGACACTGTCATTGGAGCGACAGCAACAGCCTTCCTGCCGATAGTGAGGCTGTTGTTGCTCAACGTGTTTCCTGAAGCAGGTCCAGAATATTTTCAGTCTAGTGGCCCTATCACGTCTCAATATGACTTCATCATAGGTAAGAACATCGCTTCATTCTGAATACACACAAACACACATACATCAAATTCTCAGGATATGAACAGTAGCATTTGAGGTAAACTAGTTTGTCTAAATCATCGGCCAAGCGCCGCTCAGGTAGTCCTGTTATCTAAATCATCGGTCAAACGCCACCAACTGGGGTAGCCTAGTTATCTAAATCAAAATCATCGGCCAGGCGCCCGAAGGTAACCTATTCGTCTAAATTATTGGTCAAGCGTTGCAGGCACCAGTAACTGAGACAGTTTAGTTGTTTAACTCACCGGTCATCGGTCAGGTGGCCACCAACATGTTGTTACCTCTTTTCTTTCAAATACAATATGTATTGTGAAGTAAATGGGGTCATGATCATCTTTCACAAATAGTCACTTTACTCGAACACTTTAAACTTATCAGAACTCACAAGCATTGTTTGAAATCACTGCACAAAACTTTCATCCACTTGAACTCTTACGAGACAATTGCCGAAACCGTAACTAGGTAGTCAAACTTCTGTATAATGAGCGTCAATAACATTTTTTTAATCTTTATTTAATAAAACACAATATAAATCATATATACGTCAATAAATGGCCTGCTGTGTAACATTAGTGGGCTTTTTGGTCAAGCTCGTTATATGTCCCCAAATCTTAATTAAGAGTCAAGTGCATTGTATCAAGGTCCCCATGTGCATTGCCCAACCACTTGGGCTGGATGGTAGAGCGACTGTCTGGTTTCATGCAGGTCGGCGTTCAATCCCCGACCGTCTAAGTGGTTGGGGACCATTCCTTCCGCCCCCCCCCGTCCCATCCCAAATCCTTATCCTGATCTGTTCGCAGTGCTATATAGTCTTAATGGCTTAGCGCTTTCCGATGAAAATTCCCATTCCCAATGTGCATCTGAGTGATTTTCATTGAGAATTAAGAAATAAATAGTTTCAACAAGCAGTGCATTCATATGTAATTTGTGAAATTTATGTAAAGCTTTACACCAAGCCTTTCATACTCTCCTGAGTGCTTTGTCAAGGTCCTAGTATGTGGTGACATATGTGGAAAAACCACTCAGGAGAGTACAAAAGACTTGGTGTAAATCTTTACATAAATTTCACTAATTACATAAGTGAGGGTTTTTATCCTATATGTTATTATGTCTGTGTGAAGGCATTACCGCTTCTTTTGTTAAATTAAACAAGTCATTTAAAACATTACTTAATGTTTTAAATACTGTTCTTAAAGTTTTAAGAACAGAGTAAAGATTTCTTAACTATTTAAAGTATTTAAACATTTAAGGTATTCAAATTTTTCAATACTGTATTTAAAAAAAAAGTTCTAACTTTACTCAACAGCATAAAGTTAAAAAGTAGACTTTATTGAAAATATGTTCACACAGACATTGCCTAAAAACAGACCTTGCCAAGTCACCGAAAAAACGAATTAATAAAGCTCGAATCATCAATAATTATAAATATGCAAATTCAAGAAATGTGACAAAAATGATCAAGCTAGGGTTTTTTAACTACACATATTAATAGCACAACCTAAAATAATATGAACCTAATCTATATAAGAGAATGTCTTGCTTGGTTGTTCGAGGCTGGTGGGGAGGGGCCCAGACGCTCTCGGCTAGCCTCACAAAAACTTTGCATGATGATTTGTGAGTGTACGCCGAACGTCATAGGGCATTTAGGATTTCAAATCCCAATGATTCCTAATAAGTATGAAATGTGTATTTGATTGTTCATAGATTGTTAAAACAGATGTTACGGTTGAATGTTGAATTAACATCGATAGTGTTGATTCAACGTCGATTAAGATAGATAGAGATAGAGATAGATATAGATAGATAGATAGCCGGGCACCGACTGGTAACCCATCTAGTAAATATAATATATTTGATTCCGCGGCCTACCTCACTCTTCAGGAAACTGACAGTTATTAAAGTTCAAGAAAAAGCTTAATTTCACAACAATCAACTCAATCATAGTCGTTGGAAAATTCTATATGGAACTACAATCCAAGTAAAATTATTCTAAACTCTTAAGGATTTATTTTAAACAAATAATGGCGTAGAGTAACCTCAAAGTGACCGTGATCCGCCAGTTTTCCATGATATCTTTAGCCTTGCTCCGGGAGCCAAAATCTTGAACAAGCGGTGCAGAAACACAGCTAAAAAAATAATACAGTATTGTATTTCTTATAAATCTCTAGATAAGCAGCGTCTTAATGTTGACAGATCTGGTGGCCGTCAGAGATAGCTTGTCAGGACGGAAATGTTCACAGAAAAGTCAAGGTAAACTGGTGATGCTTCTAGAGTACGATGAAGCTGACACAAAGCAGTTTCATCATATACTAGGATGGTGAAGCTGTGTACCTACGTGTACTAAATGGTGAAGCTGTGTACCTACCTAAATGGTGAAGCTGTGTACGTGTACTAAATGGTGAAGCTGTGTACCTACGTGTACTAAATGGTGAAGCTGTGTACCTACGTGTACTAAATGGTGAAGCTGTGTACCTACGTGTACTAAATGGTGAAGCTGTGTACCTACGTGTACTAAATGGTGAAGCTGTGTACCTACGTGTACTAAATGGTGAAGCTGTGTACCTACGTGTACTAAATGGTGAAGCTGTGTACCTACGTGTACTAAATGGTGAAGCTGTGTACACACGTGTACTAAATGGTGAAGCTGTGTACCCACGTGTACTAAATGGTGAAGCTGTGTACCTACGAATAACTGGCGATTCTCAACATAGTGCCTACGGCTATCCGCTGATCGGAACATGTTAATTTCAGAGCTGAAGTCAATCAATCAAGTTAAGAAGTACTACTGTCTTGAGTGTCGACGTATCATCATGCAGTCATGATGATAAAAAGTAAAGTGATCCAGTTACTACTTTGTGTGTGAGACAGAAAGGTCGACTACTTTTTCTAACCAGCGCTGCGGAGGAAATGCTGCGAAATGAGTTTGTTAGCAAATTGCTTAGCGGTCAAGATAAAATAAATAAAAAAAAAAAAGTTCAGGAAGTGATGATTACTGAAGGCGGGGGTAGCACGTAAATTGAACAGGAAGAGAACAAGGGTTGAAGGACATCAGCCTGCTGATTTTTCCACTCTTTGCTGACTAACTTTAACCTTCATGAAATTATAATAGTCTGTATCATTAACTTTAGAGCAGTGTTCTAGGGAAATAATGTTAAGTGTTAGCATGATGGTAAACGAGCTCTAGCAGTGAACAATTGCAACTCATATTGCTAGGTGGGGAGAGGGACATCCGAGCACTGAGACCAGTTTGTGGTTCTCTAGAGGGAAGTGTTCTCACTTTGATAAATAATATTAATATACCTTATATTCGAAATGACGGTTATTAAAAGGGATCGAATGATACCGACATGATTCTACTTATATTTTTCTGTAAAGTTCATTTTATACATATACTTGGCCCAGTATAGTCGTAACGACACCTTATGAGTGCATAAATTATGTTAAATTAGGGTAGCAAGCATACATCAGTCTCAGGAGCCTATGGAGTTGCACTCTGGTTATCGGTCTGGAGTGGCCTCTCCAGGGCGCACAGCCAGGGTAGGTTGATACGGAGAAGCTGTTACCCAAGCAGCAGGTCCCCTCTTCTTCACGGCGCCGAAAGTCTCCAATGGAAAGGCAAACGTCAATAAGGTAGGTTAGTAAATATCTAGGTAATGTGCTTAGCCAATGCGAGTATATAGCGCTTTGGTTAGGCTGGTCTTGACTTTATTTTTGGTTATCTTGATTCTGGCATCTTTGTGAATTGGAGACAAGTATGTGTGTTCAGTAGTTTATATTTTGTATCTCAATCATTATATGTACTCTCTAATGGAGGATGAGTTGAGTTATTTCATTAACTTAGTAGGTGGAGGGACTACACAAGCATCCTCTACACAATGAATGGAAGGACTAATCAGTACCCTCCACACAGTAGGTGGAGGGACTAACCACGCATCCTCCACACAGTAGGTGGAGGGACTACCCAGGTATCCTCCACACAGTGGATGGAAAGACTAACTCATTATCCTCCACACAGTGGGTGGAGGAGCAGCGGGGTGTGTGCTGGCAGGGAGGCTGACGGAGGTGCCGGGGTGGCGGGTGCTGCTGCTGGAGGCTGGAGGTCCCCCGCCGCTGGAGACCAACGTCCCGGCCTTCCTCCCCATCTCCTACATCCCTGGGTACAGTGAGGACTGGGGATACAGCACCGTCCCTCAAAAATATTCTTCTCAAAACTTTATTAACCATGTAAGTACTGAAGCACTTCTCTTCGTGAACCGTAAGACGCCAGTGCTAATCATTCATAAACGTCCACCACTCACGCAAGTTTTGCAAACTTCAATTTATCTTTTGATTAATAATTTTGAATTACTCAGAATGATAATTTCTTGATATCAGTGGATATTTTACGAATTTTAAGATGTTTCCTAGTTAATAAGATATTAAGCGATGACCATTTTCACCTGAATTAGTGTTTTTTAGTTGAACAGGAATAGCTGGTTAAATGTGTATAGAATAACATTGAAACAAGAGATCATTGTCACCTATATTATTAGTACTTTCAGTTGAAAATAAGGCATATATGATTAACACTGTAAAAGTAGCTGTTACAGCCTGTTGTGTCCCCACTAGGTTGATTCCCCTGCCCCTCAGCCAAAGTATAGTTAAAGTTGCAATGATTTAAACGTCTAGAAAATTACTGTTGAAGGAGGAGGGAAAACCGTGGTAATTCTCATCAGGTATCATAAAAAACTAGTACCAAGACTTAACAATTAAAAAAATTCAAATGTAATTAAAGTTCTCTACTCCAGTCTAGAGAAATGTTGTACAAGGCACCAAGGAACTTGACACCCAGCAATAGTTAGATAGACAAATACAGACAAATACAAGTAAATACTTACAGGCAAAAATAGCATCCCTTTAAATAAAATTTCCCTTTAATATTTAAATAAACGTCTTATGAGAAGGGCTTATTCACTTCAGTAATCACGACCTACACACACTAATAAAATGTGTCATGCAATATTTCAATCAACTTTCATATACAATTTGGTACGTGCACTCTACTTACTGGCTTCCTTAAATAAGACAGTGATCTGGGAGATTTGAAATATGACAATGCCACATCAGCAGTATGACAAGCTGGCGGCTGTCATAATAAAGGTCACTCACCCCACAAGGGGGAGTTGGGCTACATAACAATAATTCAAATTAGAATGGTGAGTCAGCGTGTTGCCCCATATTCAAAATCGTGATCAATAAGCAAAACATATAAAGTATGCAACATGCCAACCAGAATATGCAATTCCCTGTTGCTATCCTATCAAAGAACAACCATAAGGCTAATCAGTCTATTTGCAGACTATTCGTCTTTCCCTACTGCAAAACAATATGTACATTAATTTGAAAGTTCACCTTGACTAACTGTTCTTATAAAATATTATGTTGTCAGTCCACCTGACGAATTTGCATATTCTAGCTTAGTAACAAAATAACCTTCCAACCAGCCTTAAGATCTAAGAATTGATATTAACTTTACTCCAAAAGATAACATAAACTAATCATCATAGAGAGTAAAAGATAATTCCAACTGAGAACGAGGCTTTCAGCCCGTTCGTAACAGTAACCTTCTTAATTACATAATAAATTCTAAAATTCCTTACGTTGACAATTAATCACAAATGTATGTGTATTTAGTGCCTTAGGGAAGTAAAATCTCCAGGAGGAATGGTAGTGAGACTTGCAGACAAAAAGTTTACCACAAGGTTGCCTGCAAACTACTGTAAGGAAAAACAGCATAAGTATGCGGCCACTTACCACAACACAAAGATGACTTACCACTCAATTCCAATTCAATATATTTATTTATTATGCACCCCCATACCCATCCCGTGGGCAGTGGTGGAAAGGCTTACAGAGGCACATAATGTGTCCAGGAACTAAACTCCATAGTTCATTTAGCTAAGCAAGTGACAATCATTTGTTGCTAGTTACACAGTTGTTAATGTTATATATATAGATGTACATATATATACAATCATTTATACAGATACAGATACATATACATATCGATAATCTTTTTATATCACAAGTGATTCAACAAGAGGCTCACAAGAGTCACTATGCAAGTCACTTTACCTCTATGATGAGTCACACAGTTACTAGTCTTGCTCCACACCCACCCAACTGGGCGGCAACTGACTTATTACAACACTCATTATGACTTATACTCAAGATACTTGTCCCAGCACTCAAGATGGCTTACCAGAACACTTAACTTGACTTACCACAACACTCAAAATAACTTACCACAACAGAGGACTAGTACTTAAGATAACATATCAAACACCAAGATGACTTACAAGATAACATATCAAACACCAAGATGACTTACAAGATAACATACCACAACACACAATATGACTTACCACAACACACAAGACGACTTACCACAACAGATGATGACTTGCCATAATACACAAGATAACACGACAACTCTCAAGATGACTTACCACAATACACACACACACGATGACAAGAAAAAGCAGATGATGAGTCACAATAACGGGGCTGATGATTATACACCCAACCCACAAATTTGAAAATGAAGAATTGACGACGTTTCATCACAATACTCTATAGGCAAACTTAACCCAACAAACTCAACTCAACTAACCTAACCAATACAAATCTGCCCTACCCTACCTTGCTCTATTGGTATCCGATGAACATAAGATATATAATTCTGTTTTATATATGATGTGCGCAAGTATGGCATCTTTATTTATTTATTTATATACAAGTAGGTACATTGTGGGTTAATAGAGAACATAGGAATTCAGTTGAATTTACATTCTTGTAAAGCCACTAGCACGCATAGCGTTTCGGGCAAGAAACTGAGGACTATTATAATGTCTTAATCTTCATGCCAATACAGGTTTTTTAGATCCTACTGGGATTGAACAGCTGGTCATGATTTTGTTTCGTTTTCTAGTGACATTAGCAGGACTCGAGAGACAACAAAAGCGTCAAGTCACACACACAGAATATTGACCAACACACACCAACCTAACCTTCACCCGGACACTTTCCCTTTTAAAGATTGTGGTTTTTATTCCCTGAAAAACTAGTTCTTATTTTTTTCTCCGTCTGTGTTGTATCATCTTCATACGAATTGTTAGATTAATAATGAAATTCCTTACAAAAATTTAGGTTTTTGCTATAATAATTATAAATGTTAAATTTAGGTGCTTATATGTTACATTTGATCATACGTTATTGATTCTGAAACATATAGGTAAGTCACTATAAGAGGGTTAATTTAACAATATTATTTGCATTCAGTCGTTCCATCACTGTATCAGGCTCGTTCGTGCCAGTGTTGGGGTGTAGGTCAAGGTCTATAACACATGATAATCTTAGTGTCGTCTAGACGACCAGAATTATCTACAACATGCGTTGACTGACATTTCGCTGCACACCGCAGGCGGCGAGGCAGCCGCAGGGGCGTGTACTGGGAGGCGGGTCCACGGTCAACGGCATGATGTACGTGAGAGGCAACAGGCGAGACTTCGACCGGTGGGCGGCGTTGGGTAACCCAGGCTGGGACTACCTCAGCGTCCTCCCGTACTTCATCAAGGCTGAGGACTACCGCGGGGAGGTCGGCGATAACGGTGAGATATACAACACAGAGAAATCACAATAGCGAGACGCATCAAATGGATAAATCAAGATGATTTCCCGGTTGCAATTATTTTACCATGTCGTTGCTCAGTCGATTAAGGCAGCGTCTGGGATCCTCTTGGACGTAAGTTCGAACCCTCGTCACAGCCCTTGTGGATTTGTTCAACACACACAGTTTGCCCTCTAAGAGCTTTGTACAGATCCAAATGTACTCCTAAATGAAATGGGAAGTCTCGATTTACACTAGAGAGCCTCATCAACCAAAACATTATGTAGACCAAAGTCTTAGCCGACTAATTATATTGTTTTCTCTTTAGTTCAAAGCGTGGGCTTTTTCGCGTAACACTCTTCTTCTTCCCAATGGGAATTTGAATATGGTTCGAACGTTTTAATAAATTGTTCCTTGATAATACAACTCTATATCCTAGTCTAAATTATTGTTATATTTCTGTTTTTGCACCAGAAACGACCTTAGTCACAATGGGATAAATTTAAAATATATTATCTAGAATAAGTTAAAATGTTATTTTAAAAATTCTCCCTCCTTCCTGTAAAATCATGTACAGTAGCGTCATTTCTTGATTGACAAGCCCAAGTAAACACAGCAACATATTTCCCATCGTGTTCTCATATTTAATTAAATTATTTATTTAAGTATTCCTAAAGTTCAATCAACTCTCAGGTATGTGAGTCAGATGTGTACCAGGATAGCAGATATACACAAAAAATGATTTTGAATGAAGGTGAAGGAAAGACCCAATATAAAGGTTGTAGTAAGTTTCTCTATATTATGAATATAAAAATGCTATATTCAGATACGATAACCCTACCTTTGTTACAGAGGCCTTCCGTGGCCGCGGGGGTCCCATAGGCGTCACCCCATCACCAGTGTCGCCACTAACAAGAGCCTTCCTACAGGGCGGCCAGGAGCTCGGCTACCCTATTATCGACTACAATGGCCCTGAACAACTGGGTATGGCTGTCCCCATTTATTTGTAGTATCTAAGTTAGCATATGCATTTTGTTTCTCTTATGTAGAACATTAGATTTTGTATTATAATCAGCTTATATTTTAAGTTAAAACAAAAAGATTTTTGACTTCTGAATGACAGGCAGTGCCATCTACGTACACAATATGAAAGTTTATTTCTGATTCACGAGATGTAGGACACAAAATATTTTTTTGTTTAAGTATCAAACAACAGACAGTCGTGTGAGACTTTGTGAAAGATGTAAGAAAAAATATCAACAGATTAATTTTGTGGTCAGTATGCCCTGAGAACGCAGATTCCAACAATTACATAAATAGATTCTAAGACAACATGAAAATGCCACTAGTGTCCACATACAGATGTATCAATAAATTTACATAAAATAAGATACAGTATATAGGGATACTAAATAAGGTACTAAATTACGTCATCCAAATTGTGTGGGCAAACTTATCCTTGCAGGAGACCAATTAAGTCCCAACAAAAATGGTGATGCGGGTGACACCACAAATGAGGCCAAGCCGTCACGCGTGCCTTCTCTTTACATACAAAAGCCATTGTAAAATACTAAACGGAATGTCATCGAGTTTTCTGTACTGGGTGATTTTTTTAGTTTATTCAGCGTGCATTGTGCCTTAAAAGCTTTTTGTGTATCGCCTTTAAGCCGAAACAGTAAGAAATGCATGACAATTTAAAACACGAGAAAAAGAGGAAACTAGACAAGCTCTGAAACTACACTTGACCTCTCAACTTAGTGATGGTTGAAGGCCGGCCCAGAATGCTCCACTAATGTTACGGGCTGTTCATGACCGTGTCACCTCTTGGGAGACTTAATGTTCATCAAACAATCTACACTAATGCTTCCGAGCCGGTAAGGTACTCACTCTATAATTATTTTTAATTTAGGTTCTACTAGACATATTTTTTTTTTGGCAGGGATATTCCTGCGCGAGCCCTAAGCCTCTGGCTGCCCCACTAACAGACATAGCTATTTATTAAGTGATAATAAGCATTCATATACTCTTTCACATGTCCTTCATAAACATGATTGGATATCTGCTACAGTACATAATGCGTTATTGAGCATTCATGCACATACTATATTACATATCTTACCTTTCATAGCTAGTCAATTTACCCATACTGTCTAGTCAAAAACAGTTTTCTCATATATAACAAATGCTATTATTGTATATAATAGTTCAACCCGTCCTCGACGCAAGTCTATTACATCCAGCGGTGGACCCCCACAGACACATTCATAACTTTTTACATGCTGTTCATTCAAAACGGGAATTTTCTCAAATACCTAGTAAAGGTGAGTACCAATGTTATGTACTCTCACAAACGTACTGTACCTTCTAGCATAATGAAAAATGTAAGAACAGCAGTGTTCTTACGTTCTTGCATAGCCACTAACGCGCATAGCGTTTCGGGCAGACACGTTACAGTACGTAAACAATATGTTTTAACAATACTGTACATTAAAATTGATTAATGCGTCTTGAGGGACGGCAGCAGCTTTAACAAGCTTAGCCTGAGGACGAATTGCATAAACAACGGGCAAAATGCTCGTTAATCCTGCCGCCAAATCCTGTATCTATGAATGAAATACACTAACTCAGACAAGTCCACTACGGGCTCGCCATAGACCGTGCTACTTGGAGCTTTTTGTTCTGAGTAGCTGAATCTAGAACAACAATACTAACTCGACACCAAATTCGTCCGAATTGTTCTTAAATAGTATTTCACTCTCTTCCTGTGTTCGAATCGCGTCTGTTTCACTGAAATTGAAAGATGTAGACAGATTTATGATCAGCTGTAGACGAGAACAATTCCTAATATATAAATCAAACTTATATTTTATGTTAGTTTAGTTCATATTATTATGCACACCATACCCATCTTTTGGGCGGTAGTGGAAAGGGTTACAGAGGCACATAATGGGCTCAGGGACTATTTTATGTATAAGGCAAATTGTTATGAAAGTTAAAGCTGAATAGTTTCATTGTAATTTACCATAGTTCCACTTTCCAGGCTTCCCCGTGACACAGTTTTCTATCAAAGACGGGGTGAGGTCGTCCACTGCCATGGAGTACTTAAGACCAGCAGCCTCCAGACCCAACCTTCACATTCTCCATAGTACCACAGTTCACAAGGTCAGTTTATAGCCCTGTCCAAGTCTCCAGTGTCATCATACAGATTATATAACTGTACAAGCAGTTATAAAAGCTCATCAGCAGCTATAGCAAACCACCAGCAGCTATAACAGCTCACCAGCAGCTATAATCTGTGTACTTCACTCTCCAAGACTTTCCTTGAATTAAGTCTAAACAAACGCACGCCCAGATTCTTATAGAATGTTCAGATGGATCTTGCTAAATCCAGTACCCTTTACCTTAAGTAAGTTCTGTTTGATAGGTTTTTGGAGATTTCTAATATATAGATGCAATGATTCAACCAAAATTACAATTGCGTGATATATCAGTGAGAAGATTTTGGAGCAATACGGTGGGATGAAACTCAAGCCTCCGGCAGCCCCTTACGCTAACCTATTGCTCCAAAATTTTCTCATAGATGTAATGATTTTATTGCAGTATGACCTGATTTAAAATTACAATCAATGCTGCCTCTTTGCAACTCAAGATGTAGTCATGTAGTTGCTGTTGTTTTAGATTAGACTACTCTGAACAAAAAGTTTAAAGTAGCACGGGCTATGGTGAGCCCGTTGTGGCCTTTATAGTAGTAATGTAGTCAACAACCGTGTAAAGTATTATCATAATCATTAATAATATGAATATTCATTAACGGTTATATTCAATAATTGTCTTAAGTTTTAGCTATATACATGATTGCTGATTATCTTTAACTTTTATATTTTATCATCTTTAACTGCTATAAAATCATCTATAAACACATAGGCTTCAGTAGCCATTATGTAAATTATAATTCGTAATCAAACTAGGCTAGGGATACCTAGCCCTGAATAATATAAACAGAGTTCAAGTATGTTTATCGAGACAAGAAAATACATCTCAAAGGCATAGAGTAAATTAGGCTATTTCTACTCCCCTAAACATAGTCAGTGTACATTTATCCAAAATGATCAGAACTCTTAATCCGTATTATCTTCAGTGCACGCAAACTCATCTACAGCATTTGGAAGCACAAGTGGTGTGTCCAACTACATTGAGAGTTTACTGTGGTCCCGGACTGAGTACAGAACTAAGATATACTTGTTGGTTGGTCAGTAAACTATTGCAATGGCCTTAGTAACCTGTCCGCGGTTGATAGAGCTTAAGCCCAACATGAAACCGACAGCAGTAGTTGTAGTTCTGTGTTAAAAATATGAATACCACATCTTAATATTAATAAGAAAACGTCATTTTCAGATTGTCTTCCGCAATAAAAGAGCAATTGGAGTGACCTTCGAGCACAAAGGAAAGGTGGGCATAACTACCTGTGGTTTCGTACTCACGGTTAAAATACTTAGTTTAGCATTGCACTCAGTGATATTAAACATTTCATATGGGATATTAATTAAGTTTGTTATACATGTTTTCTTCTGAATTAAAAGCCACGGAGGTGACAATGCCAGCCTCACGAAGGCATTCTCTTTGGACTCTCAAGCAGATTCCAAAAAACTCTGAAACCAAATTTCTGACACTACATCTTCATAAACAGTTATCACAAGGAAGATTTAAATGTTGTCTAACTCACTCAACATGAAAAATATCTCCAGTATTATTAGTATTTTGTCAATAATATCTGCCACTAACAAAGTAGTGAACGTTCTCAGCTGCTGACGGTGGGAGCGAGGAGGGAAGTCATACTGTCTGCCGGCCCAGTTGAATCACCCAAGTTGCTCATGTTGTCCGGAGTTGGACCCAAGGAACACCTCCTCCAGCATAAAGTAAGTACCAGTGTTATTAGGAGTCTTTACGAAAGTGAAAGCTCTGCAGAGAAGTTGTTCTGAGGCTAGGAATCTGTGAATCTTAGGCTAGGAATCTGCGAATCTAAAGCTAGGAATCTAATTCTAAGGCTAGAAATCTAAATATATAACCAGGAATCTGAAACTAGGACCAGGAATAATTGAAAGATCGACCGCTGGATGGAATGGACTTGGTCTGAGGACGGGTTAACTAAAGGCTAAAGATGGTCGGCCAGAATGTTAGCCACAACAACTAGCTGATCTCTAATGTTTGTAATGTTTACAGCTGAAGGTGGTGGCAGACGTACCAGGGGTCGGCCAGAATGTTCACGATCACGTGGAAGTTTTAGGGCTCAGCTGGCTGGGAGTGAAGGGAACGTCTGCAATGGGTTTAATTGAATCATTCAGTCCCGTCTCTCTCAAGCAGTACAAAGCCACCAGACAAGGTCACTTAACTTTTTATTGGTGCATGTTCCATATCCTTCCCTTTTATAATTTAATGACGGTATACAAATTTACACTCAGGAAGCATATGGGTCTGTAAAGCTGTTGCTTCATAAATATGGTATTGAAGGGTGGGTCATACATGTTTCTAATAATTGATTTCCTATCGGGAAGTTGTATTTTCACATCAGTCATTTCTACAGTCTGTGTTTTGTAACTCAATCTGCACTTCTTTGTAACTAAGCTTCATTAACCAAGAGTGCTTACACTCGTTTTTCAATCTTCTCTTTTTATTTAAGCTGAGTAATTCTGGAAAAATAATCCCTATTTTATATGCACTGTATATATATTTTTTCCTGTAAGAGCCACATATAATGTTTTCTTTGTCATATCCTCTAACAGTTAATGTTTGGAGGTTGGTTATTAATAACCTTCCCGCGGTGGGATAAAGTCCAACACGAAACCAGAATCATTATCTTTCTAACTGTTTTTTCATCTCTATTGTGTGTTCCAGTGGTGGATTTCATGTGTCTCAGTAATACTAAACCAAAAGACTTAAGCCTGTTTCCACAACATCGTTCACAAATTTGGGAATGTTTACGTTTTTCTTTTTTAATACAATATTTGAAATATGTTTTCGTGTTGGCTAAGTTCGCCAGTTAAGTTTTTATGTACACTTGTAGACTGGCCCAAAAAGTCTTTATTTTGAAAATTGATTAGCATACCCTCTCTAAAAATACATATATTTTTCAATATTAAATCATATTTAATGCTGCTGTCAGACGACTGACATTGATATCAGTATGTTATAAATGCAGTATTTGCACACCACCCAAGTGGTAAACAATTCAGTGAACATAGCTGAATGATCTTAGTATCGGATAAACATCTAAACACTTACTATTATGTTATTTGATAAGGTTAAAAAAATCTGTTTTTTTTTTAATTTCAATCATCTGATGGCAGCATTAAATATGATTTAATTTTGCTGAAATTTTTGTGAGGGATTATCTTATAACTTGAGACACAATGTGATGGTATGCTAATCAATTTTCAAACTAAAAGTTTTGTGGCCCAGTCTAATATAATGTATATAAAGTGGATTATTCTTAAAATTGGCATTTTTTTCTTCTACCAAATATTCATTTAGTAAATTCGTAATCAAATAAATGTATTATGTATGTTTCGTAAATAAACTTGGAGTTGTCCATCTGCATTTCCAAATACTATTCAGGTAGATTTGGTCGAAACATGAAATAATGCATAATAATTATATACTTTTATAATTTTAAGTCATGTAATCATGTAGAGAGCTCACGTATTACAGGTATAGGAATATAATATACTGTCATTTTAACTATACTTATTGTGTTTCTCTTCTCACTATAGGACCTATGGCTGCAGCCCCACTGAATTTCCAAAATGCTTGGGTCAAGGTGAACCAAGATGGTGACCCATTATGGCCTGACATCCAACTGTTTTTCAATGGTGCGACAATAGCGTATGACAAGGGTACCTTCAATCCTAGCTTCTGGGGCTTTGATAAAAAGGTTAGTTCCTCGCCTGTCCTTCCCAGATGAATAACGTAATTTATCTAGTTGCAGCATAATGGTATTGCCTTTAGCTCGTGCTCTGAAGCCTTTTGATAATTTTAATAACCAGTAAGCACTTGCTTCCCAACTATATTTTTAATGCAAGAGCAAAACTAGATAACCTATTTAACATCTAGTGTTTAAAGAATGCAACAACTTGCATTTTTACGTTAGAGGAGAGTTAATTTTCATCACATATTTATTAATTACTAACACAGATAGATTTACTTATGCATTGCAATTCTGAAATCAATTCTGGGTAACTAATAAGGAAAATTTTGAATTATTATCTGATAACTAATGAAGACCTGTGTTCTGAATTTAGGTTTCTTAATCTGGCCACTGTACCGGAGGAGACAATGCAACTGAAACAATAGATCATGTAACTTGATTGTATTTATAAAACACAAAACCGCGGGTATGGGAGATGGAGCGTGGGGAGATGTTGAAGGATTGGCCTCTGAACCTTCAACAGGTATAAATGTTTGGCAGTTTCCGTTTAGTATGGACTGAAAACTGATGACAAGGGCTGGAAACAGAAGACAAGAGTTGGAAGCTGAGGACAAGGATTGCAAGCGATTGACGGGGTCTTGAAACCTCCACATTAACTTGACCTAACCTATATAGTTCAACTAACATAACCTAGCCTGACCAATATATTCTGCCTTGTCCAACTTACATAGCCAACCTAGCCTACATAGCCCAGCCTAACCTATATAGCCCACCTCGTAGGATTTAAACCTTTGGCTAAGTTACTGGAATATGATAGGTAATTAAGTTCCAAGATTTTTGTATATTTGGGTTTGTGTGTTTGTGGCATGTGGGTGTTACCTAGGCTGTTGACGTAACCCAAGGAGCACCACATGGAGGTAATGAGTACCACGTGTCCTTGCAGATGTATAAATCCTACTTTGGTGAAATACTCGGACGAGACGGGTTCTGCATCAGACCTATGATTGTGCTGCCCAAGAGTCGAGGCACCATCACCCTCAGGTCCGCAGACGTTCATGAACACCCAAATATTGATCCTCAACTACTTTCTCATCCAGATGACGTCGTTACCCTTGTTAAAGGTTAGTAAAAACTAACTTTCGTATTTGCGGATTTTGTCTTTGCCTATAGTAATTGTTATTTTATATATTGCACGTTAAATTATATTTGTCTATGCTGTTATTAATTGTTGATAACTAGAGATTATATATGTTTGAAACAGTAAACGAGGATTAAATTACATGTAAATATCGCTACTATTAAAGTATTTATTTTTTTACGCAGATGTTATTAAAAATGCATTTAATTTTAATAATATATTCTTCCACCAAAGGGGTAAAGTTGTCCTTAGCGCTTGGCAACACTTCAGCCTTCGTCAACAACTTTGGAGCCAAATTCTATGACAAGGTAATAATTTAAGTTCTATTCCTTAAGTCTTAGAGAAAAGAAAGCATTAAAGATACACATATCGCTTTACATTTTTCTGATATTAAAATAAATGGAGCTTGTTGCCACAAATACAAGAATTTTTGAAGAAAATATGTGTAATAGTAAGACAAGTTAATCTGGAGTAAGCTAACTATCTCCGTTCCTTGACAGCCTCTCCCTGGATGCACTGGGGAGATATACGGCTCAGACGCCTACTGGGTTTGTTATGTTCGTCACATGACTACAACCTTCTACCATCTTGCTGGAGGCTGCAAGATGGCCCCAGCCTCAGACCCTTATAGTGTGGTGGATCACAGACTCAGGTATGTTCAGATTTAGAAAGATTAAGAAAATTGGTAAAGACACTATATTTCGGCGTATATAAGTATACTTTCTGGTTGTTCAGTAAGCTTTTGTCATTGTCTTAACGATTTAAGGCCTACTCATTATTTGGGAGGCCTTAAACCAAACATCAAAAGGAAGCATCCAGTGACTAATAAGCCTTATTATTAAACCCTAAAATTGCACAAAATACGTAGACCACATTTGTATGAATGGAGCATTTCAGACGCCTCTATTCCCTATACCAGGCGAAATTATGAATTTCGTTTTGACAACAGGTTGACAACCAAAGCATAGTCACTTCAACAATTCAAACGGTTTGGTTATAAACGAGTAATGACACAAGTATATTCAGCAGATTTGAAGCATACCCCACGCTGCTACAGATTAGTACAACAAATCTGGGTAATTATTGGTCTGGATAATTATTTCAGTTTAGGATTATATAAATATTGAGTGTAAAGAAATTAAATATATATTTTCTTAGCTGCATATACGGTGATTATATCTTAGCTTCCTGGGATCTCTAGACTTGTTGGCACTGAACTGGCAACACTGATACTAATATATTGCCAAAAGTGGCTACAAAGGTGACTAACTGCATATCTTTAGCACGTTGCTGATTTTGTCTTTGCCTATAGTAATTGTTATTTTATATCTTGCACGTTAAATTTGAATATATAGTCCACTGGATTAAACTCTTAGTTTTCTTATATAAGCTGGGGGGTAATGAAAAGTAATCTTATAGATTACTTTAATATTCTCAATTATTTTAAATAAATAAAAATATGTAAAACTTATACAATGAGTTGAATTAAATGCCAATTACTTTTTTAACCAACATGAAAATAAATAAAAACCAAACTACTATTAAAAATATTACTTTATAGTTAAATAATAGGGACTGAAAATCATTCTGCTACCTATTCTAATTTTCACTGCCACTACCCTATTTTGCCTTAAACAAATTCACCAAAAATACTTAGACTCAACATTCACAAATCCACCAAGTCCTCAGGCTCAATATCCACACCAATCTAACTTAAATAAAAAATCCACCAGAGACCACAAAATAAATCCAAATTAATTTGACTATTATTAACTACAAAACCTATATCTACCTCACCAGAGGTTAGTATGGAATCCCACACTCTCCCATTCATTACTTATTCATTCTGGGACTTACACTGAAAACTCTCAACTCTTAATTGTGTGTCATTCAGAATGGCTGATAGGCCACTGAGGCTGGCAGAGTAGCAAGCTGACGTTCAGAGGCCGGCCACACAGCTTCTCTGAGCTACAGCTAATCTCTTAAGCCAGTCTTCCCAACAAGTCTTAAGTCTTTGTTCTGAGCATCCCCCCCCCCTCTCAGTCAAGTCTCAGCCTTACGTACATAAATCATTCTACTGGCCAGTCACGTGTTTTAATGTTGTCTAGGGGAAATAAGACTTTTATTTGAGCCAAGGGGAATTCAAGACGAAGGGAAACAACCTAGTAGATAAATGACTAATGTATATTTATAAAACACACGCGACATTACATAATTCACTCCTTTCAATTCAAGGTCATTCTGAAGGTAACTACATTGAATAATAATTATCCAAACGGACTCTGGTCCCCATATAGCTTTTAAACAAACACTAGAACTGTCCACTCCAGCACTACCTCGGTCAGTCTGTGACGCATATATAAACCCTAAGAAATCTGGACTCTTTCTCAAAACTAACTGTTGAGTAGGCTAGCAGTGCATTCTCTACCCTTCCTTGCAACCCTGTGAATACAATCAAGTAGCTTAGCTCACGATACGGAGGGAGAAACCCGTCGGGAAAGGAAGGACCGTCCGTCGCCGTTCCGACTGGCGTCAGGTCAAGATGGCGTCTGTCCCTGTTCCCTTAATACTCTTTATTCTTTAACAGTTCCAGTCAAATCCTTCATTGATTTCATTTACCATATTCCCCCCACGCATTTTTCCTTCACATAGTTTTGCTATTCCAATGCACATTATTCATGAATGATCTCCAGCTGAAGGTACTACTTTACTGGTGGAGTACCAATAGTCACTCGCGGCCTCCCCGTTGCCATCTGCAGATTTCTTTCAAGAAAACATTCTCCTTTATGTTAATAAATAATATATAATAGAAACTAACCCCTACAGGTGAGGTTCGTAACAGTCACATCCTTTTTCTTATGCCATTTGAGCATAAGACATGTGCGCCCAAGCCATTTCAGCCCTTTTAGGCCTTATTAATTGTGAACTTGTTAAAACATTGGGGGAGTTTGGAATTTCCTCTCTCTCTCTCCTCTCACTTGCTTCTACCTCTCTCACTTGCGTCTACCTCACATATATATCTTCCATCTACTCCTTACTAATGTGTTCACTCTCATACAAATCCCTTGTTACAAGGTCCATGGTTTAGGGCGGGCGTCTGAGGGGAGGGACCCAGGACGCTGGCTCGATCCCGCCCTCCTGCTCTAAAGATTTTTCCCATATGATATTCACGTAAAACTTATCATGGCAGGGTTCGCGGCGTGGCTGGACTGCGGGTGGTGGGCGCCGCCATCATGCCCTTCGTCACCAACGGCAACACCAACGCTCCCACGATCATGATTGCTGAGAAGGCCAGTGACATGATCAAGCAAGACTGGAGCGGCTAGGCAGCGCTCAATACAAGAGTTTTACAAACCAGCGGTCTCTTAATCTCAACGCGTTCCACTCCAACAACTAATCTTGAGTAAACTCTTAACAGGGAAACAAACAAACCAAACTCAACAAGCACCAGTGAAAACAACTAGGCAAACAAAACCTCATTAAGTATCACTGGAATGACGACTCATCAATCATCACAGGAATGACGACTCATCAAGCATCACAGGAATGACGACTCATCAATCATCACTGGAATGACGACTCATCAATCATCACTGGAATGACGACTTATCAATCATCACTGGAATGACGACTCAACAAGCATCACTGGTATGACAACTCATCAAGCATCACAGGAATGACAACTCATCAAGCATCACAGGAATGACGACTCATCAAGCAACATTGAAACAACCTATCAGATCTGACACCATTCCAAATTATAGGAATAGTCACACATACAACAAGAAAAGCCTAGTGATGTTAGGCTGCTAACATCACTGCAGTGTAACAAATCAAACTGCGTACACTAAAGTGCCAATATAATTTGTGCACTACCTCTCTTTGTACAAATATGCTGAACAAATATGCTTTTATAGTCAGCACGATGAATGATCACTTGCCTACTCTCAGGATTACAACTGAATTGTGTTGTTAGCTGTGTCATACAGTAATTATGCAGGTTAATGTTCACAAATGGACAAACAAAATAAGTCAGCAGAAAGTGAAGGATATTATTGAACTGAACGCTCTCATCAACAGTAGATATGTGCACAAAGATGTAATTCACTATTCTTTGTACTGTGGATATACAATCAATTGCCCCTGAACTCTGTTCCACACTAAAGTATACTTGTTGGTTGATCAGTCAGCTATTGTGTTGGCCGTAATAATGCACTAGTAGTTGATACTCCTTAAATCCAGCACTAAACCAGTCTTTCACAACCTGACTGTATTTATGACCCACAAATATTACCAAAGTTAGGTCTGGATAGCCTAATTATTCTAACAAAGGTTTAGCACAGAAAATCAAACCCTGACTTATGTTCTATTTTATAACCTAAATCACGGTGAGTACCAAGTGTTTGGTCCAAATCAATAATGAAAATTATTTAGACTGAAGATATCTTTAATATGAAGAAAGATAAAATGTAGAAGTGGCTTATAACCAAGGCTTAATCTTCGCACATGTATAGAATATATAAGCTTTAACTGGCCTCTGCACCATTATGATGAACACCTAGTTAAAGGAAACATTGGTTCTTTAATAACTGTGCATATGTTCAGCACATTTGTCTTTGCATGAGAATTGCTAGACACACGAGTCAAGTAACCCATAGTTGTAACGGAGAAATGACTTACTGAGAGAGTAAGGCATTGTCAAGGCGTGTAAATAATGTTAATATTAACTATATGAATAATTAAATTATAAAAATGTGATGCATTTATGAGAGAGTATTAAAGTTGTGTGAAAGGATTCGAACCCGCGTCCCTAGACTCCCAAGGGAGTGTGGCTGGCGAGGCCAAGGTCGCGGGTTTGATCCCATTGTACCACTTCAATATTTTCTCTACTATAGAACGTGTTCGGTGCGAACCATCACTCCTTGGGTACCAATCATCCAGTTGGGATAATTCAGAATTAAATTATATGTAAATATTGTATAAATATTTTTTACTTTTAGATGTTCACTGCGACCATAATGTTGAAGCAGAATGTTCACACATTTGCTAATATACGAAGGTAAACATTTATGTAAATACAATAAATATTTCTGTATCTCTGTTTAACACTTATTCTCTCTTAAGTATTTCACGGCAGTAAACACAGCAAGTCTTCATATTGTTTATGTTTAACCTTTAAAACCAGAAGAGGATATCCGGCTGCGCCCGGGACTATCTCACCCCCTCCCAATCTACCCCTCCTCTTTTTTCCCCTCTACCCCCTTTCCCTCACGTTCTCCATATCTCTTCACACTTTCCTCTACCCGTCCCCCCACCCCATCTCTCTCTCTCTCTCTCTCTCTCTCTCATACTTTTTCCCCTTCTCTTACTCCCTACTTTCCCCTCACCCTATCCCCATCTCTTCTCTCTCACTCTCCCCTTCCTGTAAGCTCGTTACATAGGCCAGTTTAACTAAAGCTCAGAGGAAAAATCAGAATTGTTATAATGGCGGCTTAGCAGTGGTGAACAAAAATTCTTATTGTTCAGTCCCACGTGTTCTGTACCACTCGGGGAAGTCATCAGGTGGTGAAACAGGTTCTGTTGGCGATTATTTATGTTTGTAGTACGTGGGGTGAAGCATTTATAGCGTTGTGGTTCTACAACCAGTCCTCGACTCAAGTCCATTACATCCAGCGGTCGCCCCCACAGACGCATTCATAAATTTTAACTTCCTGTTCATTCAAAACAAGAATTTTCTCAAATATAAATTAATATTATAATATATTAGCATATTGTGCATATATAGACATAGGTTAGGTTAGGTTAGGTATTTAGGTTCGGTTGGCGATTATTTGCATTTGTAGTACGTGGGTGAAGCATTTATAGCGTTGTGGTTCGAACAAAACTCGTCAGTGAAACACTTGTTCCGGAAGTGTTCGAACGAAATCAGTTGTGAGTCGTGTGTAAACCGCTTTTCATTCATAAACAGGGGGTTTGGCGGGTGGATGGAATCACTTTTGGATCTTTGTTTGGAGGACGGGCTGGGTTCTAACAAAATTCGTCAGTGAACAACCCGTCCTCGACTCAAGTCCATTACATTCAGCGGTCAACCCCACAGACGCATTCATAAATTTTAACATGCTGTTCATTCAAAACGGGAATTTTCGCAAGTATAAATTAATATTATAATATATTAGCATATTGTGTATATATAGGCATAGGATAGGTTAGGTTAGGTGTTTAGGTTCTGTTGGCGATTATTTGTCTTTGTAGTACGTGGGTGAAGCATTTATAGCGTTGTGATTCGAACAAAATTCGTCAGTGAAGCACTTGTTCCGGATATGTTCGAACGTCAGCAGTTGTGAGTCGTGTGTAAACCGCTTTTCATTCATAAACAGGGGGTTTGGCGGGTGCATGGAATCACTTTTGGATCTTTGTTTGGAGGACGGGCTGCAGTGAAACACTTGTTCCGGAAGTATTCGAACGAAATCAGTTGTGAGTCGTGTGTAAACCGTTTTTCATTCATAAACAAGGGGTTTGGCAGGTGCGTGGAATCACTCTTGGGTCTTTGTTTGGAGGACGAGCTGAATTGTGGTTCGAACAGAGGACGTGAGTGAAGCACTTGTTCCGGAAGGGAAGGGAATTATCATGAGAACGCGCCAAGCCATTACGACTATATTGCACTTGGAAGGGGTCAGGATAAGGATTTGGGATAGGACGGGGGAAAGGAATGATGCCCAACCACTTGATAGTCGGGGATTAAACGCCGAACTGCATGAAGCGAGACCGTCGCTCTACCGTCCAGCCCAAGTGGTTGGGCACGTATTCCGGAAGTGTTCGGACGTCATCAGTTGTGAGTCGTGTGTAAACCGCTTTTCATTCATAAACAATGGGTTTGGTGGCTGGATTAACGACCTTGGATCTTTGTTTATTTGTATGCGAGGACTGGCCAGTTCTTAATGTCTGAGTCACGGTTGTATTGACAAGTAAACTGAGCTGTTGGTAACCCACGGTGAAGTCCAGGAGACAATTCTGCGAGTACGTAATAGCTTCAACGGCTATAACAAGTAAGGCTTAGTAAGAGTAATATAGAATTAAGTACGATTATAAGGCAATAGTTAAGTTCAAATAGTATTTCTATATTTAGTAATTTTTGTATTGCTATTGATGTAATAAGATATTATGACCTCGTAAGTACACTATAGTCCATAATGGAAAAATGATTCTGCCTAGCCAAGTTATCATTTTGGTTAACTCTTGGGTTTTATTCTACATTTTTAATTCTTTTGAGAAATGCTGTACAACGAAAATAGAATTAATTTGATACTGTATAACTATTCAAATTACAAGATTATCTTTATTGTCGGTAAGATGACAATAAAGCATACATTCATAAGTATATGCAAACTTATATTTATTGATCAATATTGGTGTGAGGAGAGGTAGGCGTGTTCGTACACACGTGGCTGTCAGGGGCAGGCGAATAGCAATTTAACGAGAACGATTTTATATTACACCTGTACAGTGTTTCAAGCGCGATGGTCAGTATTGCCAACCGTAATGTTGCTATGAGAGAGTATTATTTTCGATACGTGTGTTATTGACCAGTTTGGAGTATTTACATAATTCGAATTCATATATTTAATTAATTACTTACGGTATTAATGGGGATATTTTGGCCAGTTATGTATCGTGTGAATAATCAGTGTTAGGATTTAAAGCATCACGTAGCTAGTTTTTTGACACGCTATACTCCCCTTCATATAGTATAGGGCAGCTGCATAAATGCAGATGTACCTAAATGTGTTAATAATAATAATAATAATAATAAAAAGTTGCTGATTATGTAATGTTGTTAGCACTGGTGTAGAGGGGCAGTTGTCTGCTATGTTTAGGTTCAGTGGTCTCGTGGACATGGGAGCAGGTGTACGGCTGCTCTTAGTGACGGCTGCTCTTAGTGACGGCTGCTTTCAGTTAAGTAGATTTGTTAGGTCATTTCGATGGTAATTCTTGTCTGGCCTCTTAGTAATATCTTGAATGACTATACTTCAAGTGAAGGCGTGTGCTTGGCTCCCTTTGATTTAGTGTTGATATATTCTGCATATTTCTTTACTGCCTGAAGCCTGTTTTTTTTCATTAATAAATGTAAAATTCTTCACCAAAACTGAACCTTCTTTTCATTGCCTGCAGTGGTGTTCGATTTTTCTAGTGGTCATTACTCTTGTTGATTAATGATTAATTATACTGGCGTGTTTAGTGTGCATAGTTTTCATGTAATTCATCTAGGTCATTAACGTGGGTGACAGGCCAAGAAGGGTGTCGATACACGCCAACAAACTAACTAACATCGTTAGTTTGTAACGGGTTGGTGTTGTTTTAGATTCGGCTACTAAGAACAAAAAGTCCCAAGTAGCACGGGCTATGGTGATCCCGTAATGGACTTCGTTGTAACAGGTATATCCACAGATTATGTTCCTCGGTGAAATGTCTATTTAAATGCATGCAATAACTTAATTAGAAAGTGGTTGAATGAGTACAGTCAGGATTATAAGGATTAGTAATTAACAACGTGGCTAAGGAAACTCCCAGTATTAAGTGTTACATAAAAAACTCGGAAATTCATTTTCGTTCATTTTTTTCATACAGACGTTTCAGATTAATCTCCCTTCCCGGTCAAGTTCAGGGCTAATTAACAGTTCTGCATGTTTTGTATATTTTATTTATTGATTTGTTCCAAATGAAATTTGGGGAATTCTGTGTAACAAGTTTTTATGGTCAACAATAAAACTTTGTAGTGTTCACTTCCAACACATTTCTCAACAATCATGAGTTCTTATATGATATTAAGAAATTGAGGATTGAGTAACCAACAGGATCCCCCAGTAAGAAATGTTTCGCTAAATTAAATAGAGAAAGTGGTAGAACAATTAGATATATTACTAATGGGGGAGTGTAGATCCCTTCAGGAGATTGCTAGGTGTGGGGGGGGGGGGGGTCTCAGGAGATAGCTAGGGTGCCTCGGGAGCCTGCGGGTCAAGTCATAGCGGTTCACACCCCAGCAGGAGACGGAGCAAGTCCGGACTGTTACTTTGGTAACATTATTACATAAATATAATGATTTTTAACTCTTATGTTAATAGGACGCGAGGAAGAAGCCTGATGTGAATATTATTACCTGTGGCTATATTTAGATAGGTTAGATAAAATTTTAATTAAGAGGCAGTTGGTAATTATTTTCTCTAGGGTAAGAGGCAGGACAGGAAAAACTGTAAGTTCCTCGCCCACGATGTTTCTTAAAGACGATTTAACAAGAGAACAGCATACAAACAGAACAAAACAGTATAAGGGTAGAAGAATAGAACGGGTCTGGACGTGGTCGTCCAGACCCGTTCTCTGGTTACATGACCCAGTCGATTGGTCAACAATTGAGAAATCAAAACTCCTATGGGTGTTAGCAGCGACGGCCAGCAACATCAGGTCAAGAGCTTAGGAGATAACAACTTTGTCAGATATGTTGTGGCCTTACTAATCTGCTTGAGATTGCTAGTCAGGATCAAAACATACTGCAGGACCTCTTATAGTTTTCAGGCGTGTGAAAGATTGAAGCACAGACAGAGTAGGCAGTGCGGCTTGGTGTTTGGGTTGCACTAGCCTGCAAGGGTTGAGCATCATAGCCTCATGCAGAGTGGAGTTCGCTGTGTGCCACTCCTATACCGTGCACACACACACCCAGTAAGGGGATCTTTATATCTATTTCCCAATTCCAGATATTAAAATAAATATTAAATAAACTTAGAGGGGTGACAGCGTTAAGTGTTTATATAACCCCTATAGTGTTTAGGTGAGGTTATACTGGCAGTAGCAGCAATATATAAATATATATATTGGTGTATACTGGCAGCAGGTTTTCTTTCAAACATGTTTCATTGAATATGACCGCATATATGATCGTATGGGCCAATAAGCCTTCTGCAGCCCCTATGTTTATCCCTTATGTATCCCCCCATGTTTTCACCTTCCTTGTATTATCACCTGACCTAATGCGGGTATAAAATCAGCTAGTATTGTAAGATCTGTTCACTTGAGAATGAACCATGGAGGTTCGAAACGTCGTGCAAATTATACAAATAAGTGTAATACACTCTATAGCAAATCACTTCTTTTCTTCACCTTAAAAGTACGAAAATGAGTTTTGGAGAACTCCTATTTCAATTAAGCCCTGATGCTAAGAAAATAGTTAGAGGGATAGAAGCCCTAAACCAGAAAATAATAAATACAGAATATGCGGTCATATTCAATGAAATATATATATATATATATATATATATATATATATATATATATATATATATATATATATATATATATATATATATATATATATATATATATATATATATATATATATATATATATATATTAAATTTCCTACTTTTCCTCGTTTCTTCTCTAAAACCCTTCCTGTAAGCTCGCTACAAAGGATAGTAACTAAAGCTCGGAAGAAAAATTAGAGCTATAATGATTGTATTGATGCAGATTTCCTTGTGCTCCCCCAGGTCACATGTCCTAAGATTGAATCTTTGCTGAATCCAATACTGTTGATGTCTCGGCCAGTCCTGAGAGAGGAGATTCTCTGAAGGTAATTACATCATATCCACTATGTAATTAGTGCTATTATCTCTTCCTTATCCGTAGTTATGTTAAGGTTGCGTTAGGTTAAGTCAGGTCTGGTTTCATTACGTTAATACAGTGTATTCTCAAATATGGAATTCGAGACTAATTGAGGATCTTCTAGAAGTTCATTTACAGAAAACCAAATTCATCAGACCGTTTGAAAGAAAACTAGTTCAGTATATACTTTTAATGTTTTAAATCAACGATTTATAATGCAATAAAGTTTAACATGAGAATATTCTGTTTAAGACAAGGGTCACTTGCCAGTTTACAAGTAGACTATTCTTGGAACCATATGTTTTCAGCCATCACAAATATAGTTATCCAGATGGCTTGAGGGGCGGGGGAGGGTTTGTGGCTCATTTTAATGGATTTACTCTGAGAACGGGTTGTGCTCGCCTTCTCTTTATTCTCGTATTGGTATCCTGAGTCATATTTACCACCTTTTGAATATCTTGACACACATGGTGCTATATACTCTGCCTGGCTTGGCATCTTGTTGTAATACTTCTCACCAAGAGTCTGGCCTTCAACCTCGTACAGATGAACAGACAAGCTCTCTTAAAGATGCATATTAATGTAATACTTATGTTGCTTCTCTCTTCCTGTGACGTGAGGAATAACTCCCTTTGTCTTTCCTCATAACTCATACCTCTCGGCTCTGGAACTAGTCTGGCGGCATGCCTCTAGAATATTGGGGTACGCTCGAGTCCTATATTCTATAATTAGTCTAGTGTACAGTACAAGGTTTACGGGCTCACCATAGCCCGTGCTACATGGACACTTCGTTCTGAGTAGCTAAATCTGAAACAACAACAATGTACAAGGTCTTGAACGTTTATTTGTTTAGAGTCCTGAAGACAGTTCTTATGATGGTCAGTGTTCCAGCATTGTGTTCCTACTTGTCTTTGCGTGCGGGTGCTTGCACGCGACTGTGTGCAAGCTCTTATAATTGTTTAATAATTCTAACTTCTAAATGAACGTTAGGAAGCTGAGGATGGGAGGATAAGGTCACGGGGAGAAATTACTAACTTTCCTTCTAGAGGTGTGGTGGTCGTCGTGTCAGTGTGGCGGCGAGGCTTGTGGCAGCAAGGTGATTACTGCTCTTCCTCTAGTGCTCTCGTAGTCGACCCGGCTCTTACTCTAGTGCTCTCGTAGTCGACCCGGCTCTTACTCTAGTGCTCTCGTAGTCGACCCGGCTCTTACTCTAGTGCTCTCGTAGTCGACCCGGCTCTTACTCTAGTGCTCTCGTAGTCGACCCGGCTCTTACTCTAGTGCTCTCGTAGTCAGCCCGACTCTTACTCTAGTGCTCTCGTAGTCAACCCGACTCTTACTCTAGTGCTCTCGTAGTCAACCCGACTCTTACTCTAGTGCTCTCGTAGTCAACCCGACTCTTACTCTAGCGCTCTCGTAGTCCACCCGACTCTTACTCTAGTGCTCTCGTAGTCGACCCTACCCTTACTCTAGTGCTCTCGTAGTCGAAACGACCCTTACTCTAGTGCTCTCGTAGTCGACCCTACCCTTACTCTAGTGCTCTCGTAGTCAACCCGACCCTTACTCTAGTGCTCTCGTAGTCAACCCGACCCTTACTCTAGTGCTCTCGTAGTCAACCCGACCCTTACTCTAGTGCTCTCGTAGTCCAGACGACCCTTACTCTAGTGCTCTCGTAGTCCAGACGACCCTTACTCTAGTGCTCTCGTAGTCCAGACGACCCTTACTCTAGTGCTCTCGTAGTCCAGACGACCCTTACTCTAGTGCTCTCGTAGTCCAAACTACCCTTACTCTAGTGCTCTCGTAGTCCAAACTACCCTTACTCTAGTGCACTCGTAGTCCAAACTACCCTTACTCTAGTGCTCTCGTAGTCCAAACTACCCTTACTCTAGTGCTCTCGTAGTCCAAACTACTCTTACTCTAGTGCTCTCATAGTCAACCAAACTCCGGTTGGTCAGTAAGATGTTGTGGTGACCTTCATGACCCTCCAGAGTTTTATTATTATTATTATTATTATTATTACTTTCTACCACAGACGTGGCCACACATTTACCAGCATATATACATTTTCTTCTGTCCTCCATGGACAGAGGTTGGCAGGTCTTCATCCCAACACCAACCAACGTCAATACACTAATAATCCTCTAGCTTCATAATATGTAAACCAAACTGTTTGATCTTGTAGTGAATAATGAAACGCAGCGAGACACAAGAACTGATGGTAATTAAGCATACAAGCTGTATGATTAGAACATTTAGAAATCCAGACCTTGTGGTTCCTTTACGTTGATTCCGGGGGTCAAGGTCCCGGCGGCCCGGTCTCTGATCAGGCCTCCTGGTTGATGGTCTGGTCAACCAGGCTGTTGGACGCGGCTGCTCGTAGCCTGATGTATGAATCACAGCCTGGTTGATCAGGTATCTCAAGATCTTTGGGGTAACTTGTCAAGTTTTCGAGGAATTGCATTTAATTCACAGTCCACGTTTTGGGGGCAGCAAGACCATCGGGTTATCGAGGCCACTCAAGGCTAACTACTCACTTTCCCCTGGATGCTCCCCACAACAGTTGCATAACTCCCTGGCACCACTGTTACTGCAACATGAACACAGGCCCCACTTGAAATGAAACCTGTCCATCCGGTTCTCTCCCGTCCAGGGATAGAACTCGGGTCCCTCGGTTGTGGGCCAAGGTCAGGGCTCCCTGTGAATTTCACACAACTGGCATACATAATTTGTGAAGCATTCGAGAGGTCTTGACAAATTGCTAGTACTAAGATGTGCATGTGTAATGATCCAGCCCGTCATCTCCAGGTCCACAACGGATAGAAAATGGTGTATTAAAACATCTGAATCTATCAGACGAATTCACGCGTGAATATTTGCGAGCCGCTATGATTCAGAGTACAGTACATCATCGGTCCGTTAGAGAATTTGAGGTCAAAATAGGATGTATTACACAAGGGAGGGGCTGGTCAGAGGCGTGGATTAGGATTGAGAGACTGGAAGACACAGGCCTCGCTTACGGGTTAAGGGGGATCAAGGTGGGTCACGTTCAAGTACGTCTATTGATACAATGAAATACATCTCAAAGGGATAGAGTTGCTTAGGGTATTTCTACCCTCCTTAAAAGGTGGGTCTGTTGTGTTCTTTTGGTGATGTTGGCCACAAGCGGCGAGGAGCAGCTAGGAGACCTGGTGGCCCAGGCGAGGGAGGGGGCAGCTAGGAGACCTGGTGGCCCTAGGAGAGGGAGGAGGCAGCTAGGAGACCTAGTGGCCCCAGGAGAGGGAGGAGGCAGCTAGGAGACCTGGTGGCCCCAGGAGAGGGAGGGGGCAGCTAGGAGACCTGGTGGCCCCAGGAGAGGGAGGGGGCAGCTAGGAGACCTGGTGGGCCCCAGGAGAGGGAGGGGGCAGCTAGGAGACCTGGTGGGCCCCAGGAGAGGGAGGGGGCAGCTAGGAGACCTGGTGGGCCCCGGGAGAGGGAGGGGGCAGCTAGGAGACCTGGTGGGCCCCAGGAGAGGGAGGGGGCAGCTAGGAGAGCTGGTGGGCCCCAGGAGAGGGGCAGGAACCTTGGAAAGTAGCAAGACTTCTTCATATCTTTCTCGTGAGTTTCGTCACTTGTATTTCAAGCTGTTAAATAGTTCTTGCTTCACTGGGAATAATTGTGGGGGAAGGGGGGAGGCTGACATTCCACCGGCTTCCTGTCCCCGTCGAGGCTACTAGAGATGATGGCCCTCAGATAAATCCAAGAAAATTCACTAGAACAAAAAAATACCTGGTTTCTGTCCTAATACGTGGGATGTTCAAATTAATTGTTATTGCCTGTTGTGTACCTTCTTCGACCTCTTGAAAAACTAGCCAAGGTTTGTTACCTTTTCTGGTTCACTGCTGTAAATGTCTTGGGGTCAACAGGTCCGACGGCAGAGTCGTCACCCTATGGAGTAGGGGCCAAGACCTGAGAGATGTATTGTATGTACCTTTGCTTGTATGAAAAATCTAATCTAATCTACTCCTCTATCTCGCCGTTGTTAACAAACCTAACTTAACTGAATCTAGCCTAACCCAACCCAACCTAGCCCAACCCAACCGAGCTCAACCTAACCTAGCCCAATCCAACCTAACCTAGCCCAACCCAACCTAGCCCAACCCAACCTAGCCCAACCCAACCTAGCCCAACCCAATCTAGCCCAACCCAATCTAGCCCAACCCAATCTAGCCCAACCCAACCTTACCTATCGACCTAACCTAACTCAACTCAACCTACTCCTATCTTAATCGAACCTAACCTAACTCAGCCTAACGAAAATAAGAGATACAATTTTATTTTATATAATGTGGGGGGAGTTGGGGGGGGGGAACTGGTTTGTGACGTCACAATTAAATTCAGTGTCGCACTACAAGAAAGTTAGAGCGTCCTGCGGCGTCCGTTCCCCCCAGCGTTCCCGACGACACTAAACTCTTGTACTAAATTGCCCGAACCTCACCAACCCGATAACACACAAATAGAAAGCGGGACATTACGTCAATTTTGCTCGCCTCGCTGCCATTTTTAGTAGATCAATTTTTGCTTGAAGGGAAATTGTACGTCAAAATGCTACGTACGTTGTACATCGCACCTGTAAAATATACAAAATGCTCCATGTCCTGCAAAATATCCTGTGGTGGATAGGGTTTATTAACTCTCCTGTGGCGAATAGGCTTTAATAACCCTTCCGTGGTTTGTAGGCTTTAATAACTCTCCCGTAATGTATAGGCCTTTGACCCCAACTCCAAATTTTAGATGAACGCACTCTTCGCTATCAAGGGACGGCAGGACACAACACTAGTGCTGAAGAACCATTTGTACAGCTGTACTAAAGTTACGTCGTTGATGAAACAGTTGCAGAGTTTAACACAACTCGGTTATAAATGTACAAACATTTTATGAATAGATGTTTTCAATTTGAATAGGCGGAGACACTAAATCATAGTGTTTGTTGACTAAACAAAGCAGTTACATGGATAATGCCCAAATTATAGTAGGGCAGTTATTATTAGGTTGATTTTGAGGTAAGGAGGTTGCAGGTACTTTTTGCAGCAAGACAACTTCAGATACGTGACCTAGCCCAACCCAACGGCATAGTACCCAAAAAAAGATTTTGGGTACTATGTCATTCGAATTCAACATGTCGCTGTACATTCTACAGTAGCTTAGGTGGTGGTTTCTCAAGTATGTTGATACCTTATAAGTATTAAGTTAAGTGATACTGTCACTGACGAATGAGATATTGAATTCCTAGCTCATCTTGGCAAGTCCTCTGAACATTCCCTGGTGACACTAGAGCAAGCAGGGACGGAGGCCGGCATGACATACACTACGCACATCACATACCCAATTAGCCCCAATGCTTGGATTTCTGCCTTAATGTGTAGAATGTCAACCTTGAGTGCCCGATCTCTCTCTACATTGCCTACCCAATCTGTTTAGGACGTGACCATTTAGTAAAGGCAAAGGTCAGGGTCAAGATTCAACAAACATTCTCGCATCTACTTACCCGCCTGTGCATCTTATTCTCAATTTTCTACGGCTTTATTGATATCCTTAAACAGTTTACGAGCATTGAAACTTCCTAATCAAATGTTGTAATTGTTATTAACAGCCTCCTGGTGCTTCGGAGCTCATAAACTGTTTATAATTAAGTAAATAAAGCCGCCATGGATTGAGATAAGATGTACAGATTCGTAAGTACTTGTGTAACTGTTTGATGAATCCGGCCCCTGGTTTTTTTAATTGAAAATGCAAACACATCCTTTCTGTTAGAATTAAAATAAATATTCATTGATTGGTAGTTTACTTAAAATCTACGTTAGTATCTTCATGAGGTTAAACCACCGGAAATATCAGTAGTATCAGGTGATAAGTACAAATTTTAACGAGAGTGCGTTAGTGTAAAGCCATTCTGGTTATCTAAATTATATTATTCGTTCACTGTGCATTTTGCAACTAACCATTTATGCGTGTTTTTATCATAATAGCTGTAACAACGTGTCATAAACTGCACAGCTCAAAATATACATGAAATTTGATGTAATGATATTATATAAGAGAACATAAACCAAAGATTTACTAGTTAATGGAATACAGTATCGGTAAAAATATTTGATAAATTACATGAACTATAAATTTATTTATTGTGTTGGGGAGCAAACCCGCTAACATGAAACAATAGCGACAACCGCTCAATATTGACGAAGTGGTAATACACAACCCATCATCCTAAAATAAAAATACTTGTATTAACAATGTGGTCGAAAGTATAAATATGTCGCGATAAGCCTCATTTTTAGCGCATGCTATAAAAATACATTTTTACCGCATGCTATAAAAATACATTTATACCGCACGCTATAAAAGTGCATTTTTGCCGCATGCTATAAAAGTGCATTCTTACCGCACGCTATAAAAATAGTGCAAAAAAAGTGGGTTAGTAGGGCTCAATTACTAAATATTTTCAGAGGTAAGTATTGGCACTTTCGACCACAGTTACAAAAAGTTATGCCGGAGAAGGGTTGTAGATACACAACAAGAAAAACAGGAAGACATTTAAGAGGGGTAATATCTTTCTTGACACATTTATATACAGCGTCCTCTGTCGACGAGGGAGGTTCAAGGTGACCAACAGTGCTGTGCTGAGAAAGCGCTTCCCTCTCAACTCGATTCGAACTGTATTGGTATAATTTAGAGAATTAGTGTTAGTTTAATGTGTGTATAATGTTTTCCATACCTATCTTGTGGGTGGTGGCAAATATATTAGTCACATTATCGGTTCAGAGACAAGACCTCCGTGTTCTTTAATCAGTTTAGTTGGAGGAGACTGAAATAAATTTATTTTACTATCATGCATCCAACACTGCTAGTAGATGGGAGTGGGGAGGTTACAACAATCTCCGTGGCGCAGTGGTAAAGCACTAGCCCGGTACTTCGCTAGTACTTTGGCATGGGTTTGTATCCTGGCCGGGGAGGATTGTCTGGGCGCCAATCCTTAACTGTAACCAATAATATATTGTAAACATATATATGCAAATGTCTGGTCTTGCATTGTAAACCATATATTGAACTACCAATATAGCCCAATATATGGCTTTGTATTAATAATAAGATTAATATTATTCATAATATTCTTCTGTCTTACAAGACACTTCAATTTTGTCGTTGTCGTATATATTTTTCTGTTAAAGATGTCGTTTTCCAGTTACTTGTTTTCCAATTATTTGTCTTGTGTATCTGCTACAGGTGTCGACCATGGTGTTTAACATTAACCAGGTCAGAGACAGAGTCCTGGGAGCGACGGTAGGGGCCCTCCTGCCAGTACTGCGCCTCCTGCTGCTCACAGTATTTCCTGAAGAGGGCCATCAAGTTTATGAGCTAAATGGCCCTCTCGCTTCTCAGTATGACTTTATCATAGGTAAGTATATCGCATTTGTAGCAATACTAATGACAACAGTTTAGCAGCAAAAGAGAAAACAGTAAAGTCGGTTATGGGCCTTTCATTTACCAAAAAAAAAAATAAAAAATAAACGACCTCAGTTCAGGTTCATAGGAACATAGAAAACTTTTCTAAATATTGTAATATTCAGGGAAGTCCGCAAACCTTCAAAACTGGGTAAATGTCGCTCTCATGTTGGGATAAAATATAATGTCGCCCAGTTTACTTTGTGGGAGTAAGGATGTTGGCAACAAGTTGAAATATGGTTCTGGACCCTTATCAAGACTTAATAGTCCTGGATCACTATCTTGAGTTTACAATTGGTCGAGTCGCTATGAAGGCTGTGCAATGGTCCTGGATTATTATCACAACTTTTCAATGGGACTAGACCATTATTAAGACTTGACCAATGCTCGAAACGGCTCGAGCACAAAGCCTAGCCGTACCTCTTCTATATTACTCGGGTTTAATGTTTACAGTTCATGCCACGGAAATGTGGATTGCTTTAGTGTTGGGCTAATTAAGGCCTATTAACCTGGGGAGGGATATTTAGGCTAGTAAAATGGCTTACTGAGAAGTATATAAAACATCTCATTGAATATATACTTCATCATTAATTAAAGTGATTATCCACCTAATGACGATGTTTTGTAAATAATATACTATTTTGACAGGCCAGACAAAAAGTAGTTAATTTTCAGTTTTCGAATACTATCATTCACAGTGAAATTGAAAATGTATTTAAATAAATGCAAGAAAAGTGCTACAAGGTTGTCTTGACACACTCAGAGGCAAGATATAGCTAGACAACTTGGCCCAGACCTCTCGAGGCTCTGGCATTGAACCTTTACTTCCCGCAGAGACCACTTAAGTGCATAAACTCCACCTCAGAATGTAGAAAGTGTACCACTTGCCTTTGACCCACAGGTAAGCATGTGACGACTGTAACTGTTAGTCTACATTTGTAGACTGTAATGCAGTGGTTGGGCGATGGTTTCGCTTCATGCAGGTCGGCGTTCAATCCCCGACCGTCAAAGTGGTTGGGAATTGGCAAGCCAATAGTGCATCATTGTAGCAATAACGACTCGCATGATTACACTTGATGATGATGGGGTGTAATCATGTGTGTCGTTATTTGCCACAGCCTATAGGTTAAGATTACTTTCTTTGGCTAGGCTTTCCCTCAACTCATTCTCCACACCTTGAACAAAGGAATTAACAAAGCACTCTTCATTAGTGGGTGGAAGGGCTAACTCTTTATCCTCCACACAGTGGGTGGAGGAGCAGCGGGGTGTGTGGTGGCGGCGAGGCTGTCGGAGGTGCCGGGGTGGCGGGTGCTGCTGCTGGAGGCTGGAGGTCCCCCGCCGCTGGAGACCAACGTCCCGGCCTTCCTCCCCATCTCCTACGTTCCTGGGTACAATTTGGACTGGGGATACAGAACTGTCCCTCAGAAATATTCTTCTCAAAACTTTGCTAATCATGTAAGTCAGTATGGAGTTTTCTACAATAACAGTAAAACGAACTTGTCATAATTGAACATAAACTCCCGAATTCAATCAGGCGCTGTTAAGATTTTGTTTGCCTCCTATTTTTGCCTTCCCTCCTATCCAATTCCAGCAGTTGCCTCCTCATCCTCTCCTGCCATCACCTCTATTTCACTCAGCCTCTCAGTGTTCAAGTTCTTCACCTCCAGATCCCCTGGAAGCGCGCTTTCATTTGTAAATACTTCCTGGAATCTACCATTTAGTACATACTTCTTAACACTGCCTGTAAAGCTATGCTCTCTCGAGTCTGATTACCCATTCATTCGTTGTCATTTTCCTCGTGTGGCTCTGCAAAAGTTAGGGCTGCAGACAGTAAGTCACAATAACATTGCTGAAAATTTGGAGTAGGGCAGTAGAGTCGAACCAGCGTCCTGGGTCACTCCCAGATTCTCGCCTTACCCATGGACCAGATTGTGCTTAAAAGTACAACGACCTGGAATCCGGCCAAACACACTATGGGTAAGACGTGCACCTGGGTGACCCATGATGCTGGTAGATTCCTCTGTCCTACTCCAAAGACTTTCTCGTGTACTCGGTTCTTCCTCCCCTTCCCAAGGGTTCATTATCGTTCAGTGTATTCTCATATAGTTGAAATCCCCAATGACTATAGTTGCCAGGCTCTCAGATCGTGTCCTTCACATGCCGCGCCAAACTCTTGCCTTGGTCGCCTGTGGTTTTCAAGAGGGCACGACCACTCTCTATCAGCTATATTCTTTCTTTCTTACTATGTGATCCTAGTACAGTATCAATTTACTGCGCCCGTGATAATGACCGATTCTGATGTATGTTTAGCGGAATGTAACTCTTGTGTACAAGAACGAGGAATGACTTGTATACTTGTGGTGGCACCACAGGCAGCGAGGCAGCATCAGGGGCGCGTGCTGGGCGGCGGCTCCACTGTCAACGCCATGATGTATGTGCGTGGCAACCGACGGGACTTTGACCGGTGGGCAGCGATGGGCAACCCTGGATGGGACTTCCTCAGCGTCTTACCATATTTCATCAAATTCGAAGACTATCGAGGAGAGGTTGGGGAAACGGGTGAGTTAGACCTATTTGTACTTAAAATTTTATACCTTGCAGTGCATTGAACTGTCCACAATTGTGACTGCACTTGCAAGAAGCTATGATGAATGGAAATTCCTCAGGTCGGACCATTCCTTGCTACAGCTATGAAAGAAACGGCACCCGGTGAAACCCCATCATCTTTTGGTATGAAACCTTGTGCTTCTTTATGCTAGGCTCCAATAAAGGGTGATCAGTACCGTTCATTCGTTACTTAGGTATTGTCTCGGATTCACCTAAGGTATTTGTCATTAAATTTCAGATGGTCTCGTTATAATGTATTTACCATGAGCACAGACTGATGTGCTACGCTACATCTAATGAGATTTTTTTGTTTACGAAAATGGTTATTTACTTTAAATCTAAAATTCAATTATATACAGTATCATCCTTTACCATTGTTACAGAGGCATTCCATGGCCGCGGGGGCCCCATAGGCGTCACCCCGGCGCCAATAACGCCACTAACAGGAGCCTTCATACAGGGCGGCCAGGAGCTCGGCTACTCTGTTATCGACTACAATGGCCCTGAACAACTGGGTATGGCTCGCTGTTTTTTTCCCCTTTAATGTATGTTAAAATATAATAGATTTTTGCACATATCTCATAACAAAATGTGTGAATATTGACATGAGCAAATCTAATCGGATGGAGCCTAACTACGGAAAATAAAGCTGAAGAACATCATTAGGTGTGTTGTTGCCGACAGTTAAATTCTAGGACTGAATTTGCAAAGAATTTCTGCTATGGTAAAGTCGCACTCTTGGAGTATCAAATACAGACGTTTCTCCTATAATGCCCCGAGGTTGTGTTACAGCTTAGTTTAGTTCATTTATTATGTTACAGCCCTATTGGAAACGTTTAGGGTAAGGATTAGAATTGCAGTTCAGAGTTTTGTTTTATAGATATCGAGTCTGAGGATCTCGATGGTACAGTTGGGTTCAATCTCGACTCAATCTGGAATTTCTGGTTCGAATCACAGGCAGGACACAAATGGTAGGGGCACATTTACTATCACCTAATGCTTTTATTCACCTAGCAATATCTCGGTACTCAGGAGTTATATAGTCAGCTTGTTGGGGAGTTACCTTGAGGTGATTTCGGGGCTCAGCGACCCCGCGGCCCGGTCGTCGACCAGGCCTCCTCGTTGCTGGACTGGTCAACCAGGCTGTTGGACGCGGCTTCTCGCAGCCTGACGTACCTCTTCATAGTTTCTTACCTTGTGCTTCAAACTCACACTGTATCTTGTGCTACCCACTCGCCCAATTTTATTACTAAAGACGTGCAACATTACCAGTATAATTAATTCAATATTTTTTTATTGTAGTTATTATGTTGAAATCGAATTCTGCTACAATGTACCTTCGAATGACTTCCTTTCATCTGTTAGGTTAAGGACCTACCGAAACGCTATACGTGGCTTTGCAAATATGTGAGACCAATGTTATGTAAGTGTATGTAAAGTGACTTAATATTTAACATGTTCAAAGAGTCAAACTGAAGAATGTAGTGCAATTAATAATAATAATAATAATAATAATAATAATAATAATAATTTTTATTTAGGCAAAGGTACATACATAAAGAGATTTTACAAAGTTTGTTGGCTTTATAGATAGGAGCTAGTACATACAATGCCTAAAGCCACTATTACGCAAAGCGTTTCGGGCAGGAAAAAACACTACTGACTAAAGCTTAAAACTAATGGGTAAAAAGAAAAAAATGCGTTGAGTACAAATAAAAATAGAGGTAAAAGAGGGGGGAACATTGTTGAAAAAACAGCACAAATACAATTACAAATTATTACAGAAAATTACATTAAAACAGCGTTGATTTGTAAAACAAAACAAAAAAAAAAAAAACATACATGGGTTGACAATAGAGAGGTAAGGTAGGTTACAGGGAATTTATTAGGTATAGCTTCGTTTTTAACTTAAACTGGTTGAGAGAGGTACTGTCTTTAACATGGTTGGGAAGGTCATTCCACATCCTGGGCCCCTTGATTTGTAGAGCATTTCTGGTTTGATTAAGTCGTACTCTAGGAATATCAAAACTGTATTTATTTCTGGTGTGGTGCTCATGGGTTCTGTTACAACCTTCTATGAAGCTTTTGAGATCAGGATTGGCATTACAATTTAGCGTTTTGTATATGTATAATACACATGAGTGAATGTGCAGTGACTTAATGTCTAACATATTCAGAGATTTGAGTAGGGGTACCGAGTGATGTCTGGGGCCAGAGTTGGATATTGTCCTAATAGCAGCTTTGTGTTGAGTAATTAGAGGACGTAAGTGATTTTGGGTAGTAGAGCCCCAAGCACAAATACCATAGTTGAGATATGGATAGATAAGGGAGTAATAGAGAGTCACCAGGGCATCACATGGCATCACATGGTTCTTCTCTTTCCCCCCCTTCACCGCCACCAAGAAAAGATTGTGCTAGGAATACTGGTGGAAAACAAAAATGTATATTCTGGAGATCCGTTTTCACTAGGATAATAAACCTCGGAAATCCTCAGAAACCATAATTGCAAGACATTATTTCAGTCTAAAATTCAGCTGGAAAAAACCTCGGGAAGTATGAAGCAACTTTAACAAGTCTGACTTCTTTTACCCGTCTAGGTCACTAGAGATAGACCTCGATTAAATAAATGCAGGCTCTACTTCGCTTAAACTTTATTTACTATAGTCCCTCTCTTTCCAGGATTCCCTGTGCCAACGTTTTCTATCAAAGACGGGGTGAGGTCGTCCACTGCCAGGGAGTACTTAAGACCAGCAGCCTCCAGACCCAACCTTCACATTCTCCATAGTACCACAGTTCACAAGGTCAGTCTCTAGCACTGTCCAAGTCTCCATCTGCACCAGCTGCTCTAATCTGTTTACTTTCCCTTAATCTTACCATGTATCCAGATAATCTCAAATTATTTATATACCTCATATCTAGGGTTGTTGTTATGTTGTTATAGATTCGGCTACTAGGAACAAAAAGTTCCAATTAGCATGGGCTATGTTGAGCCCGTAGTGGACTTGCCTGGCACAGGAGTGGGGCTGTGACTTCATATCTCGGGCTTCCTGTATTTTTTTATATTCACGACTGTTAGCCAGGTCAGGTCAAGGCGACCTGAGGCTGGGGGCACCTTGTCTCACTCAACAGCTAACTCGAGGGAGTAAGACCCTCCATGATTATACACGCTAGTTGTATAAACTACTCTCTTCTAATATCACCAATGTACTAGCTACAGCTATAACTAGCTAGAATGTATCTGTTGATAATCCTCAAATTTTACTATAATGTATCTACTAATCTTCGTCAAATCTTCTTACAATGTACCTGCTAACATTTCTCAATTTTGCTCGAAATTACCTACTTAAAATTGTTAGATTAAGAACCTGCCCGAAACGCTATGCGTGTTAGTAGCTTTACAAGAATGTAAAAACATCAATGCTATGTACTCTCATAAACCCACTGTACCTGTGTATAATATATATATATAATTTTTTATTCAGGAAAAGTACATACATAGTTGATTTACAAACATAATGTTGGATTTATAGATAGTACATACAATACCTAAAGCCACAAATACGCATAGCGTTTCGGCCAAGGTATATATAAAAAATACTATTCCTAAATATTAAACAGACAAATCTTAATTTTCAGATTATCTTCCACAAAAAGAGAGCTATTGGTGTCAGATTTGAGCACAATGGAAAGGTAAGTACTGTGTCAATAACTTTCGTTTACTATAAATGTATAATTTTTATTACTGATATTTCCTGAATGATATTATACAAGTAATTCAAATTGGAAATAAAGTTTGTTATAAAGTTTCTTCCAATATGGGTATTTAATCAATTTTATTTGATTAAATATTGATTAAATAAAAATCAATATTTTATTTAACCCGGCGCTCCCGGGTCGTAAATAAACGACGCGTATTTTTTCCCAAAAGTACAACCACGTCGTAAATTTACGCGCGATTAAAAAATATTTGTATAAAATCCAATTCGATCGACTTGGGGATAGTATGAAAATGTTTGCCATTAAATTTTCGCTTTCTCTAATAGGCACATGGCATATTTGGGAGAACGGCATTGTATTCTAACTTAGTGGAAAGACTATTGTATTGTTGACACGGCAAGTTTAATCGTGCACTTCACACACTCTCGGTGTGGGCCGCGATCATGATTCTACATTTATATGCATATGTCCGTGTAGGAAATTTAATTGCGATCACAGTGATACCAAATTTAACGCTGTAGGACAAGTGTGGAGTTGACAACTCTGAAAAGAATGGAAACATTTCGTCGCTGTTTGGAGCTCACAGCTAGTGATCGATGTAGTTCTTTAGCTTTTTGTGTGATTTAACTCATGCTTTGGTGACATATGTATATGGTCTTATATGTTCTTATAGATCATTCTATTGCGAACACATTGGTATAAAAATGAAATCTGTACATCGAAAATTAAGGTCAGGACAGCGAAAAGAGTATGCACTTTTCAGTGTTGCCGCTCGGTCACTCGAAAACGTCGATTTCACTTATTTATTTATTTATTTATTTATTTATTTATTTATGCATATACAAGAATGTACATAAGGAATGTGAGGATACAAATATGGTAATTACAGTCTTGTAAAGCCACTAGCACGCGCAGCGTTTCGGGCAGAGCTTCCAGGAAGTTCCAGTCCATATCGCCGTGCGCGTTAAAGTGTTTAACATTGGTGTTCCACATGATAGTATAATATATTGGTCCACTACTCTCTCATGTACGCAACACCTGAATTCAACTATTTGCCGATGACAACTTCATTCCTCAAATGCTAACCCACGTATTCTAACCGACAGTGAATGCTGATATGAAAAATTCCATCGAATTCATGTTGTCGGAGAGACAGCCTGTATCTGCAACCCATCCTCCTCCTGTTTTTTTTTTTTTTTTTTTTTGAGATATATACAAGAGTTGTTACATTCTTGTACAGCCACTAGTACGCGTAGCGTTTCGGGCAAGTCCTTAATCCTATGGTCCCTGGAATACGATCCCCTGCCGCGAAGAATCGTTTTTTTCATCCAAGTACACATTTTACTGTTGCGTTAAACAGAGGCTACAGTTAAGGAATTGCGCCAAGTAAATCCTCCCCGGCCAGGATACGAACCCATGACATAGCGCTCGCGGAACGCCAGACGAGTGTCTTACCACTACACCACGGAGACTGTTCCGCCACGGAGACTGTAAGTTTAGATAATAGTTTTTGTAACTATGTGCACCATAGTACAAATATTGATATACTGTACTAAGCAATGAGATACTGTAGTAGTATTTGGTTCTATTCACTTTATAGTCCCCCTTAAAAAAATGAAGCTAAGAAAACAAACAAATATTCCTAGGCCTAGTATAACACATGTACTATATTAGGCCTCGGATAGCGTGTATTAGGCCTAGGAAGGTTAGGTTAGTTATGATATCTTTGCAACATCTGTTGTTGTAGATTCAGCTTCAAAGTTCTGAATAGCACGGGCTATGGTGAGCTGTAGTGGACTTACTTTATTCGTCATCCAAGGATGATGAATTAAACAAGTACACTACAGCTCATCATAGCCTGTGTTACTTGGGAAAGAACGGATACTGAAGTAAATATGAAGTAACGATCTCGCACAGTGCAGCACCGTTGCTGTCATTTTTGGTAAAGCCTATGAATCGGATTCATTCAGTTTAAATTTTCGTATTTTATGTATTTTGTCAATAATGATACTGACATGGAAGTGAACGTTCTCAGCTGCTGACGGTGGGAGCGAGGAGGGAAGTCATACTGTCTGCCGGCCCAGTTGAATCACCCAAGTTACTCATGTTGTCCGGAGTTGGACCCAAGGAACACCTCCTCCAGCATAAAGTAAGTGTTATTGTTAATTGTCCAGTTGTCTTGATTAGGGATTGACGGAAAAAATCATTTTTCTGCCACATACTGTAAAAGTATTACATTTGCCATACAAAATCAGTTTTCTGATGTCAAAAGTTCCTATACTCTGCTTATTTGATAAATTATATATGTCCTAAAATAACCATTTTTATATGCTGTATGATCAAATGCTGTAGTGAAAAAGTTTGATATTCCAGTTAACTCAGCAGTCCCGAGAAGATTAACATAACAGCAGTGTTCTTTAACAGATAACATCAATGTTAGCCACAACAACCAGCTGATCTCTAATGTTTGTGATGTTTACAGTTGAAGGTGGTGGCAGACGTACCAGGTGTTGGCCAGAATGTTCACGATCACGTGGAAGTTTTAGGGCTCAGCTGGCTGGGGGTGAAGGGCACGTCTTCGCTCGGTTTACTTGAAACATTCAACCCAGTTTCTCTCAACCAGTATAAAACCACTAGACTAGGTCGGTATAAACCTTTATTTGTTCTAAAATTTATTCTTCACTTTACGATTTATGTGAACAGTAAAACATATTGCATTCGGAATGTGTTCAGGTCTAAGCTATCCCCACTAGCTCATTTTTGTTGTTCAGCAATTAAAATTTGTGGTCACTAGTTCCACATTACTGATATTTTCCTTCAATTTTGATTAAAACACAGAGTACTCTAGATAAAGTAATATCTGAATGTAGTATTTTAAGGCTAAAAATATCTGCAAAGAAATCTAAGGCAATGATTAGGTGTCAAAACTCCTGACAGGCACCTACGCATTTAAGACATTCACCTTCAGTAGGTTACACAATACGAATATCTTGGAGTATGGATAGATTCTAAAATGACATTCAACAAGCAAATTAAATAAATGGAGGAGAAAAACAAAATCTCGCTTGAAGGTAATGAGAGCAATCACAGGGCACCGACTAAGAGTGGAACACAGTGTTAAGAATATTTTACATACATGCTGCTCGTTACCTAGTTGATTATACAACACCTGCCTTACTCACTCTTTCATAAAGCCAGTGGGCAAAGACTGAGGTTATTACAAACAATGCGATGCAAATCATAATGGGGGCTCCCATGTGAACTAAAATACGAAGCTGGAAACCAAACTAACATTGGTTGAAATAAGGATATGAGAGCTTGCTGCATGTATGCTTCCCAAGATATTGACTAGGCCAAGAATCGGTTCACTTACAGATGTAATCATTGGAGCAGTAACTAGAGCCAGAAGAGCTTTCAATAGTAACAAGTGGACCCACTGGGCAATAAACACTATCAATACATTAGAGATCACAAATACAGCCAGAAAAGGTGTCAACTAAGTCTGTGCAGACTTCGTTATACAAATCCCTTGGGATTCGTTGCCAACAGACTTTTTAGATTATAACGCTACAAAAGTGGGGGGGGGGACTTGACCCCCTCTGCTATGCAACATTGCACAGATAAATAAAGAGGCAAACTTGGTATCTGACAGCTTCACAGACGGATCAGGAGACAGCAGACAAGAATCTGGAGCTGCGGTTAAGGCAGGAAATCCATAATTAGTTAAAGACTCAAATAGGTGCTCCACTTTACAGAAATAGTAGCCATCCAAACGGCTCTCATTGAATACTTATCACCTGGGTGTTGAGTCACAGCCCGTCCTCCAAACAAAGATCCAAAAGTGATTCCATGCACCCGCCAAACCCCCTGTTTATGAATGAAAAGCGGTTTACACACGACTCACAACTGCTGACGTTCGAACATATCCGGAACAAGTGCTTCACTGACGAATTTTGTTCGAATCACAACGCTATAAATGCTTCACCCACGTACTACAAATACAAATAATCGCCAACAGAACCTAAACACCTAACCTAACCTATCCTATGCCTATATATACACAATATGCTAATATATTATAATATTAATTTATACTTGAGAAAATTCCCGTTTTGAATAAACAGCATGTTAAAATTTATGAATGCGTCTGTGGGGTTGACCGCTGAATGTAATGGACTCGAGTCGAGGACGGGTTGTGAGTCATGTAGGAATACCAGGGAATGACTTTGCAGATGAAGTTGTGAAACTTGCAGCTATGTAGTAGACGTTTATATACCTCAGAGTCTAGCACAGATTAAGAAAATAGAGATGAGCAATACAGAAGATTTTTGTTGACGATAATCATCAGCTGCAACATCAGGATCCGTGGGTTGGTAGAAGAATTTAACCAACTTTTTTTATGAAAGAGTATAATTAAATTACACGAGTGCTTTTAGGCTTTGTTTTGGCCATATAGTTTTGCAGTAATCTTTCCAACATTGTGTTTTATACATGTAATTGTCTGTGGGTCTGCATGGTTAAACCATCACTATGGTATTTATAAGTGGTTTATTTTTAATTATACTGTTTCTGTATTCACTATAGGACCTGTGGCTACAGCGCCACTGAATTTCCTAAGTGCTTGGGTAAAGGTTTCTCGGGATGGTGACCCATTGTGGCCTGACATTCAAGTATTTTTCAATGGAGCGACGATAGCATTTGACAAAGGCACCCTGCACCCTGGCTTGTGGGGCTTTGATAAGACGGTTAGTTTCATGCCACTTCTTTTTGCTCCAATACAATACCTCCTTTGCATATGCATTTGTATTTCCTTGTATACAGAAAAGCACAGTTTACTTTGGTGTTTAAATGTTAGGTTTTCATTATATTTATGCAATATATTTAATTTCCTGATATTGAAATATACCATATTTTTTAAATATACTATACCTGTAAAAATAAATCTAGGCTATTACATCTAAACAGTACTGTATATAGAAAGTACATGCTTCCATTGTTATTAAAGCCATTAAATTGGGCATAATCACTTCCTATAAAGGCCAAATGATGACTTGAGTAAACTATGTATATAGACCGAAAAGCAGGATACACTCGGCGGGTTATATATGCTGAGCACTGAAAGAATTGAAGTGTAAATATAAGCATCTTCAGCTAAAAATCCTCAACTAATTTTGCCTTGCAAGAGTATTAATGGTATGATGTCGAAGTTTATGCAACTGTAGTCTAAAGTAGATTTTGCATTTTTTTTTTTAGATACATTTTGATTAAATTAAAGAATTAAAGTGTCCTTGCAGAGGTATCAAGAGTACTTCGGTGAAATATACGGACGAGAAGGGTTCTGTATCAGACCGATCCTTGTGCTGCCCAAGAGTCGAGGCACCATCACCCTCAGGTCCGCAGACGTTCATGAACACCCAGATATTGACCCTAGGCTGCTTTCTCATCCAGATGATGTTAGAACCCTGGTTGAAGGTGAGTAACAAGTTTTATTTCATTACAATAATGGCCATGCATGTCACTGGTCAACACAAATTTGATCACTTCACGGAACAATTATTTATTAATGTTAAGTTTTCAGTCAAGCTTCAATTGTCATCAATATATATTGATACTGTAACTAGATTCTATAAATGTTACATTAGAACAGGGCAATGTTTGATCAAAATTTGACTTGTTCTTATTCTTGGACAGATGTTTTACAGCTTTATTTAATGCATTTTACTTACTGAATGTGTTCTTTCACCAAAAGGAGTCAAATTTTCCCTAGCGTTGGGCAACACCTCAGGCTTCAACAACTTTGGAGCAAAGTTCTATGATAAGGTAAAAAAAAATCAATTGCAAAAATTTTAAGTAACATGTTAAGTAACTCTGTAGACTCTAAAACCTGAGCCTGGATAGGATTATGTAACCTATCCTCCTGTTTTGATAGTACTTATAGGAACGATGAGGACCATGGTATATATACACTGACGAGCAACGAAATTAGAACGTAGAAATTGGCACTATTGATTTTGACAAATCTGAAACTATTTATTTCTTGTGTTTTTTGACAAGTTAAGCTAACCTAACCTTCCTAGGCCTAATACATGATATGAGGCTATATGTGTGTGCTATACTAGGCCTAGGCATATTTAAGTTTGTTTTTAAGGTTCATATATAATAAAAGAATTCCTTACTAGTTGGTATACTTCTATCTAAAAGCTAAGTACGTATGAATTCATGACTATTGAAAACTGTCACAATAAGTACGATCTAAACAGGAGGATGGATTGGATTATGACGTAACACACACCTTGTGCATACCATATATAAAGCAAAACAATATTTTATCTTGCCCGGGCACCAGCAGGTACTGAGGGGTACCTGGTGTTACCCGGGTCTCTTTACTATTTTTGTGTCTCTCTCTCCCAGTGGGCAAGACATGCTCGATTAATGTTGAATAACGTTGAATCAACATTATTAGTGTTGAATCAACGTTGGTAACAGGTGAGAAATCATGGGAAAATGCACAATGGACAATCAGACCCACATTTCAGACCTCATAGTCGTTGGTTTCCACAATAGCAGCCAGTCCTACTTAAAAACGGGCATCGGGGGTCGACTCCAACCACCCATTGACACTCGCCATACAATCGGTTAACTGTGGTAAGTTGTGTGAGGCTAACGTAGCCATCTGGCCTGCAGCCACAAACGTCTAGAAGCCAGACATATAGACATTCTCTCTTAGAATACATTTTGCCAAGGTATAGGATATTTTAGGTTGGGTCAGGTTAGGTTAACTTGAAGAGTAGCAATGACATCTGGTGGTGAAAATGTGCTTCAGGTCTTAGAGCCTACTCGAGTAACAGTAGCTACGCTATGTAAGCCAGCTGGTAGCTTGTATCTGTCTTGACCAAAACTTTTTTAACAAATTCTTTGATTATCCTAAAAATTCAGAAAATAAGTAATTAAAATAACTAATATTTTATATTTGTATTAATATGTATGATACATCTGTACTTTTCAAGAATAGCACATAAGTGCTGAAAAAAAGATAGGTTTAGGCTACAGCAGCATCTTCCTATCGTAATTATCTCATCTTTGTCAACAGCATCTCCTTCAGTGTATTGATGAAGTATATGGTACCGACGCCTACTGGGCTTGTTATGTTCGTCACATGACCACAACCTTCTACCATCTTGCTGGAGGCTGCAAGATGGCCCCAGCCTCAGACCCTCTGGGTGTGGTGGATCACAGACTCAGGTATGTAAAAGTCAAATGACCTGCAAGCAGGTAGACAGACAAGACTCACAGCAAGTTAGGCAATGATTTACCTGAGGGCCATCATCTCTAGTGGTCTCTATGGAGACAAGAAGCCAGTGACTTCTCAAAGGACCTGCCAGAGTTCCTGAAGAATTTTTTTTAGTTGAATATTACACTGAATATATGTCTTGGCATTAATGGCTTCAGCAGACAAGCGATCCCATGACCCTACGGGTGGAAGTGTCCATTTTCTGGCCTAAATTGTGGCTTCTAATTTTGTGGAAGGTGTCATTCCTTGTAAGGAATGACACCTTCTTTTTCTAAAACGGTCCAGCTCCAAATAATGCCAAAAATAATCCACTTATGAACCTGCAGTAGTCTGAAGGTAAAAAAGTCAAACAGAAGTATATGCATTTATGGACATCGTCAACTTTACGACTATTTTGTTGAGAAAAGTCAAGTGTTGGGGTTACCACTTCGAATGGTGTGCTTTGTTTCGAGTTTGTTGTATACTGTAATTAAATCCCTCAGGTTCGAGAATTTGGTTCTAATAGTCATGGTTAGGTTACATTACATAGTGACTCGTATAGTACAGTTATGGCTTTGTTTCGATTCACAATCAGGGAAACCCAGGTTTGATTTCCAGACGAGAGAGAAATAGTTGGCTGCATTTCCTTTTACCTTGCAGTAAATAGTAACCCGGAAGTTGAGCAACTGTTATGGAGTTTCATCCTGGGAAAGGTCAGCAGTTAGATCTTTGCATGGTACCTCGATATAAGCCTTTCAAGACCATACAAGATGAATTATATTATGATAACCAAATATAATTATGTTTTAACAGAGTGCGGCCGACAGACTTTCTACCACTAATTTCCTCTCCAATCTAAAATAAACCATGAGTTTGTGCATGTACATAACAATGGTGGGGAACATAACATTTATCCATAGGATTACTGCCTAGTTGCCGTATAATTAATCTTATGTTATTTATGACATGTAACTTTGTAGTATAATAATGTGTATACCACTTTGGTTGAATATTAATGTTTGTTAATACATGACTGGTGATTTGGCAGGGCCCGTGGTGTGGCTGGGCTGCGGGTGGTGGGCGCTGCCATCATGCCCATCGTCACCAACGGCAACACATACTCTCCAACTGTTATGATTGCTGAGAAGGCCAGTGACATGATCAAGCAAGACTGGAGTAGCTTGGCAGCGATCGGCACGTAACGGTGGAACAGTAATATGATGTAGATAAAGTAAGAGACTTAAAACTAGTAAAGTAATGCAATTGAACTGCATCAAGAAACTGTTAACAAGCAAACTGCATTAATTCAATCACCACATGGACCTCACCTCGCTCTACCTCTCCTCGCACGATTCACAGATTCTTTAGCGATATAAACTGCTTGAACTAATGAGCATCACTCATTAGGTTAGATGGGTTGCCTAGGATATAACACTTCTTATGCAAAAGAAGCAGCATCAGCTGTGTTTATGCTGAAACTTAACACAACTGCTGCTCACCTCTACAAGGTGAGTGTTCACCTTGTAGTATTCATATTTTGTTCATACATTATTTTGAATTACAGTACAGTACATTACATTAAATTAAAGCAGTACTTGAGGACTTGCATGTAAAAAAAATTTGGTACATCATGTTAGAGGAAAAATATGGCTCAAAGTCCAAACCAAACACGCAAAAATCTGTATGCTTGTAATTGTATAATTTACAGAAATATATTGCAAAATTAAAATCTAATAACTTCTAATGTATGCATAGAATTTGTGCCTAATTTAACTGGTTGTCCAAGAGCAACATTTGCAGATGGCGAAGCCATACGGTCTTCTTCTCCTGAAAGATAAGAACAATGCACTGAATGTCTGCTTCATAATTATTTTATATTGAATTCAGAATGGATGGTATTATAGTTTGTAGATTTTTTTCTGTAGCCGTGGCAAGAATTATATTATACTATTAAATATTTCAACCATTTTTTATCAAGCTACTACTCACCTCTTAAAATAGCTGTTTTAAGGAATGGAATGGAAGTTTCAAAAGACATCTTTTGTAGTGGAGAAAGGCAAGAAGCTAGAGCATACCGGGAGCAAGCCTTGTATACACCTTCGCATGTAAAGTAGTCGGCAAGGAGAGATAAGTGGCGAAAGTCAACCTGAAAAGAGGAAAGTGATTAATATTTCCCTAATTTAAACAAACATGATTAAAGTTTGTGAAAAGCAGCTGTCTGACATTCCCATGGGTATTACCATCCAGCATGTCAAAACTGCTCATAAATTCAGTCAGGCAATAGGACAAACAATACCTGCACAATCATAAAAGTTACTTGGAAGTCAGAGGTAATATTCCTCCAGCACTGGAGGCATTAGAAAGGTTAACAGCTGTGGTAGCCAGTTGGCTGGATAGATGGTTAGACAGCAATCCAAATAGCTGGCTAGTCAGCTGTGCAGCCAGCAATTTAAGACAGCTGGCTAAACAGTCAAATGGTTCAAGAGATAGAAAAGTTATCAAAAGGGGAAATTAGTAATGCTAGCAGCCAAAATGGTTTACCTTAATATCATATGCAGATTGAACAGCACGTAGTTCTTTGATGATTGAACGTTCGGCAGCTTCAATACCATACATCCCAGCTACCTGATGTATGTTGTTTGTGTAGAGACGGTTTACATCCAGCAGGTTCTCATATTCAAACATTTTCTGAAGAGAATACAATCGTCACAATTAATGACACATGGTAAAGATGCAAGTGTGTTGGGTACTCTTCTTTTGTATATATAAATAAATAAATAAATAAATAAATAAATAAATAAATAAGAGTTCTTTCATTCTTCTACAGCCACTAGCATGCAGAGCATTTTAGGCAAGTCCTTAATCCTAATTTTCACACATACACATCCCCAAGAAACAGCCCCTAGCAGCTGTCTAACTCCCAGGTACCTATTTACTGCTAGGTGAATAGGCACATCAGGGTGAAAGAAACTGCCCATTTGTTTCCGACTTTGTCGGGGATCGAACCCGGACCTTTAGGACTACAAACCCCCGAGCACTGTCTACTCGGCCATCAGGCCCTATGTAGTTAATCATCTGTAAGTTGACAATGCTTCCATAAATTATACTCCTAAGTGTGCAAACTTTTTTTTTTTCCCACAAAAAAATTAAACAGCAGAGGAACTAAGGACTTGACCCAGTGAGCCCTGGAACTACCTCCCTCCCAAAACAAGTAGGAGAGATGGGCTGAATGAGCACACTCTTGTTTTGAGAGATTTGTCATCATTGTTTACATTGTTGGAGAATTCATTTGATGGGTAGTGAGGCTTTGGTCTTTTTTTTGTTTTAACCCAGCAGTGGTCTGTATTGGTTCATGACTTTCTGGGTGCCTTCCCCAGTGGACTTCTTCACCCGCTTCCTGCACCTCTGCAAGGACACACTGGTCCTCGGTAGGCCGAACTAAACTTCGCACACCAGAAGGTGCCAGTTGAGATGTAAAAACATCCACTACAAAAGCATTACAATTGAGGAATGACCACAAACATTAAGCTTGTGGTTCCATCCAGATAAAAATGGATCCACCTAAGGATCACAGTCTCATATCCATCATCCAGCTCCCACTTCATCTGTCAAAACTGGGAGAGGAGGTCTGTGAGCACATTATACACTCCATAAATATGAACCACAGAAACTAAAATGCAAAAAATCCAAAAGAAAGCCAATAGCTAGTGTCCAGTTCATGCCAGATGCTACAGTAAAATGGGACTTCAGCACACTGACAAAGCTGAAGGAACCCAAAACAACCATCACACGATCCTATGTCATTTTTTCAACGTACAACTTCTATATGTTTTGTCAGTAAAATTATAGAACTGGTACAAAGTTTCAAAACTAAAGACCTTGTTTCATTTATATTTTAAAACTGTAAATAAATGAAATAAGTAATAAATGCAGTAAATTTCATATACAGCATACTGTACTTACAAGTACATTAACACCTTCTGTCCTCAGCAGCAATGTATCCCCTTTTTCAACGACAAAGACTCGTCGAATATTTGGGACATAATGGATCAAGGCTCGCTCCGACTTCTGACGTATAATGGTAGGAATGTCATAGTTTCCACCACTTACAGGTAGGATACATGTAACCTGTAAATATCGCACATTAGTGTTCAATGGGAAATGAAACTTATTGAAACCAATATTGCACTCATTATATGATAAATAAAAGCTATAATAGTGCATAAATTAAGACATCTTTACATCCAAATGTAATTATTGTGCAGTACTTTTAATCAATGTGTATGATGATCAAACCACACATGAGAAAATGGAGAGACGACGACGTTTGGTCCATCCTGGACCATTATCAAGTCATGTGACTTGATAATGGGCCACGATGGACTGAAATGTTGTCATTCTCCATTTTCTGATGTGTTGTTTGGTCATCATATCTTCAGCAAAGTTATTGAGTCATCGTCTGCACACAATGTATACATACATATATATTATCAATGGCTTGTTACCAATTTTCATAAGTCAGAGAAAAGGCAAATAATATAATCCAATCAGGTTATAGATGTTAAATATTGAAAACATCTTTACCACTTATGGATAAACAAGCACTGTCACACTCTAGTAATTCTCTACAGCAGCACCTCATAGCTTCATAAAACCAGGTGTACTGTGCTCCTCAAGAATTGCCTTATACAGTACTGTATATACAAATACATTAATTTTTTGCAAACTGTTTCCACCCAGCCTTGTCTCTTACATCAAGCATTGTCCCCACTTTCTTGTGCGAACACATCATGCCTAACCACTTTTTTCTGACCTTCCTCTTCTGTCAAACATATTCAAGTGAATTTTAGAAGAAGTTTAACATCCATTCATTCATTCATTCAAAATGGCAAAATGACTTTCTCTGTACTTAACATTTCTCTATTTGCATTCTAGATCCCTGTTTTATCTATTCTAGCAGGTTATCCATTAGCCATGGATTTTTTTGCACCAGCCACTTGTTTTACCCAGACTTAATATACTTTCAATTCTCACTGCACAAATTCCTTTTGTCAGTCACACATCCCAAATAAAGTACCACAATATAGTGTTTCTCAAACTAATGGGCATTACCTTCTACAGATTACATGGACTGCCTAGATTTGTATACTTCTGGTTAAGTTAAACTACTTCAAATTAAACATTTTGTTAAATCATGACTGGGCTGCCTATCAACCTATTCCAGGTGCTGGCACAAGGGAGCAGCTGAGGGGCCTTGGCCTATAGTCTGATATTCTAAACAGACATGATAAATTATTTAAGTTTTATATACTCACTTCACACCACAGTTCTTCATCTCGGTCAAAATCATAGTCAACAATCCAAGAGTTAAGTCCCAAGACGGCTGCCTTGCGGCGCATAAATTCCTGCAGTGTGATACAATTTTTGCGTTTTCTGATGTTTTCAACCTTGGGTCCTTGCATTAGCTGTTAATAAAATTTGTTTTTAGTACATATTACTAAACTATTACTATATATTAAAATTAAATAATTTATTCCATAACCCACTTGTCTGTAGATATTGTTTATGTAATATTTTTTGAGTTGGACATATTAACTATGGCTTATGTTTAGTTATAAATTATAACTTGACAATTATATTTGGTCCATATTATACCAAAATTGTGAGAATCACTGATAGAGAAAATCCCATATGCATTTTCCAAGGTATTTATGGCAATGTAAGTAAGCAGTAACTTGGATATGGTGTCACGTGTGCCTTAAGAAAAACTAACATCCACCTGACTCACCTCCTCATCTGATCCTGCTTCTTCACCTAGTCCTTCATCCTCCGACACACATTCACCTTGGCTAATATTGTCCTCATCCTCCGATTCTTCCTCATTTTCTGAATAATCTTGTTCCTGTCTCTTCTTTTTTCTTGAAGAATCTACTGCATCATCTTCATTAGCCTAATTAATGCATGACAGGGTTATGAAGTCATTTGGGAACAAGCATACAGTATATATAAATATCAGTGGCATGTATTTAAACATCCTTTGTGCTTATGGAATCATAATAATTAATTCCAGTACAACAAAATTATAAACAAATGAACTGAGTAACACAGCCATAAATTATTTTGCAAATATGCCAATGATAACCAGTTATGTGTAATTAGAAAAGCTTAATCATATGTGCAAAAGTAATATATCCATGATTAAGAAACTAATCATAAGCATAGGCCAATGCATTTGTCCTATGCAAATGGTGAGTGAATGAGCCAGTGATATATAAAATCCTCACACAGCTGAAGCTTGAATACAAAGACATTTCTATGCATTTCAGTCTTTCTACACTTGATTTCTTTTGTCTACCACATGGACAAAAGAAATAAAGTACAGAAAGTTAAGAGGTTCTGTAAAGACTGAGGCCTTCAACTAGCATTGGACTGAAACAGGAAGATGGTAATTAGTAATAATGTCATGAGTACTATACAGAAATGTTTCACAATTCCAAACAATTTGATGTTATACCAAGCCACAAAGTTTGTAACAATTAAGAGATTCTAGCATTCATTTACATGTAACAGCAAAGGTACAGGTGTAAAGAATGATGAACTAGAATTCAAATAATAACAATACAAATTATTACAATATCTTCACCTCTACACCATCTTCATCGTCGTCATCATCGTCGTCATCTTCGCTATCATTACTATAAGTGGCTTTAAGTTTTGCCTTGGACTTCATGGTCTCCTCAGCAGCATCCAGTCCATCATTATCAACATTAACTTTATCATCACCTGCGTCTATCTGATCTGGGTCACTGGTAACAGAACTGCAAAAACATAACTTTTGAAATGTCGGAAAAAGGCAATAATATGACTTGTATAAGAAATGAGTAAGCAAATAGATTTACATGTAATTAGAATTTAGCTTTCAAAAACCTTGTCTTCTTTATCAGCAATTCCATATTTATCTGTTATACTTCCTCATATTGTAATTGACTTACCATAGTTGGTGTGACTTATCAAAGGATTTTTGCAGTTCCTTTAGCAAAATCTTTGGTATAAAGTGGAGTTCAACATAGTTCAATACTTGTGATGGGTTAACAGCATACATGTGCTTATATTCATGATGAGGAAGGAACGTTAATTTGATTTTGATTCGGCGGTAAGTTTGACCTCTCTTCTTCTCGAGCGCTGCATTCACATTTAATCCATTTATTAACTAGAATAAATGGATTATATTTAATGAAAATATTCTAAAAACAGTAACACAAATCTATTTAATATATGATACTTAAATTTGTATTCAACTACAGCTTAGACAAACAAGGATATATATGGAATAAACAAATGATACATAAAAATAAAAACTGAATGCAACTAATTTATGAATTTCCTGCACTACAAACTTTGAAGCAACATCCATTTAACAAATTAGCAATTAATTTCAAAACTTTTATGACCAATGATCTTATAATTCTTTTTAGCTATGATTGAAGTTAAAATATAAAACAAATAAATTTTCTGAACTACAAAATAAGAGTAATTAGAATATTAAAACGTTACTTTCTGAGCAGTTCCTCGGTTCCTCAATGAGCCATAAACACTTGCGGTCAACTCTGACCACAAAACACCACACGTCATCAACTTACTTCTTCGTCATGACAGGAAGAAACCAATTTGCTATTAGTGAATTCATCATTTCTCCATTTTCTGATGTGTGGTTTGGTCATAATATCTTCAGCAACGTTATTGTGACTCATCTCCGACTAGTGCATGAGTTGGAGAAGCTGGCTGGAATAACTGGGAAGGTTCTCTAGTGGATAAGGAAGTATCTAAGCAACAGAAGACAGTGAGTCACTGTGAGGAGTGAAATTTCAGTGTAGCAAGATGTCACTAAGAGTCCCACGAGATTCAGTTCTTGGACCGATCCTGTTTCTCATATACGTAAACAATCTTCCAGAGGGAATAAATTTACTCCTCTCAATGTTTGCTGATGATCCAAAAATTATGAGAAGAAATGAGACAGAGGAAGACAGCAAGAGGTTACAAGTTGACTGAAGAAACTGAAGGTATGGTATAACAAATGGCTAATAGTTTAACTCTGGTAAATGTAAAGCAATGAAGCTAGGTTGAGGGAGCAGGTCAGACACTAATATAAGGTCAGCAGACTGACTAAAGACACCAAATGGGAGATGAAATCATCCATAAAACAGACAAAGGAAGATCTAGGCATTGATATCACACCAAACCTGTCATCTGAAGCGCACATAAAAAGGATAACATCAGCAGCAGCATTGTGAGGTTGGCTAACATCAAAACTGCCCTAAGAAATTTGTGGAAGGAGTCATTTAGATAATTATATGTCACACCAGTCCTAGAATATGCAACCCCAGTGAGGAGTTCATACCTAGTTAAGTACAAGATGAAGTTGGGGAAGGTTCATAGGTGTGCCACCAGACTAGTTCCAGAACTATAAGGTACGAGCTATGAGAAAAGGCTATGTGAATTGAATCTCACATTGTTGAAAGACAAGAATTAGAGGAGACATGATTACCACATATGAAATTCTTAGGGGAACTGATAAGGTAGATAGACATTATTTAACATGGGTGGTTCTCACACAAGAGGACACAAGTGTAAATTGAGTACTCAAATAAACCACAGTCATTAGAAATAAATTTGTCAATGTCAAAAGTAGTTAACAAATGGAATGATACATTTTCAAATGTAGATATTAAATAACCCAATAGGTTCTGGAACCTGTACACCAGTAGTACTGTACCCTGACAGTTGGGAGTTGGGACCAAAGGTCAGAAGCTTAACCACTGCGAGCACAACTAGACAAGTACAAGTAAAAGGCCCCCACAGGACAAGTCCTAGGATGGTCAGCACTTAGCTTTGATGCACTAGGCAACACAACTGATCAATGAGTTGATGGAGGACTGAACCCTGGTCTGCCTGGTGGCGGTAATCAGTACTAACAGTATGGAGCTGGTTTCAAATGAATTACTTTGTTTCATTTGTATCACTTGGGAAGCTGTTTAGCCATTTCACGGCTTCAAGTCTTGTGAACCCAGCAGTTAACTGTGAACCTTCACTAACTTTCTGGATGCTTTCCTATTAAAATGGAGGAATGTCATTTGCTCCCTTAGACTCCGTGAGGGAGGCCAGGTTATGGCTCTAATCTCTGGTAGGCCAAACAGAGCTCCTGCAACTGATGAGTTGTAGAATGGAGCAATCTCTGAAATAGCAACAGGAAGACACCGTGAGGGCCCCCCCCCCCCCCCCCCCACACACACACATCCACTACAGCCCAGTTGGTCTAACACTTTTTGCAGAAAAAATAAAAAGGTCCAATTTTTTCTTGAAGACTTCCACTTTTGTTCTAGTGGATGAACAGGTGAATAAAGCCTGACATACTGTGTTCTCCATGAGGCATATGGGGGGTACATGACTCAGCAGGGAGCCACTTAGACTACCCCAGGAAATCATGTTGACATTTAGCAAAACAGCTGTTACTCACTGTAAGCAAAGATACTTCTGAGAGCCTGATGCGTAGGGCTTCAGCTACACTTCTGCTAATGTGCTTGTGAAATGGTACTTCCATGATCGGAGTGGATATTCGTTCGGAGGCTGTTCTTAAAATTTCAGTCATACGAGGTACACCTGAAAGACAAGAGAAATAATTATATTAAAATTCTCATTCAACTAGTATAAGAGAACAGCTACTGTATTAAATAGTTTTGATCACAGGTAATAGAGAAAATTATCTTCAATTTCTTATGTTAGATTATCTCAATGCAAACAATATTACAAAATACAGTAAAATATAAATCCTCCATATACAATATTGTATATTTACTACATGGCATTTGAGTACATGTGAATTTTTCAAAGGAATGACCCTCAAGAAAAACAAAATTAAAAAATTACAAATTTGTACAAGTTGCCTGTATTTGTAAAAAGAGATAATCATTGTCACTTTGTTCTTGAGTTAATCTCGAACACAAGGCAAAATGTAAGCGTAAATATTAGCTCATAAATAACCTTTTATATATTTTTGAGTTGTGAGGTTTTTTTAGAAGCGTGTCAAAGGGCCAAATGACAAATTGTAGTCTGACATTTATAACTATTTTCTTAATAACATAAAAATAGTTTTTATAACTGACCCATGAATATTACCAAGTCTAAGAACACAAAGTTACTAACCCAATGTAACATTAAGTTCATCCCTTCCAGCAAAGTGAAATGTGTTTAGAGTCATCTGTGTCAATGGTTCACCAATAGCCTGAAAAAGTGACAAACAATTAACACAGGCCCTAAAAAAAAAAAAATCTTACTTTGACAATATTCTGAAGATGTTTTGAACCCTCAGTATACAATCATGAAAATCATCTACATCCAAAATTTAATACTTTATACTATACATACATTTTAAATTTACATAAATTATACCTACTAAAGAAATTAAAATTATATCTAGTTCTTTAAACCAAATATTAATTCCTACCAGCTGGAAGTGAGAACTAGGGTAATGACGATGGAGATGATAATATACCAATCTAGGAAAGCTTCTGCTATGTATGCAAAAGAATGATATTATAAGGAAAATACAATTTGAAAGGTATTAAACATATCTCTGACTGCACCTGTGCACATAAAGCTCCCACTGCTTCTCCTGGATCCACCTTGGAAATAAGAGCCTTCATGTGTACTGTTGTGGCCACCTGCTCCCGTGTCAGCTTCTGCAGCTGTGGCGAGTGCTTTGAGTACATCTCATCATAGTAGGAGTTGATCAGATCATCTAAAGCTTCAGACACTACACCAAGATTGGAGGCACCAGAAAACACTGAATTAGCTGGGTCTGGACATCTTTGACAATTCTTGCTGTACCTGATGTTAGAATAACATAAGTAAGTACTGTAGATATTTATCTTGTTTGATTTGTTACAATAGAAATCACCAGCGTCCTATATAAGTTGTATCTCACTATAATTAATATTATGAAATATTCTTAAAGATATAAATCCAGCCGAAATAAGAATTATAATATATATGCCGGCAGTGGGGAATGTAAAAAGAAATAGAGGAGGTAGCAGGATGGTGGTGGTGTCATCCTAAGATAATTAATATGTCAAACACTAACTTTTCCTTTTCTTCAGATGTCAGATTATGCCACATATCTTGAAGTTCTTGGGAGGAATTGGCTCGGCCAGTGGCTGCACTGAAGCCACTGCTTTCAACGGCATTTCTCATTTTCTTGCTGAACTTGAGGAAACCACTACGACGAGCACTGTGTCTTTTCCTGTTTTTCTTGTGCCATTTCCTTAACTTGAAATATAAGGCAATACAGTATAATGTTAGACGGGGCCCATTTCTTGTTCAAAGTAAATAAATAAATATACATCAGGTAGTTATGTACTCAGTCTAAGACACACTTCCTGCCTACCTACTGAGGGCTTATTAAACCCTCAGCCATACACAGGCTGTAACAACTATTAATTAGATATGAATGTACAGTACAGTACTATTTTAAGTAATGTATAATACAATTTATTATTTCATGGAAATTTCAAATCTGCATATTATTTCTTATTTCCCCTTTAATAAGAAATTTCCACAGAGCATTTATGCAAAATAAGTATTCATATTTTTCTCAGACTCTTAACAAAAAAAAATAAAAAACTTTAATTTAAAATTTTAAAGTTTGAAAGCATGGGTTTCCTTAGACATATCAGTTAACTAATTAAGAGTAGCAGTGAGGAACCTTTTACAATATATAAAAACACACCTTCTCTGTGTATGCATCAACTAGTTCTTTATCTCCAACAGACTTGGCAATAGACAGGGATCGGTCAGTAAGGAGTCGGCTGTAGTTAGTCACTAGTACGTGTAAAGTTTCTGGGTTTTTCAGGAATGGTACCTTGGTAACATCTAATCCATCTTCACCATAATCAAACTGGAATAAAAAAAAAAATATAACAAATACTGTACCAATATGAAATCCAAACTAGACGTCAAAAAATGAAGAAACGACGATGTTTTGGTCCCTCCTAGATTGACCAGGGCCTTACCATAGAATTACGCAATAATTCACTGTGCTGTCTGTTGAAGAATGGTAATTATTACAAAATTATTTAATACAAGAACACAAAATGAATGGTTATGTATGTGAAGTTACAATTATTGAGAAGACTCTACTTTATGACAAACAAGCAATGTAAAGGCATGAATGTTTACCTGCAGAACAAGACCATCACTGTTACGAACAGTCATGTCATATTTTACATGAATGCCCTCAAGATGTTTGATAAGACAACGCTGTAGATAGCCACTGTCTGCAGTCTTTACAGCAGTGTGCTGCAAACTCTGTTGAAGAAGAAAACAAATATACACTGTACAGTACTGCAAATATAAATACACAACATATATTTAAGAATGCATCATATAAATATTATTGTAATATTAATTGGTAATAGCTGGACAATAAACCTAATACGACTTGAAATCACTTGGAAAACCACATCCATGATGGTTAAGCAGATCATACATAGGATGTAGGCACTGGTCCCCTGACAAGTCAAAGATCATTCTCTTCTTGCCAAAGTCCTTCACCACAGGGAAGAAATGAGAGGTACTAAGAAGAAAGAAATGCTTAGGAGAGAAGCAGTTTGAAAGTTAAAAAGTGGCTAAAGTCAAAGAACAGTCTAGGTTACTGTAAATTGTCATGTTAGAAAAAGTCAACTTTGAATGTAATGAAACACCTCTTTCTGGTAAGTCTCAGTGGTTCCCTGTAGCTATATCACTAAGATGGCTCCCCCTCCACCTCGGTAGGACAGCTACAGAAAACATTAATAAGTTAATCAGGAAATTAATGTATGAGTTTAACACAAGTGCAATGTTCATTAATAATAGCACTCCTAAACAAAACTATAAGCAGAGGTTGACTTACATCACGCCCCACAATGCACAGGAAAAAATATGACTGAGGATCGATGCCAGTCATGAAGCGATTTGGTATGTAGCCTCCTGCACGTGGATTAAGATCATATGCTTTGAAGGAGGGAAGGGATTTACCAGTAATGCTGAGAGGCATCCTTTTGCCATCAATAGCTACAGAACCAAATAAAGATGCCATCTGGTTCATGTTTACCTGTAAAAAACACAGAATACAGTATTTTATATTGCAAAACACTGTTTATCACAAGTATAAGCCCCCACCTCTTATCTCTACGTGCTATATGAAGAGACCGTACATTAAAACTGAGAAACATTATTCATGGAAAAACAACAAGGTGGTGAAGAAAATATAATACGACTTGAATCGATATTAAACGTGTCAAATGAGAACAATGCTATGTTACAGAAACCTAATTTTGTAAGATACATTTATTGTTCCCATTATTTCCAAGTTTGTTTTATAAATGACTGATGACAGAAAGTACTCTACATTCTACACATTATCTCATTACTGAACTTACATTTACTAAAGAGACTAAATAGTTCTAAACTTATAAATCACAAATATAAAGTAGTTTACAGACTACTTAGCTGCTTGTTACAAGTGAAATATTATCTTCCCTGGATTTTTCCAAAGATATTGCCTCTAATGCTACTGTTTAATATTATCTGTATTTCTACAGCATCCTTGGTATATATTAACAGCACCTTGACTGACAACCTCTGGCCTACAGTGCACTATGCAATGATTCATTTGGTTTATGTAGGAGAAATATGAAGAGACGTGCATATCCAAACTCGAGAGAATAGTATTTATTATCTTTAGAACAGCTGATATGATTGCTGTAAAGGTTATTTAAAAAAAAATATGAAAAATCTTATTAACTGGGAAGATAGCAAGCTATTCTAAGGTGGAAAAACTACATTAAAATATAGTCTGTATTATATTCATTAAGGTGCTCTATATCCAGAACACCTCAGTGAAAGGTAATTTTTAACTACATTTTTCAACAGCCATTAGTTGTGAAATCATTTCATGACTTGGCACACAACGAGACCCTATATAGTGTTTGAATCATAATCTGGTGGTGTTTTGCTAGCCCAGACATTGCCCTACTTCATCTTTTAGTTCACAATTGTGCACTGCAAGTATGTACTGAAATGTACATTTCACTAAAAAATGCTTAGTAGCATTGTGATTTTTCCATAGTGTAAACTTTTCCAATCATCAAACTTACCTTTGAGCCCTTGGCTCCAGTGTCTACCATCATTCTCATGTGATTATCCAGACTACGCCGCAACAGTCCTTGCTCGTTTTCTCTGCCATACGTAAAGTTTACATAATAGAATTAAAAGATTACTATATATATATAGATTATAAAATATACAATACATTCAATATATTAAGCTTTCAACATTGTCTATCACCAAGTAGCAGATTTCATTCACACAAAAATTCCATCAAATATGTTCTTTGTAATATCCACATATTAAAAACACTTAAGTATGTGTTATGCATTTCCTCATTCCTATTACTCAATTCCTCTACAAACTTACTTGTTTCTTAACTCTTGTGGTAGTAACCAAGTACTTTGCTACTCAGCAAAGATGCCTTTTAAGTAGAACCATCAGACTTCTCCACTCACATTGCAAAATGGAGGAATGTGAATTTGCAATACAATAATATGTACAGCAGTACAGTACTGTTTTAAGATATAGTAAAGTATACATCAACATGTTCTTAATTTGTTATCAAAATTGAGCTTAAGTGAAAACATGCTAGAAATGACAACATGTGAAAATTTGAAAAATAAAAATATATATATATTGTACGCGGCCAGTGAGCTAATGCCGGTATTGCCAGAAAGCCATCTGGCAGAAAATGACACTGTAAAAGCAGTTTCAGATAGCCCAGTGTACAATTCTCTCTACAATGAATAATAAATGACATGTTCAATACCCCTCTACATTGTCCCTCACATTCACACTGCTACACCATGGTCAACAGCTCTCTATTGTTTACCTGGTGACTTCAGATGTAGCAGGACCAAGAACAGATGTGTAAGCAGCATCAATAGCTGCCATGTCCTTCTCATTGTTGTACATGTGAGACTTTTCATAATAGTCCTCAAGTGTTTCTTCTGCGATGCCTAGCTTTCTGCTCACTTCACTAGGAGCTCTCTGTTCACATTGGGTGGAGAATAATCACTTTTAGTTTTCATTATAAACAAATTAAGACTACGCAAGATATAATACGAAAATAATTGAAAGTCTTAACAAATATTCTATTTTATGTCATTAACATTCAAATGCAATGTGCATAAAATCATCAAGAAATAGAAGAACTTATGAAGACCTCCAGAAATATTCATCCTTTTTAATTAAGAGAATGAAACCAAATAGAAAACCACTACCAAGCGAGTGTCTTGATACCTTAACAAGATGAGCCAGGGATGCTCTACGTCTGGCACTAACACGGGCTGGTGTAATGAACTCTTTTACGCTGATGGAATGGCCAGCCCACTTGAGATAGTACACACACAGACGGTTGATGGAGGTCAGTAGTTTTGAAGCAATACTTCCACCATATAGCTGGAAAATGCTTGTTACATTAGTACAATAATTAAAAAATACAGTGAGGTTACCAACATAAAAACACAGTTACATAATCAAATTACAAATGGCATTACATAAACAACAAATTTTTAAGTACAATAATTTGAATGCTGAACTTTTTATTGCTGAACTGAGTATAAAGAGTCATCCCTTGTTATGCAGACCCTCATTATCACAATTTCACTACAGCCTAACAAATAAATTAGGAAATTATTATATTGCTACCTTAATTTTGCATTTTCAGAATTGTTAATTTCAAAATAATAATAATTGAAGGGAGGGGGAGGAGGGCTTTAACAATCTGTGTTTTTCATTAATCCTTGCATATAGTTAATACCACTCTTATGTTATTTTAATGTTCTTTTCTTACTGTACTGTACTGGTCCACTCTTCATCCCTGGTGAAGGTGGTGACCAAGCCTAATACCTGGTGTCAGGGCTCCATCAGCTAACGCTATCAACCATTTGTAAAAGGATATCAATATAAATACATATCAACTATAATAATACCTACCTTCCTTTTAATACTACATTATTAGGCAATATTACTAAAGTGATACCCACTTGATACCTACAGGTTCAAAATTCACACACAGGCTTCTCGATGGCTCATACTCAGAAAGGTGCCTTTCATGTTTACTTGGAGCCTTACTTTTTATATTTATGTTCAAAATTCACAAGGAAAAGTACTGTACTGGCATCTCAAAAACACCATTCTATCTAGATATTCTTATTACTTAGTACCAAGAAAGTAGCAGCCAGTTTACTGTTGTTAGCCAAACATGTGCATGGATTTCTTTTGATACATTACATTATATTTAGGTGCTCCTTCAAGACTAAAATTAAAATGTCTTTGGGAAGGGACCATTTGAAAAGTTCCCAGAGGCATCGATGTCAAGAATATTACCTGCCTGACTGCCTGATCATTCTTTAGAGCGTACAGTGGATCATACCTTAGGATGCAACCGAATGGCTCGTGCTCAGAGAGATGCCTTTCATGTTAACGTCGAGCCATACTTTCTAAACCAAGTTCTCTTAGATCCTTACTTTAATCAAATATTATAATGCGCACAACCATTCTAGTTACCAACATCTACATTCTATATCCTTAAACTTGAATTATGAATAATGTGAACAGTATTTCATTTCCCTTTCAGAACTTCTCTTTAGAGTAGATATAAACAGCTCAATTAACAGGGACCAACTTACATCATAACAGGTATGTACGAGTCCATGACTTGTGGATCCAATTGCACTCTTATCTATAACACCCGAGAGCAATTCTCCATCACGTATAACAAAATCAGAATCTGTCATAGTTTCACGCCTCTTCTCTGGGAGTCCACCTGCTTTCCATTCTCTTGATTTATCAGTTTGCCACATCTAAAAAAAAAGTAAAACTAGTTATTCTGTAGAGAAATGGTTCTCTTTGTAAATCTATGACCTACATCACTGTTTCTCAACCTTTGTGCTCTTGAAATAATTCTGGGTTGTACATTAGAAAAGCACACACGGATTTCATTGTCAACTGAAAGACAATTTCTATCTTGTTCTTGATACTGGTTAAATGAGAAAAATTAAACACAAAAATGACTCAAAAATACATTTACATATGATTAGAATTAGCTTATTTATAACCATCATAACTACCCTAATTACCTTTGGGTTCCACAAATCCTTGGTTGAGGACGCTGGCCTACATATTCAGATACTGTTTTATGATCTAACTACTTGGCAAGTCAGTTGCCCATTCACAGTGCTAAGGCTGGAAGTATTTGTGTGAATTATCAACTAATGTTTTCCCTTCTAAGAAACTGACAAAGCAACAACTCTTACATCTACTTTAACAGAAGTCTTGAATGTGAAAGATGGTAGAGCCATGTTATGTGGAATGATGTTGTGTAGCAGACTTGAGATAACCTGCTTGCCAGACCACAGCTCCTTGGGTTTTATAATAGCAGGAGGAAGTGTTTTAATCCTCTCCTTATGATCAGACAGCCCTGTGTAAACCAACTGCTGGTAATCCTCCTTTGAAAAAAATTTCCCACGCATAGTGAGCATAACACTTGCTACAACACAGTCCTGAATCAGCCCTGCAAGTGGAGATCCATCCTTTGGTGTGAGGTACTGATTGTGTGTAGTTATAAGGTGATGGGCTTCACTCCGAGCTAACTCATTCTGTGGAAAGTGTAAATTTAATTCATCACCATCAAAATCTGCATTGTATGCCTTGCAGTTCGCATATGGCATACGAAGAACTCGGTCATTTGGCATTACACGAGCACGGTGAGCTTGTATGCTTGGACGATGGAGAGTTGGCTGACGATTCATTAAAACATAATCTCCATCCTGTAAATGCCGATATACAATCTTGGATTCATTGACTTTCTGTATGCCACCATCTGCTGAAGTGATGAGCTGCTTTGCAATTGCATTCCACTGATTTTCATCATTGACTCTGAGATGTTGTCGTCTACCCATTTCATCTTCCACCGCTACTGCTCCTGGATATTTAAGAGGACCATTCTTTACCTAGAGTAAAATAAGAAATCAATTAATAATTACTCAGTATAAAAAGACAAGAAACCAGTCATAACCTACTAAAAAAAGTTGTATAAATAAGGTGAATGGCTATAATGTAACTTCCCATGCTGGGAAGTAGAAGTATTCTCTAAATAGTACGGCACTGAGAACAAGGAGAGACGTCAACATAGTCATAGCAGCCTAAAGGTTTGCTACACACAAAAGAAGAGGAGTATTATATATAAAATGGATGAGTTTAGTTCACTTTGTATACCTGCTTGATGGGGTTCTGGAAGTTCTTCTACTCCCCAAGCCCAGCCTGAGGCCAGGCTTAACCTATACTGAATTACGTATGTATGTATATATGATTATGTATGCACATATAACAATGCATATTATTACAACATTAACTTAAGAGAGAAAAATGCTTCACACTAACTGACAAATTAGACAAGGAGGGAAAGTTGCACTATTTTTCAGAGAAAATTGTATACAGTGGTACCTCGGAATGCGATTGTCCCTGTATGCGAGATTTTCGGAAGGCGAGGTGTATTTACTCCAAAAATTTGTCTCAGAAGGCGAGGGTTACTTCGGGAGGCGAGTTTGGACGCGAGTTTGTTGATACGCGTACAGCCGACCTAGCGCGTTCGTCGCCCCTCCGCCCCGCCGCCCCTCAGTTTATTATTGTCTGGCGCTCAGTGACTACCCCCACATCAATTCTTCTCGCGGATTTTCAGTGTTTTGTTGGATTTTTGGTGATTTGTCTATACAATTTGTTATTATATATCTCACCATGGGTCCCAAGAAAGCCAGTGGTAAGGATAAAGGCCAGAAAGCTCCTGTGAGGATGACAATAGAGGAGAAACAAGAGATCATTCGGAAGCATGAGAACGGTACACGTGTTGTTGAACTTTGTAGGCAGTACAACAAAGCCACATCAACAATATGCACTATACTTAAGAAGAAAAATAAGATTATGGGTGCTAAAGTGGCAAAAGGAGTAAGAACATTAACGGCACAAATACTTGAAGAAGTGGAAAAGTTGTTATTAATTTGGATACACGACAAGGAGTTGAGGGGTGATAGTGTTTCGGAGGCCATTATTTGTGAGAAAGCCAGGGTGTTGCACGAAGACCTTCTAAAGAATACCCCTGCAACGAGTGATGCAGATAAGAAAGAGTTTAAGGCAAGCAGGGGCTGGTTTGAAAAATTTAGAAAGAGAAGTGGTATCCATAGTGTTACAAGGCATGGGGTTATGTGATGTGATTATGGAAGGGGACTCCCCTTCCAAACAGTAACTCCTCTCCTCCTCCCCCCTCCTCACCATCTTCCATACGCCTACAGCACTCGACAGTAAGGTAAGTAATAACTGGAACACAGTTTTGTAGGTTTATTTAGATGAATTAGGTAAATTAGGTATAAAAATTTAGTTTGATGTGGGGTTTTTGGGGTAGTCAGGAACGGATTAATTCATTTCCCTTTATTTCCCTTTATTTCTTATGGGGAAATTAACTTCGGAATGCGAGTTTTCGGAAGGCGAGGCGTCTCCAGGAACGGATTAAACTCTTATTCTGAGGTATGCCTGTATGTAGTGTCAAATAGGAAATCCACACAAACACGCATGCAGAAACAGTTCAGACGGAACTGAATGAAATTAATGATAGGCTAATTATAATAATAGAAACGTAGGCCACCAAACCTAGACAGTAATTATGGGAGGCATGTATGGACACAAATATATAGAGCAACCAGGAATAATTATGATTCATCATAGGTGACTCGAATTTTGGCAAAATAAATTAGACAAATAATACCAGAAATGATTTAAAGAAAAACCTTTTTGGAATAGAGACTACCTTCTCAAATGGTAAATTACAGTACATTATCAAGGAAGATAATACACTGGACCTAGTACTGAAACAGCAAACAAAGAGACACTAATGAAGTGACTAAATATGAAAGCACCTTTATGAATATAATCATTTGATAAGATCAGCTGTATTAATTGACTAAAAATCCTGAAACAATCTGGCATGGTGATATTTTGGTACCAGAACTATAGGGAATATTATCAAAACAAAACTTGTCTTTCAAAGTCACATTGTAATATCAGTGAAAGGGAAGAGGAGGGGCTTTAAGATACAAGTTCATGAATGATCCTTAAATCTGTCATTCTTGGCTGTATCCATTCATTTAGTAACATTCTGTTACCTAGCAGTAAATAGGTACCTGGGAGTTAGTCAGCTGTCACGGGCTGCTTCCTAGGGGTGGAGGCCTGGTCGAGGACCGGGCCGCGGGGACACTAAAGCCCCGAAATCAACTCAAGATAATCTCAAGATTCTGCAATAGCTTCATAGCACCTTACATAACCTGACAGGGTCAATTTGAATGATTCCCATGGCACCATACGACATCCTGTATGACTGCATGATCCTTCCCAATAACATAGTGAGCTCAGAAAAAGTTCATGTTTGCTTTTAGATACCATATTTTCCATCATATTTTACATGGATACCTTGTGGCTAAAAGCTATTTTAGAATGTTTCACCATACATTTATTGAAAAGGGTTTCAACAAATGATTTTGAACATGTCAACACAACATATATTCAGCTGATGGTGGAAAACAAACATGCATCCTATCAACATATTAATTAATTGTTATATTGTGTTAATAAATACCCAATCATAAAAAAATTGGAAAAATAGTTGAAGACATGATATAGCATGCAACAGGTACTCACAAGACGTCTCAGTGCTTCTACATTCCACGGAGTAACAGGAACTGGATATGAAAGTTTAATAGCAAAGTCCATGGGTACTCCTACTTCATCAACCGCTAAGAGTGGATCAGGTGCAGCCACCGAGCGTGCAGAGTAATTCACACGCTTACCCATCAAATTCTGTCGAATAAGACCTCGCTTCGTCTCTATTACCTAGAATAAAAAAGCATCATAATATAAACTATACAAAACCAACAAATTATGTCATCCATGGCATATAACTAAAAAATCCAAAATTATTTTGGATTTATAAATAATATTATTTATTTTCAGGTGACTAGTATTAAGTTTGGTTACCTATCTGTATTTTTCATTAACCACTGTTGATCTTGGATAGTAACTGGTGATTTTAAAAGCACTAGTAAAACAGGTATTAAACGGAACACTGATTGCCATGAACTTTTGTCTTAATCATGCCAACATTTCTTCCTCTCATTCTCTCTCTCTTACCTTTCTTCTCCCACTCATTACCCTTCTCATTTTTCACCTTCCATAAACCCATTTTTAAAACATGTTACCTCTTCCAATACATCTTCTCCCAATTTTATCCTACAGTGTAAATAATTATGTCATACCACTCCTTAAGGCCCTGAGCAGCTTAAAGGTTAAGCCCACTGCAACATTAAAATACAATCTCCTATTTTCCCCTTACTCTCACATATCCTCTGCCATTAATATAAAATGATTTTACTGTTTTTAACGAACTGCCCCACCCCACAGACCTTTAAAACCTCACACATCGCTTCACGATCATATCAAACATTTTTTCTAAATCCATAGTCCTGCGTATGTGAACAGCGGAACCGTGCCTAAGGAAGAGACTGTGTAGCATGGCAACAAAAATATTCTATAGTGCTACATTGCCATACTAAATCACACTTTTGTTCCATAAACATAATTATTTTAAGTTTCAAGATAATACAATGAAGCATTCTCAAAATATTAAACAGAAACCTGTACGGAAAAAGTACATTAATCATAACAAAACCATAATGATACCCGGGGGAATCAATTACTAACCTGTCGGATGCCTTTCGAGGTCACATTCACTGTGGAGTTTATTCTGGCATCGAAGATATTGTCAATAAGCCCCTGCATCTGGTACCATACATTCTGTATCTTCTCAACATGTGTTTCTCCAGGTACCTCTGATATACTGTACTTAATAACATCGGACAACTCCGTGTTTGGTTCTTGCATAATCGAGAGAAGTACGCGTAGAAGTCTGGACAGTCCCACTATTTTCTGTGGAATAAGAAAAAATACTAAAAATTGTCATTGTGTTTTTATACATGAATAAAAAGATTCTTTCTTTTCATAATGAACTTTCCAACATTATAATGACATTAGCATATGCTGAACAAACAAAGATCACTCAGTCTATAATATATTAAATAACTGTACAATACAGCTGATTTTATCAAATGATTATATTTATAAAGGTGCTTCCATATTTGCATATTATTTTATATGCAAAGGCAAAGAACTTTATGGGAAAAAACAGAATTACTTCCAGAACCAATACTTTTATCCATCTATCCACCTTCAGAACCAATACTTTTATCCATCTATCCACTTCAATATCCAATACTTTTATCCATTTATCCACTTCCAGAAGCAATACTTTTTATCCATCTATCCACTTCCAAAACCAATACTTTTTATCCATCTATCCACTTCCAAAACCAAAATTTTCTGTCCATCTATACACTATCATTATCCAGTTTCCATCCTTCATGGGGTGTCAAGGCATCAACCAGGAGAAAAATATAATGTAGAGTGTAATTAAACAGCACACTGCAGGCTCTGCCACAAAGGCTCCCCCTAGCTTATACTCTGGTCGTTACAAGTTAGACCTCACTAGAATGCCATGTATCCAATGAGATTAGTTGACTATTTATTGTTGAATAGTTGTGGCATCTACTAACATAAAAACTGTCATACTCTTTGAATATTATCACTCAAAATCTCTACATGTTTTACTTTCCCTGTTAAAGGTTGTACAGCAACAGAAATGGAAAGTAGGTTAAATATATGCTAAAATCAAAGTAAGTTACTTGTTACCTTTAGGACAGTACTGCTTTCATGTTCAACAGTCATACCATCCCGTTTAGCACACGGGCGGTACCGTGGAGGAATAACCAGGAGCGAAGTGATAAAAAACATGTCGGTGGGGTATTCCAACTTTGATGAGGCTAGTGTAGGATACAAGCATCTAAGCAGCTCTTTGTCTACTGCCCAACACTTTCGCAATATTGTTCGAGCCTGAAAATGTAATTGAACATTATTAGTTTTGGGACAGTTGTAGTGCACAGAAAAATCTAAAGATTTATAACCATGTAACAAAATAAACATTTAGAACATAAACAAATACACTAGTGCCTATACAAATTTGTTCAACTGTATAAAGATAGAATACTAACTACTTCCTAGAAACTGAGAACACTTTTTTACATATCACTTCAAATAAATCACTAATATAAATACTGCACAATTTATATAACTACTTACATGGTCTTTATGACATACCTGCTTTCCATAATTGTGAAAGCAGGAAACTGAGGATATAATTATGCAGCCATATGGTTCTAAATCAAAATACAAATGACATCATATATTTATTCTTCTCCTTATATTTATTATTCCCCCTGAAAAGGTAGGAATGCAGTATGATTGCACGTTTTAATGCCAAAGTGTGAAAACGGGCTGCCATCACAATCCTGCTGACCCACCATGATCACACTATAAATGTAAGAGAGATTGTAATTTTCTGGCAGAAGTGGGGCTCATTTTGAGATGATACTCAAGGGCCCAGGGGTATTAGTGTAGATACTGTACCTATTAGGACTCGTGCAACTCTCAGATGGGCTACTGGTTTGAGTAGGTTAAGGGGTAGTCCTAAGCCAGGTTTACTAGTTCAACTGTATGGGTGCTTTGTAGATGCACTAGGTCATTAACTGTCTACTGGTCGACCCTGACAAGTGCACGTTGTTCAATGCTTTGCTATTCGATGCTGATAGTATCTTTTTCCAAACTGTACCTACAAGGTCTGCTTGCTTTTGTGAGACCTGACCATTTGTCAAGATGCTCATCAGACTAAGATATGTAAGGTCACTGAAAGCCCAGAGATATGTTCCTTGATGGACCCTAATGGTTCTGGTTCTGGACCAGTACCCTACCTTTTTTTTTGGAGAGGGGGAGGTGACATTTTTTTGTTTCTTTTCGAAATGGTGAGCACTTTGAGTATGAAACTTTTCCCTTATATAAACCTATTTTCAAAATAAATAACCCTAGATTTAAAGTCATTCATAAAAAATTCTCCCCAATTTTAGGATTTTTTTTTTTTTGTATTCTATATGAAAATGGATTCCCAGCTAATATTTACTGGGGAACACTTAATGTAATTAGGAGACATTTGAAATCATTACCTGCTCAGATGTGATGTATGTCTGACCATCTACAACAAGTTTGTTTGAAACATTAGCATCATCATTATCACCATCTTTATCATTATCTTTATCATCATCTTTTTCCTTGCCTTTTTTCTTGTTTCCCTTCAAACTTGCCGAGGAAGCTTTCATAAAGCGAGAATTTTGAAAGGAGAGTTTCAGTACAGCTTCATTACAGAATTTACACAGCTTTTTACCACCACAACTTTGAAAGAACTTTTTGATGATAGAGTCTTGAATAGCCTTGATGTTTGATGTCGAAGTTTCATTGCAACATGTTCTCCCTGGAAACCAAAAATCAACATCAATACCCAAATGACAACAGGAAAATACAGTATGTGTTTCATCACATTTCTTTAAATAAACAGGATGTCATTCAGTGTATACATTGATGAGGTCATGAGTGTGGTTAAGGTAACAATACTAAAAATTGATATGAAACTAGTGTATGAAAGATATAAAACGAATTTATTAAGTCTGATATATGCAGAAGATGCTGTTTATGAGAAGATGAAGATTATGAGGAGATGAAGATTATATGAAAATATTGTGTTCATATTGCCTTTGAGACTTCTCTCTTTTAATGCCATCAGACTGAGATATCAAGTGTTCTCAGCTCAGTTCTCTTATCTCTGGCACTATTTTTGTGGTAATCTTCCACTGCTATATTTTTCAACATGCTCCCAAATACATCTTACAGGATTGTATAGCATAAAATTATGAATATCAAAACAAGAGTAAATTAAAAGTCAAATTCTATATACTACACGGTACATGTATATAGTACTGTTATCAAACCCTTTTACTGTCAGGAAAATCTTTAAGCATAGTCTGTTGTAGCCAAGCATGTTGCGTGTATATATTTATACTTCTATACACCATAACTCATGTTTATTTAAAGATGTGTAAGCATGTTACTTGGTTTATAAAGCACAATTTGGTTCAACACAAAATGATCTAACACATTACACTTGCCTTCAATCACATCCTTTAAGTATTGTTTCAGTATTTCATCAATGGTTAGCAGAAATCCTTTCTTTTCATAATTTTTTTCACTTCCCTTGATCTCTCTGTCATTTACGCCGGTTGTTACCTGCGAGTACAAACATTACTGTAATAAAATCTTACATAATTTGACATAAATCCTATGTAATATGATGCACTTAATTATAATTTTCACTAACAACCCACACACACATATTGTACAGGAATAAAATTTCCCTCTCAACTACAAATGCACATCAAAGATCAGTTTATCCCAGCATAAAATCAAACTCGAGACATTTTTATTTCACTCACATTAACTTATTATATAGATACTAATGATATTTATTTACAATAGTAAAGCCTGAAATCAAAATGAAATGCTCTCCCAAAAGTCAGGACCATACACAGTCATGGCAGGGGAAACATTATATGTCAGCATAGTGAAAAAAAATTAAGTGTGTCATGTAATACTGTGACAAAGGAAGATTATCCTGTTGAGAATAACCTCCAAGATTCATTCATGTCCGCTCAAAACCCCCTCAAGTGCTATTCAGCGTGTTGTTCCCGAGAGATGCGGTGGAAGACTACACATGTCTTGCTTTTCCACATTTATAAACCCCCAGCCATGTGCTGGGGGGTTTTAAAATCTTTCAGATTGTAAAAAGCGCTTACAGATGAAATACTACATACAGTTTAATCTAAACTTGTTAATTTTGTATATTTTAAATCATCACTGCAATTTTGTTAAACTATAATGCATTTTTTATAAGATTATCCATCATGGGCTATCAAGTTTAACATTTTATGCACAATATAACACAATGGCAAATGTATATGCAATATAAAGTAATTGCATTTAGACATACTTGAGTGTTAAGTCAAAATATTAGAGCAATGAAGATCTCTCTAAAGTAAAGTCCCTTTACAAAACCATGAGTAGCTATAATGCCTGATTTGAATAGGAAGCTTTGTATTAAAACAAATATGTAAGCAAATCCAAAGAAAAACTGTCCATATTTCATCCTGGAAAGTTCATCAAAAGAAATATTTTTAAAATATAATCCAGAAAAGGTAATCCCAGAAGGAAAGGTTTATCCACAAAAGTATTTGCAAGATATCTAACCCAAAGAAGCATTTTAAATATTTCATCCAAAACAGAAACAGAATAAACAAGGACAAAAATCATAGGATATCACCCCTGAGATACACAATAACAATGATTTATATATTTTATATACTGTACAGCAATTTAATAATACAACTTTGAAACATGACTAACCTCGAGAGCCTCTTCTGTTTTAGCCATGATTTGTGTAACAATATCTTGCACTTCAAGGGCCTCGTGACCATACCCTTCACTCAACAGTTTGGTTTGATAAATAAGTGTAATTACTTGGTGTTCTGAAAAAGGAGGAAAGCTTGTATCATATACAAAATATTGGAGGGAATAAGTTATGATAATGTGGACAAAAGCAAACAACCCAACCCACATATAAGAAATAAAATGTTAACAATATTCTTGTTGATACCGTGTACTATGTACAGAATGTAAACATAGTCTCAGCCGCAGTCTCAGCCCCCACATACTACATGCATATGAAACATACACTATATAACAATTTAATTTGTACATGTGAATAATATATCTTAAACTTTCACAAAGGTTCTACAATTATCACTCTGAATTGCAAGTATGGACATGAAAAGGATGGATTTACTACAGATGAATTTTCGTAAAAATAAACACATTGAAAAATTAATATCACATGCATGGACAGATATTAATCCCTACAGACCATTTTTGTCTATGATTCTATTCTATATTAATAGGAGAATGAGTTAAGAGAAATGAAAAGGAGCTCAACACTGGAACAAAAAGAAGTTAATGGTCAGTGCATGTTCACACAATAAGTGAATGAAATATGCTGAAGTGTACAAGTGAAATTGGTGATTGAGTTGATTGATTTATTGGCATTGGCCAATAAAGAAATAAATAATACAAGAGCAGTGAAGATGAGAAAACCGACACAATCCCTCGAGATTAATTCAAATATTATCATGATAATTTACAACATACTCATTCTGCCCCCCCCCCTGACCTTATGTAGTGTATGAGGATACATGCAAGACAAATAAATTTAAAGTGCAGGTAACTGAAATTACATATATAATTAATGCATATGGTATTCGTAAGTGAATAAGTGTAAGTAATATGGAAGTACTGTACAGTACTATACTACATACAGGTCGAGTATTAGAGGGGTCAGATTAATTGAGACTGGATAAATACATACAGGAAAGTCCCATGAAGGAATAAGAGAGGTTAAAGTAATCTGATTAAGTTTTTATATTTGGAGTGTTAAATGATTTTCTATTTTAGCAAAGCCCTCAAAGGGAAGTTCCAAAGGAAAGGAAAACATATGAAGTGTTGAATGGTAGATATGTAGATAGCTGTACTAGCAGTTAAAACAAAAACAACAATTAGTATTACATACCATCTGCTTGGAATCTGAAGCAGGAACTACATATCAGTTTGAGGAGTTTCTTGAAGACATCATAGAAGAAAGGGTTATACACGGGTAACTGCAAATCTATGTGACCACAATGGCCTTGGCAATTTCCTCCTTCTTGGCCACAGGTTTTACATACCTGTACACTCCGTAACTGATCCGACATTGGTCCTATTGGATTAAAATTTACTTATTAACATCACTTTTCATTGCAATTTACATAGTGATTACATTTTCTCAGAAAAGTGAGCATGCAGATGATGTTACTGTATTTACCAGGTTATCATACAATGTACCAGGAAAACTAAAACCAATGACAAAAACTACAGTGCTGAGCATAGTGAAACACCCCCTTTTAGAGTCAGTCCCTCAGATACTCACCAAGTCTACCTTCCGCCACCACTAAGGGACCAGCCCTCTACGACATTCAAAACTGAGCCGTATCTTCCACATTTACTTCCATTACAAACTTTGCTACCATTTACCACCGCTAATTGGCTGCACCCTACATTTTACATAACAAAAAAACTTTCCACTTCTTGACATTCAAGCTCTTTGTCACATCTGCCCTTAAAGTTGTGGATGGAAGTGACTTCCAAGACTACTACTTTCAGTGAATTTCATTTTTTGACCACCCATACTGGGTACGAGTATTTCCTTATACTGTACTGTACTGTACAGTATTTCTTAGACTCAATTGCTTCCCATCTTTCACATATGCCCTCTTGTTCAACTGTCCTTTAATTTAAAAAGTCTGTCCTATATGGTATTTAAACTCCTTGATGCAGTTTCACTCCAAAAGTATGCAACTTTTCTAAATACTGTACCACCTGAATGAGGCTCATTGACTAGTGTGAAATCCTAGGTTTCAGACCATTGTAAAAATTAGTCAATTATTCAACTGATGTTTATAATCTTTTTACATTTGCTTTACTAAAGATATAGTTTTTTATTCCTAAGCACAGTACTACAAAACAAACATCATAATGTAATTACCCATGTGCAGATCATACACTCCATTATCAACCAGGTGCCCAAGATCATTAATGGACTGATCTTCAGATATCCTCAGTACTGATAATTGCTTGATCTCGTCATCAGTGTAGATCTTGAACCAAAGATCCCGCACACTGGTGTCGCCCACCTGAAGATAACTCATTGTGCAACCTAAAAACATGAACAATTTCAATTAATTTATGTAATTCTCTAAACTACTGTACAGGTATATATATTTCTAGCCTGAGGTCTCTCAAATGTTCCCACAGCCGGTCGGTCGAGCGGACAGCACGCTGGGCTTGTGATCCTGTGGTCCTGGGTTCGATCCCAGGCGCCGGCGAGAAACAATGGGCAGAGTTTCTTTCACCCTATGCCCCTGTTACCTAGCAGTAAAATAGGTACCTGGGTGTTAGTCAGCTGTCACGGGCTGCTTCCTGGGGGTGGAGGCCTGGTCGAGGACCGGGCTGCGGGGACACTAAAGTCCCGAAATCATCTCAAGATAACCTCAAGATAACAGTCATCTCCTAAATGGGCCATACAGCATTTATGTTACCCGCCAGACTCTTGGGACTTTAATCCCGATTAAACAGGTATCTTCATAAGTTATCTTGTTGTGTATATACAGAAAGGAGACTATGGCAAGTTTAACTATTACAATTAATAACATCAGCTCACCATATATCAAACACCCCATGAAAGAAATGAGAGATGATACTTCATCATCATCTCTATAAAAAAAATCTAAGCCAAGCCAAAAATTTGCTAGAAATTTATATAAAATATTCAAAGAATTTTAAAAATCAATTTAAATTACGACAAACAATAACCCTATCAAAATACTTCTAGGTATTTATTTTGTTTTCATGTGTGTATTATTCTAATGTTTTAATTAAAATTGATTTTTAAAAACTTTACATTTTCAGGATTTTTTTTCAAGCCGTTTTTATTGTAGATCTCGGTTATTAAATATTTATTTATTTATTTATTTATTTATGCATATACAAGAATGTACATAAGGAATGTGAGGATACAAATATGGTAATTACAGTCTTGTAAAGCCACTAGCACGCGCAGCGTTTCGGGCAGAATAAGATAGAAAGGGTTAGTTCAATAATTTCAGCATGAATCTTCCCTATTCTGTTCTAACCTATCTTAACCTATTCAACCATCTTAACCAAACTAAAGCATTATAAAAAACAAATTGGTGTGCAGGTGACGAGTCACAATAACGTGGCTAAAGTACGTTAACGTCGTCGTCCTTTCACCTTCTAGTGTGTGGTCTGGTCAACAACAAATTGGTGTCATATTTAACATATTTCTATTCTTGCACAGAAGTGCAAGCTGTGACACTGCAGTTTGAAATAACTTTGTGGATCTTTTCGGATAGCACTGGGCTACACAACATCAATAGCTTCTCAGTGGGTCCTGTGGCGGTGGTCAGTGCACTCAGGTTACACCTGAAATGTGTCTGGTTAAGTCACCCCCCCCCCCTCCCCATCTACTGGCAGTACAATTTCCTTTCGGCAATATCTCTGGGACAAATTAAGTGACCTGTATTTCCCTGTACCTACCTCAGAAACCTGATAGTGGATACCTAACCCAAACCAACGAAAATGAACCCAAATGAGCCTAAACTACTACATTCTAACCTAATGATATATGTACATGGGTTTGACAATAAAAAACCAGCTTTGTCAACACACCTGTAACTCAACCTAGCCCAAGTATAATGTTTGTCCTATACTGTATTTTTGTATTGTTTCTTTAGTGTGTTCCAGTAATCTGACCACTGATAGTTGATTTTGTGGCTGTCAGTCATATACAATGTCCTGGTATTACAGTCGGGCTCGTTCTCGACTCCCAATCTGAGAATTCTGGGTTCCAATCCCGGTCGGAAGAATTCCAGGTTCGAATCCCGGGCGGGTGTAACAGAAATGGTTGGGCACGTTTCCTATCACCTGGTAATAAACAGGTACAGTACCCAGGAGTTAGTCAGCTTGCTGTGGGATTGCATCCTGGAAAGGGTGCGAATTCGACCCTGGGAGGAACCTCGATATAAACCTAACATGTACTATATGTATACACTGGCTGCCTGTCCCCCGACACAATAAAATAAATTACTATTATTATGGTATTCGGTAATCCATGAGGTGAGCACCTACCCGGGGTGCTCGGCGACACGTGCTCCCGCGACTCTAAAACTTCACGAGGTAAACACAAAGCATTTCTACATAGAAGAAAAAATATTCTCATTTATATATTTTCATATATAAAATTTACGTATTTCATTCACTGACGAGCACATTTAATTGGTGCGCATCAAACTATATTTGGTGACAAGCTTGATAAATAGTGCGTTATCTTTATTAATGAATGCAACGTGCTGCTGGTGATATTGAAGACACTGACGGCCATATTGGAATACCAAGATCCATAGTTACCACCGTAAATAATATTCGTGATTTTGGTCCCTAAACTTATTCAAAATGATCAAGTACCATAATTACACTGTAATTACCTAAGTAAGCGATAACATTACTGTGTAATATATTTGTATTTTTAAAACCCAACATGCAAAATATATTTTAAGAATCTCTTGTAGCTTCCACATTATTATTAACATATTTAACTTAATTAATACACAAAGCAAGATTTTCAAAGCTGCTGAATTCCAAAATCCAACTGGAACAGATTATCAAGGCAAATGGGGGGACCTTTGACAAGCAGCTGGCTTCCTGTCCTCAGTTTAAACCTTGATTCTGGGAAATGTATCATACAACAACCACTTCTGTAACTATTTACATTAATATATATATCTAGTTACTATAGTGGCCTTGACGAGGACAGGAAGCCAGCTGCTTATCAAAGGTATCCCCATTTGTCCTGATGATTTTATCGAGGTGGATGTTGACATTCAGCAATGTTTAATTCCCATTATGTGCCTCTGTAGCCCTTTCCACTACCGCCCACAAGATGGGTACAAGGTACATTGGGTTTTTGAGGATACATAGCATGGTAATTACATTCTTGTAAAGCCACTAGTACGCGCAGCATTTTGGGCAGGTCCTTAATCTAACAGATAATTTTAAGTAGGTAAATTCTAGAGGAATTAATAAAATGATAACAGATACATTGCAAGAAAAAAATGAGATGAGAGAGATTAGTAGGTATATTAAAGCACATCGGTAGCTCTGATTGATTGTATTGATAGCTTGATAGTAATTTAACAAAGATTAATAGGCACAAAACAGCATATTGATAGCACATATAAGAAGACAGCAATGATCATAATGGTAAAGTTGTTTGGATTAGGTACATAAAGATTGGGTAGCACTAGATACAGTGCAATTTTAAGGCACAAGGTAGGAAACTATGAAGATGAAATTAGGTAATTTTTAGTTTTGTTTTTTTTGAATGAGGCAAAAGTTGGACAGCTTTTCAATTCATTAGGGAGTGAGTTCCATAGACCAGGTCCCTTTATTTTTGGGGATTGACTCTGGGGATATCAAAGAGATATTTATTTCTGGTGTGGTGATAAAGGGTCCTATTACATGTGTCCAGGGAGAGTTTCAGAGCAGGGTTTGCATTTAAGAACAGGGTTTTGAAAATATAAGTGACACAAGAGAATGTGTGGAGTGAGTTTGTTTAGCATGTTGAGGGATTTAAACAAGGGGGCTGAGTGTTGTCTGAAAGCAGAGTTTGTTATTATTCTGACAGCAGATTTTTGCTGAGTGATGATGGATTTGAGGTGGTTTGCAGTGGTTGAACCCCATGCACAGATACCATAATTAAGATAGATATAGATTAGTGCATAATATAGTGAGATGAGAGCAGAGTTAGGTATATAATATCTGATTTTGGAGAGTATACCAACTGTTTTAGAGACTTTCTTAGTTATGTGTTGTATGTGGGTGCTGAAGTTGAGTCTCTTGTCTAGGAATAGGCCAAGAAACTGACCCTTCTGTTGGGTAATCCTTATTGACAGGCTTCACCTGATTCCAAATTACTTTGGTCGTGAGAATCACTCCAATGCAAGAAATGGGTCCTCACCAAAATTTGTATGGCTGAAGGTTTGAAGGCGTTTGGGCTTGGGGCTGTATGTGCCGAGGGCATTTTAGTTGGGTGGCATTATATAATAAGGTTTTACACAAACACCGTCATAAAACCTAATGTTTATTTACAGAACTTACTTACTAATATATAGGTTGCTTACATTATTCTGTGATTGATGTTAGAAAAGCTAATATCACATTAGAGAGACATCGGGATGCCTTAATTGACCGATCACATGGTTCACTTGTGGCCAATCCTGTATTAACACTTTCTTAGACAGTAAATGACAAACGGCTTTCCTAACACTGCTGGTTTCAAGGGAAATACAAGAGTTCCTTCTGAATACTTAGAGAGTCAATATAATGGCATGCACAATCACCACAGTAATGACCTGTCAAGCTGACAGTCAACATAACATATACATATATCTAAATGTGTTGTGTGCATAACACACATTCACTGACAGGATGAACAATCATGAGTTTAGTTAATTTATTATATGCCCCATACCCATCCTGTGGGTAGTAGTGGAAAGGGTTACAGAGGCACATAATAATAATACAGTAATAATAATAATAATAATAATCTAAATGCAAGAAGGTACAATGTGTTGGTGAGATTACATAAGATTGGTATTTTTACATTCATGCAAAGCCACTAACACGCATAGTGTTTCAGGCAGATCCTTAATCAGTCCTTTTCGATCCAGGTCCTTATTAGGCAAGATGAAAAAAGGTACATTGTAGCATGGTTATATATATCAACAAATAAGTACAATATAAGTTGACAGCAATGATTACACTGGTAAGGATATATGTATTAAGTACTAATATTGGGGAAGTGGGTACTGTAGTACAAGATGAAGTTTGAGTTTGAAGCATGAGGTAGGAAACTATGAGGATGAAATTAGATACTCTTTGGTTTTACTTTTGAATAGGGAATAGGTTGGACAATTTTTTAATTCATCAGGGGGTGAGTTCCAAAGACTGGGTCCTTTTATTTCCATGGAGTGTTTGCACAGATTTAGTTTGACTTTTGGGATATCAAAGATATATTTATTTCTGGTGTTGTGCTCATGGGTTCTATTACACCTGCCAAGGAAACGTTTCAGATCAAGATTAGCATTTAGGAACAAGGTTTTGTACATGTAAATAGCACATGAGAATGTGTGGAGTGAGTATGTTTAGCATGTTAAGGGGCCCAGTAATCAAAAAATATTAAAATTGTGAAAACTACTAATAAATGTTTAACAAAATTCCAACTTATTGACTTCAGCATCATGAAAGTTTCATCCCAATATTGATTTTATTGATTTTAGACATGTTTTTAAAAAAGAACAGCTCCTATTAATTGGAACTGATGGATAATGCAGTAATAAAGAGATGCACCTGTCCGACACTCAAAGAAGAAGATAGTAGTAAGAAGTGTTCACAAAGTGGATATGCAGTTGGTGCCTTTATAGCATTGCTGAGTAATACATAATAAAACAAATAATAATAAGTATGTTATTATGCTCTGTTTTGTTATATATATCATATAAATACAATGCCCAATGTTAATATCTGTTATTTTCACCAGTGTCCACAAATGTATTTTTTTTAATTTTTTTTTTGTCTTCCTTTGTGTATTATCTGATTTTGTTGCAATTTTTACATCCTGTAGAGTGCATACCCGTCCTTAACTATGTCAAGATACTAGAATTTAATTGGTCAACAAATACATCAGCCACAACTGGCAAAACTTGGTACAGTACTTGGACTTTTTTTTTGGGGGGGGGGAAGAGGTGATATTTCAGATTTCAAACCATTTTCTTTGTCTCTTTAGGTTTTTTTTTGATAATTAGGGACCAGATTAGGGCTTTATCACTTATATAAAGTATACATACATCCCCTAAATCATTATAATTATCTCTATATCTGTTTTTCTTCATTTTTTCTTTACTTCATTTCAACACATTGATCTACAACTCACATATTCAAGTACGAATAAAAAACCATGTTTATTAAAACATACAAGTAAATTAATGAATTAGAACTACCTTATTCATTGTCATTAACTTCAAATTCAATTATCTTTACAACTAGAGTTTCCACTTTGAGTCGGCATCAAAAATCCAGTTTGACCGATTCTCACCATTTTTACATAAAATGGGCACAGTCATCTGTTCTACAATCCTATTTCATTGTTTTTTCATAAACCTTATATGTCGAGTTATAAATTTTTTGGTATACAATTTGGCGCATATATCAAATGCCATATTTGACTTTTTTTACAGTAAACTATACTGAATCCTATAATAATAACTAATAAGAATGAAGATTATATGCTCTTCTGAGAGCCTAATAACACCAAATGAACAATTTGTGATATTTAATATTTGATGCTCATTTAAAAATCTTAAATTTTTAATACATCTACAAATATTTTTCATTTTTTGTTTTTCCACGTTACGTTGGCGATTATTTAGATAAAGTTGGAGCATGTGCCTAGTAGATTATGTACAAATAATTTGAAAGTGTTTGAGCAAGGTGCAAAATTTTATTTCCTGGCCCCCTTATGGGACTTAAACAATAGTGAAGCGTGTTGTCTGAAGAGAGTTATAGTTCCGATAGATTTTTGTAGAGTGATGATGGGCTCTAGATAATTTGCAGTGGTCGAATCCCATGCACAGATACCGTATGCAAGAGGTATAAATTACCCCAGTGCAATGCGAAGAGCAGAATGAGGGAACAATCTATGTTGGAAAATATACCAACCATTTAAGACTTTTGGCTGCGTTATGTGGGCGCTGAAGTTGAGTCGTGTCTATGTATAGGCTATGTATAACTTTTCCCCCTTATTTTTTTTGACAATGTTAACATTGTCTACCTGAAGTTGAATTTCATTTGGCAATTTACTACCAAATAAAATATAGTACATTAGGCCTTATCTATGTTCAGCGAGTTTGTTGGTAGACATCCACGAGTGGATTAATTCATTATCGACAATATTTGGCAAGTTTGGGTCAGAATAGAGGAAAGGTAGTATTGTCAGCAAATAGTATAGGTTTAAGAATGTTACAAACATTTAGCAAATCATTGATATAAGAAATAAAGGGCCCCAAGATGCTGCCCTGTGGCATTCCTACTGTCAATGGTAGATAGGGGGGGGGGTCAAGTTATTGATGGCTACATAATGGTGCATCACCAAGAAAGGAACTAATAATCCAGAGCTAGGCCTCTGATACCATGGTAAAGTTTAAGAGGTAGTTATGATTTACAATATCAAAGGCTTTTCACAGGTCAATAAAGAGGCCAATTGGGAACTTTATTCTGACAAGGGCTTTATGGATTATATTGAGCAGCCTAATAATGGCATTGGCATCCATTCCCAAAAGAGTACCAAACTGGTAGGGATTTAATAATGTAAAGTTTTTCAAAGTAGAAATAGAGCAGTCAGTAAGCGATATTTCAAATATTTTTGAAAATAAGTATCAAAAAGAAGGCACCAAACCAGGAAGGTTATGTAGCACCATCAAATGAAAATTTTTGAAAGCATCAGTAGATTTGATATTGGTCTGTAATTTAGGTCAGCTGTCTTGCCCTTTTTGAAATGGCCTCACTCTTGCTTTGAGGATATCAGTAAAAATAAGACAGATTTGTTGAATAGCAGCGCTATGGGTAGAGCAGGGGGAGGGCCCCACCCCCAACACTCATACCAAAGACTATTTCACTAATATGTTCCCAGCTGTGGTTTGAATTAGTGATTGCGATTGATTGTGAATGATTGTGATTGAAATGATTGAATTACGAATGTCTGTCGGGCTGACTGACAAGATGAGTAGTGATAGGATAGCTGCTGATGCGACTTGGTGACATCTGTCTGGGTCTTTAGTAATTTTCTGGCAAGGTCGACACCAATTTACAGAAAGCAGATATTGAATTCGGTTGCAAGTGTGTAACCATCTTTGGAGATTTTTATCCATTTGTAATAATTATTATCCAGGTATCCAAGGATAGATCACCTTCAGTGTTCACCTGACCCAATACAAGATTTCAGACTTGGGCAAAAATTTTGTCGAATTAATTCAGTCAAAATCTACACGTGTGCTGGGACTTCCAGGCTATGCACTTGGAGTAAGCACAGTCAGAACCTAAAGAAAAGCATTCTCTGCCACATGTGGGATAGTACGTGATGGAGCGAAGAATGGCATTGAGCAGGGCAAGTTTATAGCAGTAAAAGGACAAATTTAACATGAAAGCAAGAGAGACAAAGGTAGTAGCAAGTTTCCAGTAAGGTCTTAAAATGAAACTTGCCCCATTTTTTTCCCGATAAGGCAATTCTTGAAGTTTTAGAGGTAAAGGTCACCCTTTCCCCACCAACCCAGGTATATTAAAGTGCAGAAAGATCACCTTTTAGTATGGCAAGTGAATGCAAGTCAGTCTACCAGAATTTAACAACAAAAAATTGTGCACTTTGTGGATGCATTTGGTCCAAGGAGAATATGGAGGAGGAATTTACAAGGACATGTCAGAAGAGTAGTCTTCTGGCCTATATGCAAGGAGAATTGGCCAATTCTGGGTGGATGATTGATGTACACACTTTAAATTCTGTATCCACTCTACAATTGTTAAATATTGGGCAGCAAGGAGAAGGGTGTACAGCAGCTGTGGCCACAAAATTACCAAGATGTAGATGGCAGAATTTAAGAAAGAAAAAATTGCCTAGAGGGTCTTCCTAGTTTGGTAAGGAGGGAGAGATGGTGGCAGGGACAGGACAATGCATGGGACATGTAATGAGGAAGCGAGAGATTTTTAGTCCAGAGAAAGAATCTCTCCAATCTGTGGCAGTCATCAAAAGGTAGCACCAAGCTGGGAAGACTAGCACCATCTGTCCATTATCTTGAATAATCTAAATATTAACACTTTCGCGCTATCTGGACGCGCCGGCGCGTTCGGTTTCGTCTAACGTAAACGCATAGTGGACATAAAGTTATGTCTACTTTTAAAATATTTGTATAAAATTCAATTTTTATCCGATTTACTTTGGGTTTGTTTCAAACTGCGCGCTATGAGGCTCTCTTTCTCACCACTAGGCTGCATGGTACAATACGTTCATGAAAGGTGTGGATAACTTCGATCAAATGGTATTTTGACCCAAACGGGTTGCAGGTGGGTGACTTTAGCCGTTTATACTGGTAATTCTTCCCCCATATCATGTATTATATGCATATGTCGGTTTAGGGAATTTTATTCCGATCAATATACAACCAAAAATAACTGTGTGCAACAAGTATAATCTTGACAAACATAACAAAAGTAAAAATATTTCGTGTGTGTTTGACGCTCACTGATATGTTCCAGCGTTGTTTTATATTTGTCGCTATTCTAACTTACGCTTTGTTGATATTTTTTACCTATGGGCACATAGAACATTCTATTGCGAACACATTGACATAAAAATGAATGACGTACATAGAAAATTAATGTCATGAGAGTGAAATAAGTATAAACTTTCAAAGCGCCGTGCGTCGTCCCGTCACCGATACCGGGTAACAATTTCACCACTTCCCACACTCTTGCGGGCGGGCTGCATCATTATTCTACGCTTATATTCATATCACCGTGTTGGGAATTTCATTGCGAGTCCATTGATACCAAAATTAACGCTGTAGAACAAGTGTGGAGGTGATTACAATCCCAAGAGTAAAAACATTTTGTTGCTGATGGGCGATCACGGCGAGTCATCTACGTAGTTATTTATTTGGTGCTGGTATCCCTATATGTTTCGTGACTTATTTTACTAATGTTCTTCTAGAGAATTTTATTGCGAACACGTTGGTACCAAAATGAAATACATAGCATGAGAACTAAGGTCAGAAGAGTAAAAAGAGTATACACATTTTTGTTTTTACGCTTAAGCGATAAAAACGCAGCGCGCACATTCGGTTGGCTGAGTGACCTTTGCGGAGAGCGCGAAAGTGTTAAAGACTATACTAAAGAATAGAAGAAGAATAAAGAAGAATACTAAAATACTAAAGAATAAAGAAGACTATATTAAAGAATATTAAAGACTATACAAGAAAAAGAGATGGTGTGCAGTTTGTTAGTTTTAACAAAGCCCACGACCTTGCCAACATTCACAGAACATGACTGGGCAGATTTCCAAACTAACTTTTTTTTAAGGGGGAGAGGGGACGTGAGAAACAGAACAAGTAAAATGGCCTTGGCTGCAAGTTTGACAACTCCAATGTGGTTGAGAATCTACCAAAATTTCATTGGGTGATGTCTGATAGAAATAAAGAAGCATTTTATTTCTGGCACATTTCAGATAATTTAATAGAGGTAGACAAGGCACAAGGGCAGAACCAGAATACAGCACATTATTACTCATGTGATCAGGATATTACACTCGGAATTTTTTTTTCTTTGTAAACATTTTAATAGAATCGTTTCCCCTCAGCAAGGGCAAGTTTATAGTCAAAAGTAAAGAGTTAATTAATAAACTATGGCAACAAGTCAAGTCTAGGATGCAACTGTCAATATTCTATTGATAAATGCCCAAACAGCAAGTTGTATACTAAACCACATTAGGTTGCAGCTGTGCATCTGGGAACCAGCTATAATCTGTGTATAATGTAGAGCAACAGCATCATTTGGATTGATGGCAGATTGGTTGAACTGTAGGTGCATACATGGTGTTGTCGGTTCAGCATATTTCCAAGCATTGTCCCACACCTAGAATGAAGAGTCAACTTTGTATAAAAATGCAGGTATTAAAGTACAGGTATATTTTAAACTTACTAAAGGGAATGGTTTTTGCAAGACTTTAGGAACTTTTATGAACTCATTTCTTGATTGAGAAAAAATGCACTTGTACAGTGGTAATTTTGAAGCACACCATTTAACCTTACCAGGTACTGGGTGTGTCAGTGTTTAAGGAGAAGGCTGGAAAAAAAGTTGCATAGTTAAGCGTAAACAACTTTAGTAATAATTAAGCCAGCCTGGCAAGTCATATGGAAGGGATACCACCTTTACTGGGTATCAATAGACATGTACACAGGAGGCAGAGTCTTATAGCAGGTACTATTAAGAAAATAGCATCAAAATATTTTAACAAAGTTGCCAAACTGAAATTTGGAAACAATCAAGCCACATCAATCTTTGTGATATTTGTAGATGTTCAGTAACCCCTTTCCCATCTTGGTAGGAAAAATATTAAGAGGGCAGTCTACTCTCTAGGCCTATGAATTTAAACCAACATTGAATAGCCAATTTTAGGGCATTTGGAAAATATAAAATTGGCAAGTCACATGGACAATAATACACTAAACTTTGAATCAAGAAAGGTGGGGAGGGAAGAAAAAAAAAAAAAAAAAAAAAAAGTTGTGTTCAACATACCTTTTCACAGAAGTTCCGGGCAGTCCTATAGATTTCTTTAAATGTTTGACAGGTAGAATTTACGGGGCAGTAATTTGTCAAGCAGCTTCCTTTTGTTGGGCAATCACCCGTCATATTCAACCACCTGAAATTGTTGGTCCAATTGTCTGTGCAAGTGACATCGTTGGCACACGCAGTAAACCAAAGCTCACAATCAATGGCACACAGAGGGACTCCCCAGTATCTTTCCCGCCGCCACGAGCGATTTTCCTGCAGGGAAAATTTATTTAACGTTGCAAAAGGAACTAGCGAGCCAAATCTCTTACATGTCTAGACAAATTTATTTTTTGGTAAAAACAAAAAAAAAAACAAAAAAGCCACTATGCCATTTAAATGCTTAGGGGAAGTCACTTTCAGAATACCAAAATAAAAGCTTTATAAAATAGCCTTTTAAGTTTTGCACAATGTTAAATTTTTAATGATTAAAAATAATTTTTTAAACATGTTTAAGTTATTAAAACAATGCAGAAACCCTAGTTAAATAAAAGTCCTATAAAATATAGAATTTAGACGTTCTGCAATACTTACCGACACGACCCATGGGCCAACATTGGGTGAACATTCGTAAAAGCAGTGATCGAGCATGAAATGCCATTTACATTCCGAGGACATGGACTCTACTCGAGAACAGTGGTCATAATTGAAGTTGTAAGGACTAGATTCGTGAATAAGTCTAGTGGTATTCTCTGTACAGCAGGACCTATTCTTCCACTGATGACACTAAAAAAATCAAATATAAAAAGAGGTACTTTCTGTTAAGCAATTTATCATTTAGGTAGAAAGGATATCAAGTTTGACTACTGTCAAAAGCTCTTTACAGCAAAAAGCATATTTTTGAAGGCTTCAGATTTTTTTTTTAATCTACTGTAGTGACAATATTGTACATTAAAAAGCAAGACGTTAAAAGAAATTATCCATACCGTAGTAAACAGACTGCCTTCTGGTCCTGGTGCACTTTAGTGATGTTTAGAATCAATACAAGTGTTTATTAGAGTATCCACATCTCTCGACTTCTGAGCCATGGTCATGGTCACAACCAACGTTAAGCAGAACATTCTAGGACAAAGATAAAAAACTAGGTAAAAGTCATTTATTGAAGTTTCTGGACTAGCTTGTCAAGGACAAACTAGTATGTCTATAGACCTTACACAGTATACAAAATCAACCAAAATAAACTTTAGTATAGCAAATGACTAAGTACAGTACATGTCTCGCACTCTCCGGAGCACATTATTAAGGTTCGAGCACATGCCAAGGACTTTACTTTCAAGTAGACGACTTACCAGATTTAAGTAAATTCAAGTTGTCCTAACTAGTGTATATTCAAGACCTTTGTTTACACACTAAGTGCAAAAGTTCAATTAGTTTTAAGTTTTTTTAACCTAGTAATAGTTATGGACTTCCTAGGTAGTAAAGCAAACTTTTACACTTTCAGGTTATAAAAAGGTAATTTTGCTTTCAAATTAAAGTAAACAAAATGTTATTTTCAACAGCAACAATCTAGGGTTTATACTTTACCATAGGACCATTTGTTAGTCAAAGTTACGAAATTCATATCAATTTTGAGACATTAAAGATTTTTTGGTAGAGAAATAGTTTAATCAATAGTTCACAGCATCAATATTTTGCTAGCATTCTCTGGGGAGGAATAAGACAAGTTAATAAATAATGGCCAGTCGAGGTTTAGACCATAGATGCACAGATTCAAGAAGTGGATTAAAAGGTAGTCAACGATTAGGAACATCACGATTTAATTAACAATAGAACGCTTCACTCAATTTCTCATTGTACTTTATTTGAAGTCTGAAAATTATATGGGAAAGCTGTGGCAGTGTGAGGTGCAAAGTTTGATGGCAATACTTTGGCCATGTTTGAGAACAGATTTTCAAAGTCTGGAGAAAAAGAGTAACTCCAGACAAGCCGCCGGCTTCTGGGCCATGTCGAGACTACTAGAGATGGTGGCTCCCTTGGGGAAGTCCTTTCTACACCAATACCACAAAGTTTCCCCCCAAACGAATATAAAACCCAATTGTATCGCCAAGACACCGCGGACACCATACAACGAATCTCAAAGACATCAAGCAGTTTGAAACCACACCTCCCCGCCGCCTTTCATTACCTGACGAAGGTCAAGGGAGTGTGACGGAAAGCTGCCATCATTAACACCGGTAGTGTAGAGGGGACACCGGTGGTGTAGAGGTGGAGGGGAGAGTGATGGTGTGATCGTGGTGGGGAGCCCCTCGCCTCGCTGTCTCGCTCTCTCAAGCTTCGAACACACTATGGTCAGCCTCGAGGGGGACTGGTCAAGTCGTCTGAATTTTGTAACTAGCTCATCAAGATTGTAACTTGCTTAGCTAAATGAATTGTGGGGTTTAGTCCCTGAGTCCATTATGTGCCTCTGTAACCCTTTTCACTACCGCCCACAAGATGGGTATGGGGTGCATAATAAATGAACTAAACTAAACAAGTCGTCTACTGTAATTTCGGATACCGGGCTAGAAACAACTTCGTTCACTGAGAAATTTGTACTTCCAAACCAATTTGTTCGTATATGCGCTGGTTTGTGTTTGCTGCTGTTCTCGTCTGAATAAATACATAACACTTCATCATATAATTATTAGCGTTTCCATTAACAATGCTTAGCGCACTGTTTGTATTACTTTGTTTGTTAACAAAGCGCTCTCGTATCAGAGAAGGGAAGGGAAGAGAACTCTCAGGGGGGAAAGCGCTGTAACGTACGGTTATGTTACGTTGTTGGGTACATTAGATACAGTGTTTAGTTAGTTTCATATTTATTTAGTAGTCCTAGATACAGCAGTGTCGTAGACGTTGAGACGGGGCTTGGAGAAGAGCAGAGAGCTGAGTGTGGCCGGAGTCGCGGAGCTCTATGTGGGAGAGCGTTGTAGCTCGATGAGGTCGTAGTCTGCTGTCTGCTCTGTGTCGAGGCTGTAGCATCTTGGGTCGATTAGAACTGTACACGTCGAGTGCTACATTGTTGACTTGAAATTGTACTGCTTTGCTATTCGATTGATTGATTGATGATAAAGATTAAGCCACCCAAGAAGTGGCACGAGTATGAATAGCCTGTAAGTGGTGGCCCTTTTGAGCCATTACCAGTATTAAGAGCTGATACTGGAGATCTGTGGAGGTGCGACTGCACCCTGCGTGACGGGAGATGTCTCCCGAGGTTTGCTATTCTCAAATCGCTTGCTTATATACGGTGACTACACCTCACAATAAGATAGGAGGGCAGAAACCGTTACCTGTAAATAGGGATAGGATTATAGCGTGTGTAGTTAGTGCTAATTATTTATGCCATTAGGAGGATGAGATAATGGAACAAGTATAAGGCTTACTCGCTACAGTGGTGAAGCCTCACTTTGATTATTGACTCCAAGCATTGAAACCTCATTATCATAAGATACCCCCTCGGTACCCCTACTCAAATCTCTGAATATGTTAGACATTAAGTCACTGCACATTCTCTCATGTGTATTATACATATATAAAACGCTAAACTATAATGCCAATCCTGATCTCAAAAGCTTCATAGAAGGATGTAACAGAACCCATGAGCACCACACCAGAAATAAATACAGTTTTGATATTCCTAGAGTACGACTTAATCAAACTAGAAATGCTCTACAAATCAAGGGGCCCAGAATGTGGAATGACCTTCCCAACCATGTTAAAGACTGTACCTCTCTCAACCAGTTTAAGTTAAAAACGAAGCTATACCTAATAAATTCCCTGTAACCTACCTTACCCTTCTATTGTCAACCAATGTCTGTTTTTTTTAAAGAGCGCTGTCGACATAATTGTATTTGTGCGGCTTTTTCATCTATGTTTTCATTTCTTGTTTTCATTCTACTCATTATGCTCAATTAGTATTAAGCTTGTCATTTAAGTTTATCATGCCCGAAACGCTTTGCGTAATAGTGGCTTTAGGCATTGCATGTACTAGCTCTACCTATAAGTCAACCATTCTTTGTAAAAATTTATTGTATGTATGTACCTTACCTAAATAAACATTTTATTTTATTTTATTTTTTTATTTTTTATTTCAAGATATAGTTTCACCGAAGAAAGTTCAACACCGGCCGATATAAATATCCCAGAACTAAGTCAACTCTCATACCAAGAATGGTTAAGGGCCACAGAGCTAACCTTATTTACTTATTTATTTATATACAAGATGGTATAACCACACTGCAAACCACGCATGACAGAGCCGATTTCACCGAAACGTTTAAAACACTGAATAATTTGGAGGATGTTGAACCAGACAACTTCTTCAAGATGTCAGATGCAACACAAACAAGGAACAACGGTTTCAAGCTTAACAAACCTCAATGTAGGTCTGAAAACAGGAGCTGCTTTTTAACCCACAGGGTTATAAACCCATGGAACTACCTACCCGCCGAAGCCGTAAATGTCAAAACACTGTTGAATTTTAAGATCTAGCGTGAAAAAAATCATCAAAATAAATGGGGGGACCTTTGACAGGCCATTATAAATATAAATGGCTCTCGTATGGGCCAATAGGCCTTCTGCAGTTGCCCTTGTTCTTATGTTCAAGCTCGTCGTATCTTGTAACTCTATCATCATTACCTAGCCTCAGAACTTTACATTTATCAGCATTAAACTGCAGACTCGGGTAAATTCAGGTAAAATATAAATGTATATCTAACTCGTTTTCTTTGAAACGGTCTGAATAATTTGATTTCTGCAAATGAAATTTATCTGAGGGGTCACTGACATATATTGGTCTCGACGAAAGAAAGGATTAGTAGAAATTCTAAGAGAGAATCAAATAGTTTCCGACTTTCATATTATTTCACCTGTCAGCTAATGATATTAGGTGAACATGCTTGTGCTTTAATTTTATTTAGTAGCCCCTCATATATAATATGGTATTAGTAGTAGAAGTAGTACATTGTACTACCTAAGCTTTTAATCAAAACAAAATGCATAAATTGCATTGTATGTACTAGCTCTATCTATAAAGCCAACAAACTTTGTAAAATCTCTTTATGTATGTACCTTACCTAAATAAAAATTATTATTATTATTATTATTATTATTATTAAATTCACTACACAATTGAGGTTCTTATTTGCGTCTTATTTCATTGTAAAAGGAGTTAATTTCCAAACAGGGTTGTATAAATAAATCTTATCTTATCTTTGCATTCAATTTTGTACGGTAACTTTTCAAACTTAAAATGTAAATAGCTATATATATATATACCCCCTCTAAATGAAAAATGGCCTAATTTAACATATGTGCTAAAAATATTAACATAAATAATTCGTTTTTTAGATAACAAGATATTCATAGCAATAAGGTTTCTTGGAATGGCCTATAATGCACGCAAATACTAGTTTACGCACTTTTCGGGTAGTACGCCTGGAATTTCAAAATGGCGTTCAAACGGCGGTTGATCGTTGATGGCTCAGGCGCTCGTCAGTATCGTCGGTGCCGCCAACGCGACAACATGTACCGCTCATTTCCGACAGCAACATTGCTCCAGGTAAGAGTGATAATTCTTTTTGACATATTTATATCTTATATATACACAGTATATAGAATTATATAATATAATGGGGTTTTGCGTATGGAGTTTGCTTCGAACAATGCCTATCAATTTTTTTTTTTTTTTTTTGCTGGACTGATCAACCAGGCTGTTGGACGCGGCTGCTCGCAGCCTGACGTATGCGTCACAGCCTGGTTGATCAGGTATCCTTTGGAGGTGCTTATCCAGTTCTCTCTTGAACACTGTGAGGGGTCGGCCAGTTATGCCCCTTATGTGTAGTGGAAGCGTGTTGAACAGTCTCGGGCCTCTGATGTTGATAGTTCTCTCTGAGTACCTGTTGTACCTCTGCTGGGCGGTAGTGGAAAAGGGTTACAGAGGCACATAATGGGTTCAGGGACTGAACCCCACAATTCATTTAGCTAAGCAAGTTACAATCTTGATGAGCTAGTTACAAAATTCTTTTGTAATTCTAGTTTCAAAATTCAAAATATATTCAATTCAATATAAGTCGTCACATCAACAATGGGTTCGAGATCGACCTCAAGTACAGGTTCTAAATTAAGCACCTGACATATGTGGAGAGCTAGTGTCACAATTTGTTTGTCCTGCACACCGCCCCCCATCCAGTGGGCAGCGGTGGATAGGTTACAATCACTCGGTTACTACCTACAGTTAGCAGACTGGGGATATTTGGCTAAAATTTCTGGTAGCAGATCAGGTCCCCCATTTGTTCCGATTTTTTTTCAAATTGGATTTTACAATTCAAGTGTTATGTTATTTACTGCTTTAGCAGATAGGCGGTTCCATGGGTTTATAACCCTGTGGGTGAAAATATAGCTTATGTTTTCAGTCCTACACTGCGGCTTGTTGGACTTGAAACCGTTGTTCCTTGTTTGTGTTCCATCTGACCTTTTGAAGTTGTTCTCTGGATCCATATCTTCGAAACTGTTCAATATTTTAATAGGCAGGCGATGAGTCACAATAACGTGGCTGAAGTATGTTGACCAGACCACACACTAGAAGTTGAAGGGACGACGAGTTTCGGTCCGTCCTGGACCATTCTCAAGTCGATTCAAGTCGATATTTTAATAGTTTCGGTGAGATCCATCCTGGCATGCCTAGTTTGCAGTGTTGTTAGCCCTGTGACCCTCAACCGTTCATGGTATGAAACTAGACCTCATTCTGCAGTTATTTTTGTCGTCTGGTGTTCAATTTTCTCCATGAAAGGTTGGGCGCGGGGTGGGTTCTCTGTCGGCCTCCAAGTGGGTTCTCTGTCGGGCTCCAAGTGGGTTCTCTGTTGGGCTCCAAGTGGGTTCTCTGTCGGGCTCCAAGTGGGTTCTCTGTCGGGCTCCAAGTGGGTTCTCTGTCGGGCTCCAAGTGGGTTCTCTGTCGGGCTCCAAGTGGGTTCTCTGTCGGGCTCCAAGTGGGTTCTCTGTCGGGCTCCAAGTGGGTTCTCTGTCGGGCTCCAAGTGGGTTCTCTGTCGGGCCCCAAGTGGGTTCTCTGTCGGGCCCCAAGTGGGTTCTCTGTCGGGCCCCAAGTGGGTTCTCTGTCGGGCCCCAAGTGGGTTCTCTGTCGGGCCCCAAGTGGGTTCTCTGTCGGGCCCCAAGTGGGTTCTCTGTCGGGGCTCCGGGGTGGGTTGTCGGTCGGGGCTCCGGGGTGGGTTGTCGGTCGGGGCTCCGGGGTGGGTTGTCGGTCGGGGCTCCGGGGTGGGTTGTCGGTCGGGGCTCCGGGGTGGGTTGTCGGTCGGGGCTCCGGGGTGGGTTGTCGGTCGGGGCTCCGGGGTGGGTTGTCGGTCGGGGCTCCGGGGTGGGTTGTCGGTCGGGGCTCCGGGGTGGGTTGTCGGTCGGGGCTCCGGGGTGGGTTGTCGGTCGGGGCTCCGGGGTGGGTTGTCGGTCGGGGCTCCGGGGTGGGTTGTCGGTCGGGGCTCCGGGGTGGGTTGTCGGTCGGGGCTCCGGGGTGGGTTGTCGGTCGGGGCTCCGGGTGGCTTTGTCGGGCGGGGCTCTGGGTGGGTGACTGTTCGGGCTCCAGGTGGGTGTCTGTCCGGCTTCGGGTGGGTTCTTGGTAGGGCTTGGGGGGTGTGGGCTCTTGGTAGGGCTTGGGGGGGTGTGGGTCTTGGTAGGGCTGGGGGGGTGTGGGTACTTGGTAGGGCTTGGGGGTGTGTGGGTACTTGGTAGGGCTTGGGGGGTGTGGGTCTTGGTAGGGCTCCGGGGTGTGGGTTCTTGGTCGGGGCTTGGGGGGGTGTGGGTTCTTGGTAGGCTTGGGGGGGTGTGGGTTCTTGGTAGGGCTTGGGGGGGGTGGGTTCTTGGTAGGGCTTGGGGGGGTGTGGGTTCTTGGTAGGGCTTGGGGGGTTGTCGGTCTTGGTAGGGCTTGGGGGGGGTGGGTTCTTGGTAGGGCTTGGGGGGTGGGTTGTTGGTCGGGCTTGGGGGGGTGTGGGTTCTTGGTAGGGCTGGGGGGTGGGTTCTTGGTAGGGCTCGGGGGGGGGGTTCTTGGTAGGGCTCGGGGGGGTGTCGGTTCTTGGTAGGGCTCGGGGGGGTGGGTTGTCGGTCGGGGCTCGGGGGGGTGGGTTGTTGGTCGGGGCTCCGGGGGGGGTTGGGTTCTTGGTAGGGCTCGGGGGGGCAGGCTTCTAGGTACTCAACGGGGGGGTCTGGGTGGGTGACTGGTAGGGCTCCAGGGGGTGTGGGTTCTGGTAGGGCTCGGGGGTTGTGGGTTCTTGGTAGGGCTCGGGGGGGTGTGGGTTCTTGGTAGGGCTCGGGGGGGTGTGGGTTCTTGGTAGGGCTCGGGGGGGTTGGGTTCTCTGTAGGGCTCTGGGTGGGTTCTTGGTAGGGCTCGGGGCGGGCTCCAGGTACTCAACTGACGGGTTCCGGTTCACTCAACTGGCGGGCTCCGGTTCACTCAACTGGCGGGCTCCGGTTTATTAAACTGGCGGGCTCCGGGTGTTTGACTGGTCGGGCTCCGGGTGGGTGACTGTTCGGGCTCCAGGTGGGTGTCTGTCCGGCTTCGGGTGGGTTCTTGGTAGGGCTTGGGGGTAGGTTCTTGGTAGGACTTAGGGTTGGCTCCCGGTCAGGCTCAGGGTGGGCTCTTTCGGGTTCGGGATGGGCTCTCGGGCTTGGGGTACCTCTGTAGGGCTCGGGGTAGGTTCTTGGTCGGGCCCAGGTTGGGTTCTCTGTAGGGCTCAGGGTGTTTTCATGGTAGGACTAGGGGTGGGTTCTCTGTAGGGATCAGGGTGGGTTCTCGGTAGGGCTCTGGGTGGGTTCTCGGTCAGGCTCGGGGCGGGCTCCAGGTACTCAACTGACGGGTTCCAGTTCACACAACTGGCGGGCTCCGGTTCACTCAACTGGCGGGCTCCGGTTTACTAAACTGGCGGGCTCCGGGTGTTTGACTGGTCGGGCTCCGGGTGGGTGACTGTTCGGGCTCCAGTTGGGTGTCTGTCCGGCTTCGGGTGGGTTCTTGGTAGGGCTTGGGGTGGGTTCTTGGTAGGTATTAGGGCAGGGTTCTTGGTAGGGCTTGGGGGTGGGTTCTTGGTAGGGCTTGGGGGTGGGTTCTTGGTAGGGCTTGGGGGTGGGTTCTTGGTAGGGTTTGGGGGGTTGGCTCCCGGTCAGGCTCGGGGTGGGCTCTTTCGGGATCGGGATAGGCTCTCGGGCTTGGGGAACCTCTGTAGGGCTCGGGGTAGGTTCTTGGTCGGGCTCAGGGTGGGTTCTCGGTAGGGCTCGGGGCAGGCTCCAGGTACTCAACTGACGGGTTCCAGTTCACTCAACTGGCGGGCTCCGGTTCACTCAACTGGCGGGCTCCGGTTTATTAAACTGGCGGGCTCCGGGTGTTTGACTGGTCGGGCTCCGGGTGGGTGACTGTTCGGGCTCCAGGTGGGTGTCTGCTTCCGGCTTGGGGTGGGTTCTTGGTAGGTATGTTCTTGGTAGGGCTTGGGGGTGGGTTCTTGGTAGGACTTAGGGTTGGCTCCCGGTCAGGCTCAGGGTGGGCTCTTTCGGGATCGGGATGGGCTCTCGGGCTTGGGGTACCTCTGTAGGGCTCGGGGTAGGTTCTTGGTCGGGCCCAGGGTGGGTTCTCTGTAGGGCTCAGGGTGTTTTCATGGTAGGCTCTAGGGGTGAGTTCTCTGTAGGGATCAGGGTGGGTTCTTGGTAGGGCTCTGGGTGGGTTCTCGGTCGGGCTCGGGGCGGGCTCCAGGTACTCAACTGACGGGTTCCAGTTCACTCAACTGGCGGGCTCCGGTTCACTCAACTGGCGGGCTCCGGTTTATTAAACTGGCGGGCTCCGGGTGTTTGACTGGTCGGGCTCCGGGTGGGTGACTGTTCGGGCTCCAGGTGGGTGTCTGTCCAGCTTCGGGTGGGTTCTTGGTAGGGCTTGGGGTGGGTTCTTGGTAGATATTAGGGCAGGGTTCTTGGTAGGGCTTGGGGGTGGGATCTTGGTAGGGCTTGGGGGTGGGTTCTTGGTAGGGCTTGGGGGTGGGTTCTTGGTAGGGTTAGGGGTTGGCTCTCGGTCAGGCTTGGGGTGGGCTCTTTCGGGATCGGGATAGGCTCTCGGGCTTGGGGAACCTCTGTAGGGCTCGGGGTAGGTTCTTGGTCGGGCTCAGGGTGGGTTCTCGGTAGGGCTCGGGGCGGGCTCCAGGTACTCAACTGACGGGTTCCAGTTCACTCAACTGGCGGGCTCCGGTTCACTCAACTGGCGGGCTCCGGTTTATTAAACTGGCGGGCTCCGGGTGTTTGACTGGTCGGGCTCCGGGTGGGTGACTGTTCGGGCTCCAGGTGGGTGTCTGTCCAGCTTCGGGTGGGTTCTTGGTAGGGCTTGGGGCGGGTTCTTGGTAGGTATTAGGGCAGGGTTCTTGGTAGGGCTTGGGGGTGGGTTCTTGGTAGGGCTTGGGGGTGGGTTCTTGGTAGGGCTTGGGGGTGGGTTCTTGGTAGGGTTTGGGGTTGGCTCCCGGTCAGGCTCGGGGTGGGCTCTTTCGGGATCGGGATAGGCTCTCGGGCTTGGGGAACCTCTGTAGGGCTCGGGGTAGGTTCTTGGTCGGGCTCAGGGTGGGTTCTCGGTAGGGCTCGGGGCGGGCTCCAGGTACTCAACTGACGGGTTCCAGTTCACTCAACTGGCGGGCTCCGGTTCACTCAACTGGCGGGCTCCGGTTTACTAAACTGGCGGGCTCCGGGTGTTTGACTGGTCGGGCTCCGGGTGGGTGACTGTTCGGGCTCCAGGTGGGTGTCTGTCCAGCTTCGGGTGGGTTTTTGGTAGGGCTTGGGGCTGGGTTCTTGGTAGGCTTTGGGCTGGGTTCTCGGAAGGGCTTGGGGCTGGGTTCTCGGTAGGGCTTGGGGGGTGGGTTCTCGGTAGGGTTTGGGGGGGGGGGGGGTTCTCGGTAGGGCTTTGGGGGTGGGTTCTCGGTAGGGCTCGGGGGGAGTGGGTTCTCGGTAGGGCTTGGGGGGTGGGGTTCTCGGTAGGGCTTGGGGGTGGGTTCTCGGTAGGGCTGGGGGGGTGGGTTCTCGGTAGGGCTTGGGGGGGGTGGGTTCTCGGTAGGGCTTGGGGGAGTGGGTTCTCGGTAGGGCTTGGGGGGTGGGTTCTCGGTAGGGCTTGGGGGGTGGGTTCTCGGTAGGGCTTGGGGGGGTGGGTTCTCGGTAGGGCTCCGGGTGGGTGGGTTCTCGGTAGGGCTTGGGGGTGGGGGTTCTCGGTAGGGCTTGGGGGGGTGGGTTCTCGGTAGGGCTTGGGGGGGGGGTTCTCGGTAGGGCTTGGGGGGGTGGGTTCTCGGTAGGGCTTGGGGGGGGGTTCTCGGTAGGGCTTGGGGGGGTGGGTTCTCGGTAGGGCTTGGGGGGTGGGTTCTCGGTAGGGCTTGGGGGGTGGGTTCTCGGTAGGGGTCGGGGTGGGCTCTTTCGGGATCGGGATAGGCTCTCGGGCTTGGGGAACCTCTGTAGGGCTCGGGGTAGGTTCTTGGTCGGGCTCAGGGTGGGTTCTCGGTAGGGCTCGGGGCGGGCTCCAGGTACTCAACTGACGGGTTCCAGTTCACTCAACTGGCGGGCTCCGGTTCACTCAACTGGCGGGCTCCGGTTTATTAAACTGGCGGGCTCCGGGTGTTTGACTGGTCGGGCTCCGGGTGGGTGACTGTTCGGGCTCCAGGTGGGTGTCTGTCCGGCTTCGGGTGGGTTCTTGGTAGGGCTTCGGGGTGGGTTCTTGGTAGGACTTAGGGTTGGCTCCCGGTAGGGCTTCAGGGTGGGCTCTTTCGGGTTCGGGAGGGCTCTCGGGCTTGGGTACCTCTGTAGGGCTCGGGGGTGGGTTCTTGGTAGGGCCCAGGGTGGGTTCTCGGTAGGGCTCAGGGTGTTTTCATGGTCGGGATAGGGGTAGGTTCTCTGTCGGGATCAGGGTGGGTTCTCTGTAGGGCTCTGGGTAGGTTCTCGGTCGGGCTCAGGGTGGGTTCTCGGTAGGGCTCGGGGCGGGCTCCAGGTACTCAACTGACGGGTTCCAGTTCACTCAACTGGCGGGCTCCGGTTCACTCAACTGGCGGGCTCCGGTTTACTAAACTGGCGGGCTCCGGGTGTTTGACTGGTCGGGCTCCGGGTGGGTGACTGTTCGGGCTCCAGGTGGGTGTCTGTCCAGCTTCGGGTGGGTTCTTGGTAGGGCTTGGGGTGGGTTCTTGGTAGGTATTAGGGCAGGGTTCTTGGTAGGGCTTGGGGGTGGGTTCTTGGTAGGGCTTGGGGGTGGGTTCTTGGTAGGGCTTGGGGGTGGGTTCTTGGTAGGGTTTGGGGTTGGCTCCCGGTCAGGCTCGGGGTGGGCTCTTTCGGGATCGGGATAGGCTCTCGGGCTTGGGGAACCTCTGTAGGGCTCGGGGTAGGTTCTTGGTCGGGCTCAGGGTGGGTTCTCGGTAGGGCTCGGGGCGGGCTCCAGGTACTCAACTGACGGGTTCCAGTTCACTCAACTGGCGGGCTCCGGTTCACTCAACTGGCGGGCTCCGGTTTACTAAACTGGCGGGCTCCGGGTGTTTGACTGGTCGGGCTCCGGGTGGGTGACTGTTCGGGCTCCAGGTGGGTGTCTGTCCGGCTTCGGGTGGGTTCTTGGTAGGGCTTGGGGTGGGTTCTTGGTAGGTATTAGGGCAGGGTTCTTGGTAGGGCTTGGGGGTGGGTTCTTGGTAGGGCTTGGGGGTGGGTTCTTGGTAGGGCTTGGGGGTGGGTTCTTGGTAGGGTTTGGGGTTGGCTCCCGGTCAGGCTCGGGGTGGGCTCTTTCGGGATCGGGATAGGCTCTCGGGCTTGGGGAACCTCTGTAGGGCTCGGGGTAGGTTCTTGGTCGGGCTCAGGGTGGGTTCTCGGTAGGGCTCGGGGCAGGCTCCAGGTACTCAACTGACGGGTTCCAGTTCACTCAACTGGCGGGCTCCGGTTCACTCAACTGGCGGGCTCCGGTTTACTAAACTGGCGGGCTCCGGGTGTTTGACTGGTCGGGCTCCGGGTGGGTGACTGTTCGGGCTCCAGGTGGGTGTCTGTCCAGCTTCGGGTGGGTTTTTGGTAGGTATTGGGGCTGGGTTCTCGGTAGGGCTTTGGGCTGGGTTCTCGGTAGGGCTTCGGGCTGGGTTCTCGGTAGGGCTTGGGGGTGGGTTCTTGGTAGGGTTTGGGGGGGTGGGTTCTCGGTAGGGCTTGGGGGGGGGGTTCTCGGTAGGGCTTGGGGGGTGGGTTCTCGGTAGGGCTTGGGGGGTGGGTTCTCGGTAGGGCGTCGGGGTGGGTTCTCGGTAGGGTTTGGGGGGTGGGTTCTCGGTAGGGCTTGGGGGGGGGGGTGGGTTCTCGGTAGGGCTTTGGGGAGTGGGTTCTCGGTAGGGCTCGGGGGGGTGTGGGTTCAACTCGGTCCAGGGCTGGGGGGGTGGGTTCTCGGTAGGGTTTGGGAGGGTGGGTTCTCGGTAGGGCTTGCGGGGGGGGTTCTCTGGTAGGGCTTGGGGGGGGGGTTCTCGGTAGGGCTTGGGGGTGGGTTCTCGGTAGGGCTTGGGGGGGGGTTCTCGGTAGGGCTTGGGGGGTGGTTCTCGGTAGGGCTTGGGGGGGGTGGGTTCTCGGTAGGGCTTGGGGGGTGGGTTCTCGGTAGGGCTTGGGGGGGTGGGTTCTCGGTAGGGCTTGGGGGGTGGGTTCTCGGTAGGGGATCGGGGTGGGCTCTTTCGGGATCGGGCTTGGGGAACCTCTGTAGGGCTCGGGGTAGGTTCTTGGTCGGGCTCAGGGTGGGTTCTCGGTAGGGCTCGGGGCGGGCTCCAGGTACTCAACTGACGGGTTCCAGTTCACTCAACTGGCGGGCTCCGGTTCACTCAACTGGCGGGCTCCGGTTTACTAAACTGGCGGGCTCCGGGTGTTTGACTGGTCGGGCTCCGGGTGGGTGACTGTTCGGGCTCCAGGTGGGTGTCTGTCCAGCTTCGGGTGGGTTCTTGGTAGG